ATGGGGATTCGAACTCACGGCCTGTGCGACTAGCGATTTTCGAACATATACCGCTAGACCACCGGGGCGACCGGAGTACAACGATTTTTTGCGGAACAGACACAACGCGACCCATGGCATGACACCCGTCCCACGAAGTGAGACCTGGCCCCATTAGACCCGACCTGAAGAGACCTGACCCATATGAGACCCGACCCGACCCGACCCATCCTGTTTCGCAACGATCCCGGTGTCGACCCGTGTGGTTTGATCAAGTCCATCCGTGAAAAGCCTTAAGATGAACGAATAGGAGATGCGCACACCGCTTGCGGGTTTCCCGTCCGTTCCTATCCTATCCATCGCATCCTTGTCGGTCATTCATAGCCCTCGTCCGCACAGCGTTTTTCATCCGTTGCTTCCTGAACACCGAGCTCGTCTTCCGTTTGACCCTAGTTGTCCTTCAGTTGCATATTCGATTTTGCTCTTGTCTAGTTGTTCGATCCCACCCGTGAGCTCTTGTCTTGAGCAACGTGGGACAGGAGCTTGCAAAACTACGAGTGCTACCGGTAGTATCTTCATCGAAAGGCATGTGACATATCCATTTCAGGGCGTTGGGAAGGAGGTGGATGGCCGTTCTACATGTAGACAGTTTGTGTCATTGTGTCTTACTGTTGGTGCTGAAGCGTTGCAAATGAGACTGTTTTGCCTCTGTGTGTCCAGGATTTAGTTGGCGCTGTCATAGCTGTTGTTGTTGCTGCTGCTGCTGCTGCTGCCTCTTTGGTATAGCGCCATTCCCAACACACCTTACATGTTTGAGTTTTTCGCGGGTCATGCTGTTTGGTCTTGAAGATTCATCTTGCCCGAAGCGAGACTGCCGCACTTAACCCCTTTGGGTCTAGGCTGGACTGTCAGATTTTTTTTTGCGCCAAAAAAAAAAAATGAGAGCGAGAGCGAGCGGGAGAGAGAGAAGTGCAGAGAAAGACACCAGTGTACTTCTGCACACGCAACAACTATCTCCCCCTGTAGGCCATGAGAGAAGCCGGCGACAGGGTGGTGGCCACAGACAGGGTCGTAGAAGGGTTGGTGGGTGGTCGCGCTGCGGTCAGTAGGGCAGGTTAGCTGTGTAGCTTTGAAATGATCAGTCGTCTAGCTGCCTCAACTAGTCTATTTTCGGTATATTGTAAATGATCAGCCCAGAGAGGGCAAAATGATCAGTGAAGACCCATAGCTGGTATTTGTATCTGTACTTCTCTGTTCTCTGCCCCCCCCCGAAATGTGCCCTGCCAACTCTCTAGAGCTCCTGTGTTTTTCAAACAACAAGCACATCCACCAGCACGCACCTGTACCTCGTGGTTTCCTAGGTTCGGGCGAGGGTGGTATGTGTGGCGCTACGAGTGTGGATGTGTTGCTGATATGTTTTACTCGTCTACAGCAGTAGTAGTGTTCGTTGTAGCTGTTGACACAATGACTGCTGGATCTTCGGAACGATTTTCAAATTGTTGGGAACCACGATATCCTCGATATCTGGGCTTCGGCAGGGACTGCAATACCCCTCCCTTTTGCTGTCCTCTGCTCTTTGCAGCAGTGGCTTCCTACGTTCGGGCGAGTGTATGTGTGGTGCTGCGAAAGAACACATATGTATGTATGTATGTACTGTATGCACACACGCGTTCATTGACATGTGCATACGTTGAGAGATTCATGATTTGGCATTGATTGGCCCCATTCCCATTCCCGAGACCTTGACATTACCCGCTGTCACTGAAGTCTCTTCATTGGTCAGCCGGTTAGCGCGGGTGCTAATAATCTAGACACACCTACCTATGGACTTGCCAATACACGGCGCGAAGGGCTGCAGGGCGGCAACTCCACGACTTGCCACTACACCAGCATTTGCAAATGATCAATCAATGATCAGTGAGAACGCCTGAAGACTCAAAAGGGTTAACCCTCCTATTGTAGTACCCAGTCCCTCCTCACAAAAAAAATGTCCCAAACATGTTTGCCAGCCATTGGTCGAGGGGCTACAGTTCCTCCAAAGAATCTGAGTTCCTTGTCAGACAAAGGGTGACTTGTCTTTAGTATGAAAAGTTTCCCCAAAACACGTGGGGACACTTTTCATACTAAAGACAAGTCAGCAAATTTTTCCAGCACCAGGCGATGTACAGTTTTACGACCTAGGGGGGCACGTGGGTTGGAGATAAAGAGGCCCAGGAGAGGCATCACAAGGAACATCACATAGCGTACCACCTCAGCCAAGTGTGATAGACCAAGGGTTCTCACGTGCGTTGCACACAGCGGAGCCTTGGGTGACTACAGTGCGGTGAATAGTCGTTTAAGTGCTGTGTCCCCAAAGTGTCCCCATTTGGGCTTCCAGTACTAGGAGGGTTACATTAAACGCAGCATCTCGGTTCGCGCGATGAGTTACAGTAGTCCCTAGCGCAAGTGGTGTGTGTTCGTTAGGAGTCAGCTTGTCGGTGTTGTTTTCTACATGAAGTTGTGATCGTTTTGATGCCAAGGGGCTAGAGCACAAGTAGCCCTTTAGACAATTTCGACAGCTCCGGCCGGAGCAAGTTCTACTTTTTTATTACGGCTGTCCACAGCTTCCTGACAACGGCTTCTTCAATTTGGAGTAGCAGTGCTCAGCTTTCGCGTCTTTTCTAAAATATTCCCACTATTGTTGCAAACCTATTCCAGAACTCCAACCGGTGCCAATGTTGCGATGTTGTGCGTGTCTGCCCGCGATACACAGATACTCTCTTGTTGACAGAGTCGTGGATAAGCCAGGTAGACTCCCTGTCCTCGCGAAACCCGAACTGGCCGGCGATGGTTGGTGCGAAAGTTTCAATAAAACGTGCTACGGATTCGTTTACTGTCGGCTGGTTCCTGATGACGTTGCCAAGTGTTGGGCCGTGTATACAGCGACAATGCGTCCGGTGTTGTTCGTGGCTGAAGCGGCGAATGTGTTGGCGATTCCTGCCACCGAAACCGAGGTTGTTGCCCTCAAATTGGTCGACCCCAGCGTGGTTTCGTCTGTCACGTCACCCCTAACAAATAGAGAGTCATCGCGGGTAGGTGGGTTGGAGAGCTTTGCTGTATATAGATTGGACTTTCGGCCTTCCTGGTATCATCTTTTGCGTAACCCAAGAGTTTCCCTCTACGCGCAACCAACCGTAATAGATCGGCAAGATGGCTCGTGCGGCTGTAGAATACAACCCGGCGATCGGGTCATCGTTCACCGGTTTGTTCCTGTCCTCGTGGGCACATGTCGGAGGGGGTGGCGCGACGTTGTTCCTGTCAGCCACTCTTCTCAAGCGGCGTGACCACGACGCCGGGAGGTTATTTGTTGTTCCGGGTCTCTTGTTGATTGTCATTGGCCCGTGTTATTCGCGGCTGTGCCCTCTATATGATGTCGCTTTCCGCCACGGAGAAGAGCATTACGGCCGGCAAGAAGGTTGATGCGAAGACCAGCTCGTCCGTCACGTCACTCCGAACAAACACAGCAAAAGTAGGACTACGTTTGAGTGAGAATTACTGTAGACAGGTAGACAGTTACTTGTTGGTCTATCGGCCTTCCTGGTATCATCTTTTGCGTAACCCAAGAGTTTCCCTCTACGCGCAACCAACCGTAATAGATCGGCGAGATGGCTCGTGCGGCTGTAGAATACAACCCGGCGATCGGGTCATCGCTCACCGGTTTGTTCCTGTCCTCGTGGACACATGTCGGAGGGGGTGGCGCGACGTTGTTCCGGTCAGCCACTCTTCTCAAGCGACGTGACCACGACGCCGGGAGGTTATTTGTTGTTCCGGGATCTCTTGTCGATTGTCATTGGCCCGTGTTATTCGCGTCTGTGACGCCTATATGGTAACGCTTTCCGCCACGGAGAAGAGCATTACGGCCGGCAAGAAGGTTGATGCGAAGACCAGTTCGTCCGTCACGTCCCTCCGGATAAATACAGCAGAGATAGGACTACGTTTGAGTGAGAATTACTGTAGACAGGTAGACAGTTACTTGTTGGTCTATCGGCCTTGCTGGTATCATCTTTTGCGTAACCCAAGAGTTTCCCTCTACGCGTAACCTACCGTAATAGATCGGCAAGATGGCTCGTGCGGCTGTAGAATACAACCCGGCGATCGGGTCATCGTTCACTGGTTTGTTCCTGTCCTCGTGGGCACATGTCGGAGGGGGTGGCGCGGCGTTGTTCCCGTCAGCCACGCTTCTCATGCGGCGTGACCACGACGCCGGGAGGTTATTTGTTGTTCCCGGTCTCTTGTTGATTGCCATTGGCCCGTGTTATTCGCGGCTGTGCCCTCTATATGATGTCGCTTTCCGCCACGGAGAAGAGCATTACGGCCGGCAAGAAGGTTGATGCGAAGACCAGCTCGTCCGTCACGTCACTCCGAACAAACACAGCAAAAGTAGGACTACGTTTAAGTGAGAATTACTGTAGACAGGTAGACAGTTACTTGTTGGTCTATCGGCCTTCCTGGTATCATCTTTTGCGTAACCCAAGAGCTTCCCTCTACGCGCAACCAACCGTAATAGATCGGCGAGATGGCTCGTGCGGCTGTAGAATACAACCCGGCGATCGGGTCATCGTTCACTGGTTTGTTCCTGTCCTCGTGGACACATGTCGGAGGGGGTGGCGCGACGTTGTTCCGGTCAGCCACTCTTCTCATGCGACGTGACCACGACGCCGGGAGGTTATTTGTTGTTCCGGGTCTCTTGTCGATTGTCATTGGCCCGTGTTATTCGCGGCTGTGCCCTCTATATGATGTCGCTTTCTGCCACGGAGAAGAGCATTACGGCCGGCAAGAAGGTTGATGCGAAGACCAGTTCGTCCGTCACGGCACTCCGGATAAATACAGCAAAAGTAGGACTACGTTTGAGTGAGAATTACTGTAGACAATGAGGTACCTCTTGGTCCGTCGGCCTTCCTGGTACAACCTTTTGCGTAACCCAGGAGGGCTTCTCGGCGCTCCTGTAAATTGTTGGGGGTCTGTGCTATTGACGGCTGTGCATGGCGATACGGCCGGCTCCGGCTTCCGCAGCGGAGAAGCGCACATTGGCTGCCCGGTGGCAAGGCTGTTACAAGAGTGAGGCTGTCTGGCCAGCCGTCACTGACAATCAGGACAATAGTCCTGACGGGATATTTCGATTGATTCGAGTGTGCGTGGAGAGTGTTGTATCTCAAATTGAATAGCAATAGGGTGTTGCCACACCTACGTCGTTCACTTGACCAGACGGTCGCCTTACCCTGATGCTGCTAAGCGGAGTCAGCTGCTTTGTGCATCGTGGAGCACGCGGTGGCTCCGCGTCACGAGTTGATTTCGCACACTTTGCTCCTGGTGGGTAGCGAGTCACATTCGTTGTTCCCCGCTCGTGAGATATCGTCGGGAGTTGGCGACTTGTTGCTCTTCCCTGGCAGACGTGGCTAAGAAGATGGGTTCGTTGTGGCGAAGACGCCTCCCTCGACTCCAGTCGAATGGTTTGTCCGACAAAGATTTCCCACCAGTGTAGATTACTAAAAACCTTGCAATTGACGGAGTTCCCGACTTAACATGTATTCAAACATCTAGAGCAGCGACATGTACGTTGGCATGTCTGTTGCTGGCGCCGGGCTGTCGAAGACGGCAGCTGCGGCCCGAAATCTCCATATATCTTGGCTCATACAAGTCACCATCCACTGAGGTGAGCGCCGTCACAGACCAGTCAATCCCACCACCCGCGGGTCGTCCAAGACAGCCATGTAGTGCTAAAGACTAGACCAGCAGTTCGGGGGATTGGGTCTGGTACGGCGCGTACAGCAGTGGATCGTAAACGGTATGGACCCGGATGTGCGGACTTATCGGACCGCAGCTGCAGCGATGGACAGCACGGCACCAGCGACAAGCCTGGGCGTGCCAACGCAACGCCGCTGGTCCACCATGTTCCTCTCCGGGAATAGACGTCCGTGTTGAGACTGCGCAAACCGGGATTGTCGTTTTCGATTTCGTATTTTGGGTGCAGGCTAGAAAGTGAACATGGGGCTTGGCAAGAACCCATCGCGTGCCTTGTCTTTTGGTAATGGACAATGTTATGCGCAGTTGTAGTGGCCAATGCGCTATTTAGTGCTTTTCGCAACGCAGCAAGACAAAAGTGTGGTTTGGTCCGTCACGTCACACCCGGCAAACAGAAAGTCAATGCGGGTAGGTAGGTTGGAGTGCTTTACGGTAAATTGGTGTTTGTTGGTCTGTCGGCCTTCCTGGTATCATCTTTTGCGTAACCCAAGAGTTTCCCTCTACGCGCAACCAACCGCAATAGATCGGCGAGATGGCTCGTGCGGCTGTAGAATACAACCCGGCGATCGGGTCATCGTTCACCGGTTTGTTCCTGACGCCGTGGGCATATGTCGGAGGGGGTGGCGCGACGTTGTTCCCGTCAGCCACGCTTCTCATGCGACGTGACCACGACGCCGGGAGATTATTTGTTGTTCCGGGATCTCTTGTCGATTGTCATTGGCCCGTGTTATTCGCGGCTGTGCCCTCTATATGATGTCGCTTTCCGCCACGGAGAAGAGCATTACGGCCGGCAAGAAGGTTAATGCGAAGACCAGCTCGTCCGTCACGTCACGCCGAACAAACACAGCAAAAGTAGGACTACGTTTGAGTGAGAATTACTGTAGACAATGAGGTACCTGTTGGTCTGTCGGCCTTCCTGGTATCATCTTTTGCGTAACCCAAGAGCTTCCCTCTACGCGCAACCAACCGTAATAGATCGGCGAGATGGCTCGTGCGGCTGTAGAATACAACCCGGCGATCGGGTCATCGTTCACTGGTTTGTTCCTGTCCTCGTGGGCATATGTCGGAGGGGGTGGCGCGACGTTGTTCCCGTCAGCCACGCTTCTCATGCGACGTGACCACGAAGTCGGGAGGTTATTTGTTGTTCCGGGATCTCTTGTCGATTGTCATTGGCCCGTGTTATTCGCGGCTGTGCCCTCTATATGATGTCGCTTTCCGCCACGGAGAAGAGCATTACGGCCGGCAAGAAGGTTAACGCAAAGGCCAGGTCGTCCGTCACGTCACTCCGGACAAACGACTACTGTAGAGCGAAGAATTAAATAAATCATGCTTCGTGTTCGTGGGTGTTAGCAGAGAGTAGATGGCGTTCACGATTGTACAAGTCGTGACCCCGCACGCCGCCCTCCCCTTCTCCCCTCTGCAATCTCTGTCGAATTGATCGTTTGCTGCAATTTGAACGGTCAGCCAAGGCGATCGCTTCTTCAAGTTCTTTGGCGAGGCGAATAGTCATCAGCCTCCTGGTTGGTATTATTGTTTGGGTGGTTCCCGAGTGGAACAATGTGGCCCCTTTGGGAGGTGAGCGCTCGGTTGGTAAGATCTTGTCACTGGTTCGTGGTTTGATTTGTGTAGGACCCCCGGGAGGATAACCCCGATGCAGCACCTCTTGGTTGATTCTTGTTTGGTTTCTCGCAGAATGATTTCGTCGGCCATTGTCTGAATATCTGCTGACGATTGCCGCACGCGCCTCGTTGCCCGACTGAATTACAAACAGTCTGGACCTGGCCAAGAGCCACGCGGCCGAGGCGATGAGCGGGATCGCCGATGACCCATCGAGCGAAATTGGCATCAAGCGCCCGAGAGGCGCAGAGAACGAGGGAGCCACGAGAAAGGTATAGGCCACTCCCTCGCGGCACTTATGTAGCACCGTTGCTCGTTTTATTCCTCGTTTGTCACGTCTTGATTCTTGAATCCTGTGCCCTTGCGGTACTCCTTTAAAGGCTACGCCCACGTTGGTGTCTGCGCCCGACCGTTGCACACATGGTGAGGCACACGCTTGCCGTAGGCCCTCCTCTTTGCGGGAGATTCGCTCACATCGTTCGCGTGACATTCTAATCTCGGGACCTCTCTCTTGCGCGTGCCTCTCTGCTGTTCTGGGCCAGGCGAACGACGCGACCACCGGCAGCGGCGGCGGCGGGGGCGGCAGCGGTAGCGGGGGCGGGGGCGGGGACGGGGACGGGGACGGGGGCGGGGGAAACACGGCAGCCGACAGGGTCGACGTCGAGGTGTCCCACATCCTGCTTTCAATGCGTCGCGGGAGTGCCCGTGAGGGATGCGGGGCCAGCCCTCCCACCGAACAGGACGACCTGTTGTCCACCTGGTCGATGTCAGCACCAGCGGTGTTTGCCTCGTTGGTGAGCGCCAAGCCAGAACGGGACACAACAGCGGAGCTCCTGGAGGTAAGCGGGTACACGTGTAGCGCACGGTCTGATCTGAGGTTTTCTGCTTGAAGTGAGGACACCTTCGATGCTTGGTGTTGTGGGCGTTGCTTTTTATTTTCGAGGTCTGCAAATCCGTCGAGGGGGGACGCATGTGTTTCGGCATTGAGCTGGACTCGTTGTGTGTACGTGTTGTTGCCGCTGCTATGACTGCGGCAGTAGTTGCTCACGTCCGCTCTTGTTAGATCGCTCACTTGCCCGCGACCACAGCGATGCCAGGGCTTTCGGAAATTCCGGGACTATCAGTACTGCTTCGGGTAGGACCACACAAGATTCTCAACACCCTCCGTTAACATTTGGGTCTCGCTTCACTTTTATTCATTTATTTTTTGGCCAAAAACAAAATGACGGGGAGAGAGTGCGGGAGCGAGAGACAGAAGTGCAGCAAAAAGAGACAAGTGTACTTCTGTAGACGCAACAGCTATCTCCACCCATAGGCCATGAGGGCAACCCGCGACAGGATGGCGGGCACAGACAGGGTCATAGAAGGGTTGATGCGTGGTCGCGGGGCGGCCGGTAGGGCAGGTTAGGCTTGTAGACATTGAAAAGATGAGTCGTCACTCTGCCTGAACTGCTCTATTTTCAGTGTATTGAAATGATCAGTGAAAATGATCAGTGAGAGGGATTGTAGACCCACAGATGGTTTTTACTTCTGTACTTCTCTGTCCCCTTCCCAATGTGAGCCCTGCCGGCTCACTGCAGCTCCTGTGATTTTCCTACAATTCCCACAAGCACGCAAGTACAGCAGCACACACCTACCTTTGCATCAGTGGTTGTCTAGGTACGGGCGAGGTTATGTGGGGCTATGATGATGGTGTTGTATGTGCTACAACTATGTTGGACTCGTCTCTGCTGCTGCTGCTGCTGTATAGTATGCATATAGCTGCTAACACGATGACTGCTGGATCTTGCGAGTGTACGATTTTCAAATTTGGAGAACATGCAGCATACACCACGATATCCTGGGCTGGTGGGGCTTGATTGCCCCCTTTTGCTGCCTCCGCTCTTTGCTTCAGTGGCTTCCTAGATTCAGGCGAGGTCATGTACGTGGAGCTATTGATGTGTGTCTCTGTGAAGGATATAGGGAGAGATTCGTTGTGGCGTTCGCGTTTAGCGTATTGTGCAGCTTTCGAATTTTGGTACCGTTCCAGGGACCTTGATTTTACCTGCGGTACTAATGTCTTTTCATTTGTCACCGGGTAGCGCGGTCGATGCTAGTCATCAAGACATACCTACCTATGGACTCGTCAACGACAGGCGTGGAGGGATACAGGGCGGCAACTCCATGGCATGCCACCATACCAGCATTTCCAAATGATCAATCAAGGATCTGTGTCAGGACGCCTGTACACCTAAAAGGGTTAACCGACGATACAAATTTGCTTCATGGAAACATTGTGGTTGACGTTCCAACTAATGCAGTGTTGACGTCCGAGCTCTTGCGTTTCTTTTCTTGCCCAAATCAATGTGAGCAGAACTCATGGATAGGGACTACGGTGGTTTACTATCAATCAAAACAGGACGCGCCACCCACCTATGATCCTCTTACTTTGCCCCAGGCCCGCGGCTTACTTCCTCTGTGGGGTGCTGTGGCCCAGTACTGTGGTAGCGACGAATAGAGGTTCAGTCTATGGACATGATTCTTAACTGTACACGTGTCCATATGGTCAAAGTCTTCCGTGGTGCATTGTTGTATCCAGAATTTCTTGATTCCCACGTGCTTGAAGTAATGGTGTGCCTCTAGCTCTCCCCGCCCACGCAAGGAACATGTTGATCGTGAATCAACCTTGTTCGTGCGATGTTGTTTGACCCTCGAATCGACCGATCCATGGTGGTCTCAGGTGCAACTGGACCTTGGCGATGTCGTGAGGACACGTTCATGTGCAGTAGTTCGTGTTTTCCACCCCTTCTCCCACCTCAACGGCTGATGAATCCCTTGCTTCCTCGTGTTCTCCTTCGTTTCGATACCACACCCACCCTAGCTCATCGGCCAGTCGGGAGACACGGACGACCTCCTGGACGCCGTCTGTTTCGGCAGCTCTCGCCCCCCCCAGAATATCAGCTTTGAGGACTGGAACCTCATGGACGCACAGCGGGGAACGATGTCGGCATCTTCCGATGTTGTGCAGGGGGCCACGGACCCTGACCCCAAAGGAGCCTTGGACGAGGGTGGGGGAAACCCCTACGGCATCTCGGCGGAGATGCTCGAACTATGCTCGGGGAAGATCCTCGATTGTGGCGCATCCGGTTCTTCGACTGCCTGCCCCGCCGCAGCCACCACCATCACCAGCGGCATCGTCATCACTGTAGCTTTTCCCGACGGGGACAAGATACTGCTCGACTGGAAATCCTTTTTCTAGCGTGAACATCAAGTGATGTAGTGGGCCCCGCCCATGTCCTTTCGGTGCTGTAATCAGTGAGCGGTTGTAGAGTTCATGGGATGGCGTTAATCTGTTGTTGAGTTGGCGTGAAGTGTGCCTCGTGCGTGGGCGGTTGTGTTTGTCCACAGGAGAGCGGGCGATGAGCTACGAGGACTAACTGGCGCTCACCGAATTCGATGTAAGATGTTCATGTGAGCACAAACTTCGTCCACTCCGCTCGTTGTTTTATTTCTTGTGCCCGTGGTGGTGTGATAGAAAATTTTGTTTCTGACGTCTCCTGTACATTGTGGATACGAATGTTGCTTTATTTCTCGAGTTTTTTTTTGTTTTAAAGAAGTACTTGCGCTATGTTCTCTGTTTAGAGTGGCGTTGCTTCGTATATCTCGTTGGCACAGCATACTCCTGATCTGATGTAATTTTGCAGCACAGTTAATTGCTCGACCTTTATTGAACATAATTCTATCCGTATCGTTTACTTTGTATTTTATTAACAATTTATTTCGTTTTAATTCGGAGGATGGAAGGGATAGAAGGATAGGAGTGTCATCGTGTGCATGTGTCCGCATTATTGGTAAAGGCGCACGGTAAGATGGTCTGGCATCCTTATGAGCGAGCTTTCCTCCAGAATGTTTACCTTGGCACCCCCATGCTTGCTTGTCATGTGCCGTGAGTGCCGAGGTGTCGTACTTTGTACTCTTTGCGTGAAACGGGTCGGTTAGCCTGGAGAATTGCATCGCAGGGCAGGGCGGTGTCGTGTCGGAGGGTCGTCGCGAGAAAACTGATTAGTTTTGTTTGTGTGTGTGTTGCGGTGCATTTGCCAGCGTGATGCTCCTCGTGTATGTCCCATGCAGGGCGGACGATAATATAGGCAGCAGCAAGGTAGAAAATATCGATATCCTGACTTCCAGGGACTTGATGGGGCAAACAGTATCCACGTTTTGGCGACGAATTTCAGACCAGGAGCTGCCTCGGTAAGCCAATGAGAGCCCCTCTAAGACGTGGAACGACCCAAGCTACACAGGGACTTGGAAATGTGTTGACACTTGGCAGTTGGTTCTTGTTTTCGCGGGTTGGAGGGGTGGGATCGGCTGCAGAAACGACTTGAAAATGATTGATGCGTATTCCAAGTGATATATGTGTTGAGAGTCGGGAATCTGTGTGTTTCTGAAAGGTGATCTGTGTTATTTGTGAGTGCTGGAAACACACAAGTTTACACAATCCAGCGACGCTAGAGCTGCCGCAGTTTTCGATGGTGTGGTGCAGTAGAAGCGCTACGGTCATGGCTTCCTCGTTGTTGGTACGTACATAGTACATAGTCGTCCAGGGCCTGCGCCCGCTTGACACGAACGAAAAGGTTTTGGCGAGAAAATCGTGGTTCTATTCACTGTCTCATCGGCAACATTGCGGAAATGGCATCTCGTTGGGGTAAGTGACGACGTGTTGGTGTCTTCTGAATGCGCCCAATTGAATTGTGGGAAATCTTCTGAGTTGTGCCAACCTGCGGGGTTTCACCCCATCTCCCTCTCGAAATCACGATTTTCTGGTTGGAAGCCTTGCCCTTCCGCTTGCCTGGGGTAGACTGGTATAGATTTCTCTCCTCTTGTTTGGTGCGAACATGTCGGGGATGGAGGAGGGCGGGGTCACGACCATATAGGAGGGTTGTTGGCTCTGGGACAACGTGGATGAAAAGACACCAAACAGCACGGGATTAGGCGAATGCAGTCGACGACAACAACCCCTCCCTCTCTCTTTCGTAGCGGTATTCTTGATACCGTGCATCAGCAACGGCAGCGAATCGTATGACCAGGAGGATTTGGTTCATGTGGTGTTTGTAAGATACTGTTTCGAAGGCTGCCACTCGCCAGTGCCCCCTCTCTGTATATTTTGTTGGTAAAGAACGAACCCATGCCGCCAAAAGAGGAACACACATTAGATTGTGTAAAGTCTAGACAGACATACTGTCACAATTTTAGCGATGATACGACCTGCGCGAGTGCACTGGACGATTGGCGGCATAGCAAAAACTCAACACACAGAAAGATCACAGCAGTGCAACGTAGAATTGCGGAGGAAGGAAGAAAATTTGTTCAGGCGCGGCAAACCACCGCCGAGAACTACACGAAGTAGTCTGCTTCGCACCAAGTTTTGACTGCATATCAAAACTTCGAAACAACTACATATCTAGCACGTTGCTCAAGCAAACCTCTTGAAAACCAGAACATACACAAGAAGATATTAAGCTAGACTTTGCTGTCGCTTCGGGGCATTCAACTCAAAAGGCAGTTGTTTAATAACAAAACACTGTTCGGGTGGGTCTCGTTCGCACCCAGACGCCATTGGTACTCTAACCGCCCTTCACAGCCCTGTCGTGTTCACACACTGCTGTAACTCCGCCATTTGCTTCGAAACTTTTCGTCCAGACCAAGGGCGTGATCTCGTGGCTCCTCTTCTCAGTGTCAAAGCGAGGTTATGGCCTATGTGCTCCGTTACCGGCCAGACTGGCTGTAGTAACAGCCGATCCTGATCAAAAACTTTTATTGAGAAAATATATGTTGTGGGTCGGCAATTGCAAAATGATCGACATGTTTTCTTTCTTTGAACACAAAACGAACAAGCCGTGCCATGTTGATCGGGGGAAAAACTGCACGCCGCCGCACGCAGGCAAAGTGGGTGGAATGCCGGAGTGTACTTCAACGCTCAGACTCGACCCCGTCCAAGATTGCCCCGTCACCAATCAAAGTGGTGGCAGTTCAGCTTTGCATACTCGGACTTAGCGCCGATACGCGAAAGCTTTTCCAACTTGGAACATGTCAATGACACCTCTACTTTCCCTCTTGCGCGCTCTTCAAATTGCTACGTAACCGGCAGTCGTCGTGCTTTTATCACCTTCTCGAGCTTCGAGTTTTTCAACCAGCAAAGATTACTGTCTCTTCTTCCCCTCGCTGCCTCGGCAAGGTTTTGCTTAGGCATGACCCAAAGCGAGGGGGGGGGTCTTTCTAGCGAGCAGGGCTAGACTCATCCTCAAGGGACCGATACCTTCTTGCTACGGCGCACCCGCCGCAAGGCGTGCGTAGTGGTGGAGTTGGGTCGGCACTGGTGCGTCAGGTACAAAGGTGCAGATGGGCGGGCCTCGAGGCCATCGGTGCAGGCAGCAATGCCCATCTCATCTTTGTGCGCGGAGGCAGACGCCATCAGAAAGGTGGACGGGCACTATGTACACGGCCCTATGCTTGCTAGAGGGAGCTGTACTGTCTCAGTAACCTGGTTTTGCCATCAAATGAGGAGGGGACAGGTGGTGACGAGCTGACTGGGCTGGTTGACCCTTCGGCGCGAGAATTTTCAGACCAAGAACCCTAAGTGCAACAAGGGAGAAAGCGAGGAACCGACTGGGAAGGACAGCAACGAGAGCGTGTACGAAGCGGAGCGGGTCGAATTTGGTCGTGCTAGGACTGGCCACAGCGACACCGGAGAAGCGGCACCGGAGCAGTGGCACCGGAGCAGCAGCAGCGGAACTGGAGCATGCGGACGGCATCGAACCGTGTCGCACGGACAAACATCTCTTGTGTTGTCAATTATTTTCCGTTTTTTTTTTCCTGAATATAGGTGTTAGGTGTGTGTAATGACGTCACTGGTTTTGTAGAGAGACGCGGCAGAGATGGCGCGGATAACCCGGGTGCCTTAATTGTGTACCTGCATCGTGGAAGACCCCTTCAATGTGGAACGATTCCTAGTCAGTGCCGATGTTTACACTGCTGCTGTGTCTAACACAGATGATCTGGATAGATTCGGGCGATTGTCAATTGCAATGATGGCTTTGGTTGGTTGTTCTTCTTCATTGTATGTCCACGGGACCATTCTGACAGCACTTCAGACAGCAGCTGCATGCCCCGAGCTTGTTGTGCACCATACACCATGGTGTTATTTAGTACAGATAGCACTTCAGACAGCAGTACGCTGTAGTCGACAAACATTCATTTTGGTGAAGTGCGGGACAAGGGGGGTGATGCCGCCTGCTGTAGTCGAATTGTAGTGTGTGGGCGTGTAGTTCAGTTGTGAGCACGCAAACGTGCTGCAGGGATTGATTGTAGGTGTACCTCCTCGGGCTTGTGTACCCTTTTCTTGCTAATAGTGTGCGCGTGTTCTTTAGATCTTCTGATGGCTTTAGCATTTTTGTGACCACGGGCCGAGTCTTTGCTAGATTTTGGGATTAGCAACTGACACGAGTTTAATGTGAAGAAAAACAACAACAACAACAACAACAACAACAACAACAACAACTGTTAGACCTGTATGTAGTAGATAAACGTCGAAAGGGGTATGGCAACTGAAGTGTCAGCCACTGTTGCCTGACCGAGCATACGATGCAGCAACGGGGCAGTATCAGCTGGAGACTCTGTCTAACATGACATTACCGTCACACCTCCGGCACCGTGTTGAGCACTATATATATGTAGACTACCGGCGGCCGGCGACGACAGCGGTGAGGTTGATTGAGCCGTACAGCAAAAAGACGGCGCGATTGTTGCGTCCAGCACATACTCGCGTACCGAGCGAGAGGTATGACGAATGCCCAGGTGCAATACTCCAACAACTCTGATTCCAAGGTTTCACAAGCGTTTAGTGAATGGTACCTTTGTGCCTCGCTGTGCCATCAGCCATCAGGTCCTTGAGCAGTCTCGCATCATGGGTCTGACAGTCCAGTGTTTCGAGAGCAAACGCCAATCTACATTATTTCGGTAGGCGGGGGGGGTCTCTAAGTGAACCGGCACCTTTGACCTTGCACCAAAAGGAAACGGACGACCACTGGCCTGCTATTTCTTCTCGCGTGCGCACGACGACTGCTGGCGAAAGCACTCTCAACACCAAATCGGCTCCAGGGCTGCTGTCCTAGCCGCTCGTTAGAGGTCATCGGGCGTGTATTTTGCCCCGAAGAGATACGTACAGCAGTAGCGCCTTTCGTGACGCAGTGCGTGCCGCTGTTTGAGTCTCATGGTGTGACAACACACTGCAGCAGCAACGAACTAGTGGGTAATGACCCACACAGGCACCGAACCAAGCATCATCAAGTCTTGCAGCACGATAGAGTCCACAACCTAGGAAGGGAGAAGGAACCTTGAATCGCTCGCCACTGCAGGACCTCGCAGTCAATAGGTGTATTGCAATCGACCAAGGTCGTGAGTTTGACCACTTGGCCCGGTCATGACGAGCAGTGGGCAAGTCGGTGGTACCTCGACAGCGGCCGGAGACACAGCGCCATTTTGCCCAACCCAGAGCTTTGGCAGTACCGAAGGTGATCCTCCATCTACAATGCAAAACCTCAAAGGTGGGAAATGGACCGCATTGGGCGACCGTAGCACGGCAGCAGCTTCGTCTGAACTCCACGCCGGCCATGTCGACGCAGGTAGTGGCCGCTCGGTAAGGTCCGACCGACGGCGAGGCGAGGGGAGAGGGAAAAATCCTGATTCAGAGAGCCGTGCACCACCCCCTCCTACTATCCCTCCGCCGCACCTTGCCCGAAGATCGGCGCAAAGAGAGGCTGAGCCGATCGGGAGGTATGATGCGCATATTTGAGTGCTGCTGCTGCTGCTGCTGCTGTACACGAATGATATGATGAGAACTACAGCAGTAGCCGTCCTACGGAAATGTCTGTAGGTCGGGTTGTGTGGAAGATTGTTGGCGACGCCTATGATCGACGATCCCATATAATAATAGCCTGGATTGATATATGTTATTCACTGATGAAATACGCAGCACCATTGAATAAGCTGCCGACGTTATGGTTCTACCTGGTATCTGTTTGTGGAGTAAATCAGAACCGCGTATTGTAGTAGATAAAATATTACCTCAGCAGTTTGCAAGAGCACCTCGGAACCGGCGCACCTGGATTTATTGAGGAGGCATAGCGATTGTGTAGGTACGTGTTATATCCCTTGTACAGCGCTTCGCTCTTCCAGTTCTCTTCGCCCGAGTAGTACAAGATGTTCGCCTATAACCATTGGTGACGGGGCAGTACCCAATCGCCCTCATCGATGCAATTGTACGATGGCATGGCGCGCCCACTCATAATCACTCACCAATGCGCACCAGCGCTAGTTTGTTCTCTATTAATAGCACGATCACGGGTTATACGCACAACATCATCGCACTTAGGATATTCCACGGCTGTGGAGCTCTCATTCAGCGCCGTTGGTCTCGCGTTGACCTCTACGCCTGACCAAATTGTTGACAACCCATACCTTTTTACATGCCAATTCAACAGGGAAAAGAGTTCCTCTGACGAAGACAGTGGGGAGATGCACAGCGGAATGAAAAAACAGGCCAATGCAGGTGGTCGAGGTCCGCGAGTTTTAGTCGTACCAACACCAACACACGGTGTTGGCAGGTCCGGCGGAAACCGAGGGGCATTTCTGATTCCGCCCCCTACCGACTCACCCCCATCTAGTGCCGCTTCATCCCACGGAGGGATCGGAAGCAGGAGCAGGGTCATAAGACGAAGGCGCAGCAATGCTGCCACGCGTGAGTCTTGTGACGATCGTCGCAGTGGTTTCGGCTCTACCCACGGCCGGCAGCAACGCGGACGCCGCATCGACAGCAAAGGTAGCAGGAGATGCAGCAGCAGCAGCAGCTTCAGCAGCAACGATAGGAGTCGTCACGACCGTAGTATCAAGAGCAGCGGCGGCAGCAGTGGTAGCGAAGACGGAAAGACTTACATCACTATCGACGATCTCGTGAGTGAGGATGGTGGCGCCGAAAGAAGGAGAACCAGAAGAAGCGGTGGGCGCACAAGCACAGACGAAAAAGAACCCCAAATCCGTGATGGCAGGCAAGCCATTGGTGGCCGGATAGGGAACGATGGAGACTCCTGCTGTCGGTATTCTCCTTTGTCGCAAGCCAGCAACAGCTGTGACAGCAGGAAGAATATCACAAGTGATGTTTGGACCAACAGAAGCGGTGCAGAACATGATGAAACCACACGTGGAGGAGAAGAGAACCCCAGCGAGGATAACGAGAGCCAAGAGTCATCCGTTCTCCGCACAAACGGCGCCCAACTCCCTAACAAACGGGCCGACAACGCTCGAGGATCGGAAACTACCGCAACGCCATCGCCTCGCGAATACCCCCCCGGCTGCAGCGGGTCTGCCGCTGGCGACACGTTCGTCGACGGCGTGAGCGAAGGGGTCATGGGCTGGCTGGCAGGATCTACGGCGGCGGCGACGGCGGCGGCGACGGACGCGGAGTCGTGCCGGACAAGGCGCGGTGATCGCGGAGGAGGGCTCAACAGCTCCGAACGTCCGTCCACCATCTCCTCGTCCACGCTGACTCCTAGCCACGAAAGCAGGCATTCTTCACAGTTTGACCGCTTGAATAGTGACAACTGCACGTACGGTACTGAAGCCGAAGATTCAGCAACAGAGCGTAGCCGCCGGAGCGGTGATGAAGGTAACGCCGACGATACCTTAGAGAGTCGCCGGACTTCGTCTTCTAGGCAGAAGAAGTTCTTGTCTGCGACTAGAGGTCGCCAGTCCACGGGTTCGATGGAGCGGAGCGTGATGGACGAGAAACATAGCCGGTCTGCTAGCAAGGCGGGTATGAAGCGACAGGCTCGTCGCTCACTGGGCCAAGGGCACGGGGTTGCGAGGCATGAGGGGTGAGCGGGGCCACAAGCCAACACAGAGCAATGCGATATAGGTCAGATCGAAAAGACAGAGAGAGGATGGAGACTAACTGAATTCCCCCGCAACGCTTTTTTTGCTGCTCGAGTGAAGCACCGGTGCCTGGATGAGCTGGTTGTCTGGATGGCTGTTGGTGTGCCGGTTTACTTCGGTGTAACTTTTGTTGCAGAGAATCGATCAAGAGTGGTCAGAACCAAAAAACAAACGGATTGCCCTCGGATGCGGGGACATCGCTGCCAATCACGCCCCCTTCCCCGGAGCATATACCGTGCTTTTTCGTTGACACCCTCTTTTAGACTGGTCTCAAAACCTCTAACTAGTCGTCCTCGTTCCAAGTGTCCGACTTGCTTCTCGCATCCAATAAAAAACCTCAGGAAGTCAACGCGTAGGCACGATACAATGGGATCCGACCGCGGCCGTCGACATGACAAGGCATTACCACATCGCGAGTCGTCCTCTGCGCATGGCAGAGGAGGGCTTGCTGATGATGTCACCGCTCGTGACGTAAGCAGGAGCATCGCCCGTGACGGCGACGACGACGACAATGACAATTCCGCGGCGCGTCGCCGGACTGAAAACTCCTCCACCGCAACGGCAGAGGGTAAGGAGGACAGCCAGGGAACAGCTGTAAGTCACGATAAGACTTCTGGAATTAAACCACGAACTGCCGCCGGCGCTTGGTTCGCAGCGCAAGGGGAAAAGAAAGCGAGGGAGGGGAGCAAGAGAGACGGCAACGGCGGCGAAAGTGGCGGCGAACGTGATGGTGTTGATGCTGCTGCATCCGACGACTCGTTCTCGGACAACATCGTCAGCTCCCAACGGCGCTTCTGTGGAAAAGGTGAAGGGATGGTGACAGGGCGGTGCGGCGGAGACGAGACCACTGAAGAAGATGGTGGCCGTGGCAAAGACTCTTGGGCGAGTATCGTCGAAGGGGGACGGTCGCCTGCTCGCTGCAAGTCGCTCATGCTTTCCTACGAGAGGGGGAATAACTCGGACTTGGTGCAGTGCGTCGTCGTGCGTGATGTGAGTACACGTTGACGCGATCGACAAAAACATATTTGATCCCCCCGTGAAATGATGCGAGAAAATGACTACAGTACAGTAGGTCCGGATGTCTCCGGTCGACCCCCTCCTTGGGGATGAGTCGAGTGCTGAATTTCCATGAAGATCAAGTTGCGTTGCTGTTACGAGGGAACGGTTGAATTGAACAATATCCAGTCTTGCACACGAACGCGTACGTGCTGGCCATCCGTGCACGCACCCGGCAAGTGCCTTCACCTTCCGGTCGCCTAACCCCGAGCCGCCACAAACTCCCTCCATGCCCCTTGTCGCATTCTCGCAGCGCTCTGGAATGAACCGCCTGTATCCTCAGTACCGTTTCTTCTTCGAGGGGCGAGGAGATCAGCTCATGATGGTGGCGCAGAAGTGCAGCAAGAACCGCACGAGCAACTACCACGTCTTCGACATGAACCGAGGAGGTTTCCAAACGGTGGGCTTCCGACATGTGTAGAAGGGCGAAACGGTCTCACCTCGCCATGGTGCGAGGACTTGGTCGGAGAGGGGTGTCAACTCGGTTCCCCACCTCTGTACTTCACTTGAAAGAAAAAAAATGGTGTCAACGCTCCTAGACGGTGAAGGTGGAAGGTCGGGTGGGCAATCAGCTCATAAACGACATGATATAACTGACACAGTGTCGGCTGGCCCTCGGCGAGAGCAATCCGCACGCATCCGTACCTCGTAGTACACGATGTCGACTTTACTTACAGGCAACAACAACAAACGTGCCTTCCGTCTGATGATTTTGACCCGTCGATCCGAAAACACGAAAACAAGGAATTGTGGTTGTTTTCACGGTAATGTCTTCTGTAGGCACGCACACGCTGAGAGACGTATCTCTGCTTTCCAACACGCACGTTTTGGGGGGATCGATTGTACTTCTCAAATTATCCCGTCTTTTACCGCCGGTTACTTGCGTTCGTTTGTTTGCCCCACAGCGCCTGAGCAAGAAGAACGGGAACTACTTGGGAAAAGTGAGGACTAACCTCAAGAGGACGGAGGCTACCGTCTTCACCAACGACCAGGCAAGTAACTTGGGAGCAAAGAAATCTGTCGGGAAAGAAATCGAAACAAGCGCGCTGTGCTGTACACATGGTGATTCCATCGTTGTTTCGTATCGTCACAATATGCCGTTCCCACGAAACGAAGTCAACCACATCGAAATGACGTAGTGTTCCGCGATACGATGATTGCAAGGTGGCCCGTTTCAACGGTTCCTCGGACGATGGTCGGGTGCATTCGGCGGGGATGGTTGTATCGGCGAGAGGATCACACGAATATTCAAGCTACCAACCACGGAAGCTTTTGTCGCCGACTCCCCGTTTTAGGTTTAGTGTGTCGGTATCGATTGGGCCAGCCTCACTCTGGTAGATTGTCGGGACCACGACACTGACCTCTATTCGTAACCGAACAACGCTCCAACGTTTGCGAAACCCGAATCCACAAAACTAACTCTAGCAGGAAGTTGCCGAGCTTGGGGCGATTTCTTTCGAAAAGCCTGGTCTGGTCGACCACTTGCGAGACGGAAGCCAGCCTAGGAAGTTCACGGTCCTGTTGCCGGCCCTGGATTGCGACGGCTCGCCCGTCGCACACAAGGTGGACCCTTACGACGCGGACAGCGACATGGTGAGAAAAGAAAATGGCGAGCCTCGCAGTGTGGCCTCTCTAGACTAGGCTATGCCTCCTGGGCTTGTGGTGTCGCCGCTCTTATAATGGTGGTGGTGGTGGAATCAACACGGAGCCGATTCGGGCTGCGCATAGAGTCTATGGAATATTGTCAGGGCGAACGGGCAAGTTGCGAGCACATTCGAACCCCGTTCCCCTCACCGACCCCCTTGCCCGCTCTGTCCCTCGCACCCTCCTTGCAGCTGTCGCGCATGAAGCAAGGCCGGCACGGCAACATGTTTCTTCTTCAGTCGAGGGAGCCGACCTACACCAAAGGAAATTACCGCCTCAACTTCCACGGGCGTGTGACGGTGCCGTCCGTGAAGAACTTCCAGCTCGTCAGCCCCGACGATGCACTCCACACCGTGTGCCAGTTCGGAAAGGTACGCACCATGATCGGCGGCGGGAAGTAGGAGCTCAGCTTGGTGTGAAGGGGTCTCGCACATACATGGGTGTGTACAAACGTACAAATCTGTTATGCAGCAAGTAGATGGGGAGTATCATTACGGCGTTGTGATCGTGCGTGGTCAGACCGCGTGAAAGCAAATGCTTCGCTGGATGCTGGCGACCGGCTTGAGCCAGAAACATACCAAGAATCTTGAGAATATTGTCGCCGATCACGAGACAATGTTTTCATATAGCTGGCCATCCAGAGAGAGATGGACGCGCACGCGTTTCTAAAACCTAGACTGTCTGGCGTCGATGATCTGCAGGTGGGAGAAGATCGGTTCCACTTGGACTACCGCGCGCCCATCAACGCCTTCCAAGCCTTGTGTATCTCCATTGCGCAGTTCAACTTCTGATGTGCAGAGGACTGCGGTTTCCTCCCTCCAGCATAACAGAAGAACCGGCCTTTCGCACGCAAAAACTGGATTTCCGGTGAAACGTATGATTACATGATTACTCAATACAGCACTGAAGGAGGTTGGTCACCTGGATGAGAATGACCGCCCGTCGAAAAAAATAGTCAAGGTTAAGGTTGCACCTTCGGAGGCTGCAGTATTTATCAAACGAAAGCTGTGCATACGATACGAAGAGGGTAGCCGAAACGTGAGATTTGCTGGGTGTCCTCTGGGATTGATGGCCTGTTTGTATTTGTCGAGTTCACTGGCTGGGCACGTTCAGTTGTAGTCTAGACTGTATCGGGCGGTAGAGATGTGGCATGCGTTGTTGCAGACGTACATTATCGGAGGACGGTGCCTTTCAGCCGCCGTTGTCGCACACGAATGAATCGAGTGGACCAGAGGTTTTTCTCTTATGGCCCTACAGTAGTACAGCAGTGGGTCCTCATGCAGAACGACAGGCATCATATGCTCCCTGTTTTCTCTCATCATGGTATGCAAATAGCTGTGCTGACGAATACAATTGAGCACCATAATTGTAGACTATGCATGCATCGAGTTTTCAAACGCAGCTCAACAGCAGTGCTCGTCCCACTCTACATATGAGGACACCTGAGCACAGGGATAGTCAAACTGCCGGACAATGTTTGCGGGTGTCTACGGGGGTATCCTCTTGTTGTTTCGTTGTTGTGGCCGGTATAGACTAGCATTGAATGAAAGATCGGGGCGGGAGATGCACAGAAAATGTTGCTGACAATAAGGGTATCATTGGGCCATGCATGGTGTAGACTTTGACTTGTAGATGTAACAATGCCGTTCTCCTCAACCAGTGGCTCTCCTTCGAGCCTCGGAGGCGCACAGATACACTCTCTCTCTGTAGACCGCTGTTCTACACAGAGATTATCTGAGAATGAACGATTGTTTTTGGCGACTTGTGCTTTTCGTGTGTTGGAAAAGAGAAGAAGGTGTGATACTCCTATACTTCAACTCATGCGTCTATACTTCATCGTGGGTATGCATACATAAATTAAGACACGGACAAGACGCCGGAGGAGGGTGGACGGCAGTGGACAGCAGTTGGTTTGGGTTTTGAAGAGAAGAAAAAATCGGGCGAGACTGTCAACTTTGCAACCCGCAACAACGTGCATCATCAGGATATCAGGATATCAATCAGGATTCACCAACGCCTTTCTTTTCGGTATAATGCTTCAGTAGCTGTTGGAGGAATTATCGCTGAATGCGACACGAGGATATTATCAACGGTAGGCCTATGTACCACGATTCGTCACTACATCAACAGAAAAGCACGTTCACATAGATCTACATACGTAAGAAAGGATGAGCACGAGACTTTTTTTTTTATCTGCATACAAAGAGACCAACGTCCAGTTTTCGCGCGGGGCTGGTGTGTCTACATTTAAGTGTGTGTTGGGGCAACGGTGCACCGCAGTGTAGGATATGACAACGCAACCAACCAAAAAAAGGATGTGCGGTGACGGCATATGTACGAAGAATCGCGAGAAACCCGGATGACAGCGGCAAACGTACCCTCGGATCGAACTCCATAGTTTTGGATCCCCGTCGCTTTTTTTTCGTCTTTGTGGCGGCGCGCGAATTGTGTTGTTGGTCCGCACACCATACGGAAGAGGCAACCATGTGAAAAACGTGCAGCGCTAGTAACGACCAGCCAGCACCTCTCCCTGGCCTTATTGCTTCGCTCGTCTTGGGTCCACGGCTTGGGGAAAACGAGAGAAAAGCAAGCCGGGCGCGAGCGATCCCGTCAACCACCTCACGAGGCTATCGCGGGCGAAGATCTGGCGGAGGGAAAACGCGGCTAGGTGCTGCTGCAGCCGTGTGAGAAGAGGGGGGCTATACTGCTGTTGTTCTCTTGTTGGGTGGAGAGGCTGCCAGGAGGTGCAGCGCTGCCTACACCAGTACTTATGCGACGACGACGGTGAGGAGAGAGACATGGGCGACTTGTCGTGATGACGCGCGGGGTTTGAATTTGAATTGCACGCGTGTGCCCATCTGTGCCTGTCCTCTCTCTCGGTAGTGTGTGTGTGTCTCTCTCTCCCGCCGTCTGCCTCTTCTGTCCGTCCTCGGTCAGCACTCTTAGGTTTCTCATGTAGACGACTCTCCTTCCTTCGTATGATACCCCGCTTATTCCCGATCAGCCGTTCGTACGTACGTACGTAAGTTGAGTTGATTGCTTGTACGTATACTTCGTCTGAAGACGAGACCGAGAGGAGAGAATAGGATGCATACGAAGCTGTGTACAGCAGTAGCCTACACTGTATGCATGGGATTGAAAAGCAGCTGTGATTTGTTTGCTGGTGCTACATCATTCATTGGTATCGGAACATGTGTAGACTATCTATGTCTGTCTCGTGTAACCGGCTTTATCGAACAGGAGTTTACTTTACGAATGTGTAATCTCAACAGCAACTTGTAACGCGAATGTGCACACCGTATGTACAAATATTCTACATTGAACGCAATCCATGTAATTGTACACAGCCGTCCTCATTGCTGTGCTGCATCATTTGTTCATTGTCCTACTGCTGTAAGACGGTAGGTCATTTGTTGGTGCTATCGGAGGCAAGAGAGACATGGATACAGCCGGAGCGGTTGAGGATCCAGCCCAGCGATCATCTGGCCAGCAGCCGCAGCAGCAGCAGCAGTGGGACCGCTTCGAGGTGGTCCTGTCGAAGCCGTCCGGTAGCCAGAAACTTGGAATGGTGCTGAAACATGCTCAGGTGACTATTTCGCCGTTTGCTTCACGAAATTGCTTTGAGCAGCCCAGTTTCGCCGTAACCCCCCCGCCCCCCCCCAGCCTTCCTCCCGCACACCCACCCCCACCCTCGGCACGCACATGACCGACAGCATAAATTAGTACAACCTGTTTTGGCTGAAACACCCAGCCCTCCTACCTCGCCGTTTCTGTAGCACTGCGGTGATATGCATATCACGGGCGTTGCTCGGAGTTTCAACGCTCCGGTTACCCTAGCCTACCCCACACCCACAGGTTTCAGTAGTACAATATTCCCATGCTTCTATTGTACAGCAGTATGCTACTTGAGTACGCTATATCGATCGTCGTACACAGACCCGGCGCATGCGTGGGGTCGACGACGCGACGTTAACCAAAGAGTTTTTTCCTTCGTTCTCTAGAAGCAGCTTTTTAACTTGTTTTTATTTAGAGTACACTATGCCTCTCTTGCGTTTATGCCCCCGCCGATCATCTACAACTTGCACCCACGCACGTCGTCGGCGCTGGCAAACATGTGTCAGGGACTCAAGAGATGCGCGATGAGTCTCGCAATTGCCTTACCAATATTTTATTGTCGCACATCACATCTCGTGGGTGGTCGTAATTTGACCGAAACAACATCATCATCCACCCCTACACGGCGGTGTATCACATTTCCTAATGTAGGTTATGCATTTGCTTGCCTAGAGATTTTTTTTTGCAACGATAGCCCCGTGTCCTTTCCTTGGCAAGGTATTTGGAGAAGAGCGGCTCAAGAGGGGGGCCTATCTCGCCGGTCTGGCGGAGGGCCCGAGCCTGGCGCAAGACCTTGGCCTCTCACCAAAGGACAGGCTTATCCTCGTAGAAGGGTTGGACGTCAAGACGCTGCCGTTTGACCGCATCGGTGAGAGCAAGAGCGACAGACAGCAGTCGCACGCGCGTGTACGGTATCGGAGGAAGTTGTTTGAAGTGACGGCGGCGAGCCTGGGCACCTGGTGCTTGAGATTAGCGAGATAGGGTTGTTGTTATTGTTGTTGTTGTTGCCGCTGCTGCTGTCTGATGTTTGCGGTGTTGCCGTCGCACAAGTGAACGTGCGAATATCCGCATTTTTATTCCCGATCTCAAATGTTTCTGTCGGCACATTGCGCATATGCATACCCTAAATAGACAGCAGGCGTCTATGACACCCACCCTTCATATTCCCCTTGTTTTGTCTCTTGTTGCAGTTGGACTCATCCGGAAAGCGACGTTCCCGCTGACTCTGGTGTGGAGCAGGCAGAGAAAGGCCGGAATAGCGGTGAGCGTCGCATACCTTGCACGAAGAAGACCGCACAGGGGGGGGTTGCCTGAATGCGTTCATGTTTATTCCTAGTAGGAAGAGAAGGAAGAGAAGAGAATCTTTGCTGCAGATGTCCCGCCAAGTATGCATGCAGCAGTGAAAAAATTATATTTCTTCCTCATGTTGCTGTGCGTCCCGGCAAAACTCTCCAAACTATATATTCATAGTACATTTTTACCGTGTCGTTTCTACAATAAACATACGCGTCCGCAGCTTTTGTCTGCCGATCAATGCATACGAACGGTGGCACCGACGGCCCTCGTCGAGGAATCGACGTAACCCCCACCATCCGGCCGGTCTTTTTTTTTTTTTTGCAGCAAGCGGCTCTCCCCGGAACGGCGATAAGACAGCAGCACCCCCCCACCAACAGGGACGGCACGCCCCCTCCCTTGCCCCCCTCGGCGGCGGCCTCGACAAGTGCGCCTTTCTCCTCCGACAAGACTGCTGTTGCTACGACTAGCAACAACCCCGATGCCGCTGCCACGGCGGACTGGGAGCAGGCGACAAGCAAGGGTCGCGCGGCCTCTAGGGCCTCTAGAGAGGCGGAAGGGGAAGAGCGGGAGGGGGCGGGCCGCCGGAATCCGCGGGTCTCTTCCACCGATGCTTCTGAGGACGTGGCCGCAGCCGGGCAGCAGCAACAGGTGCGGGGGGAATGGTGACGTTCGGAGGTTAACCCCTTTTTGTTCCGATAGAAGATTGAGTTTGTTCGTCTCTTTCGGTTACGGCCAAAGTCGCCTGTGTTTCGGAATTCGTTGTGTGGGGGTACTCGTCCGAGCTGTCCTTCGCAGTCGATATGAAACGTTCGGGACAGCACTGTTGGCAAAAGCGGCTGCACCAAGGGGAGACAGGCCCGCGATCCTCGACTGCTTTCGTAAGAATCTCGAGCAACAGCTTGTGGGCGATGGGGTGAGGCTTTCCTAAGATTAAAACAGTGCGTAACCCTCCCCCATCATGACAGACGCAAAGGGCGCCGATTGGAGAACCAATTCAAGACTGGCAACAGCAGCAGCAGCGGAGTAGCAGCGGCGGCAACAGAGCACGAAACGCCGCGGCGGAGGCCGCAGCGTACGTGCCACCCCTTGAAGGCGCTGTGCCCATGGCGCCGAAACCGTCGCCGTCGCCTCCCACGACGGCGACGATTGCTCCAGCAGGAAACGGCAGCAGGCGATCACCCGCTTCCGCCGGCAGAAAATCAAGGGAGGCGACGATGAGCTTGCAGCAGCAGCGGGAGTTGCCGCGGGAAACTAACGGAAACGGCAAGGATAGCGGCAACGCCAGCGGCAACGGCGGCTGTGGCGGCAGCAGCAATAGCACCGACGCCCCTTTGACGGCGCAGGTGGGTGGGGACAGGGAAATGTCAGACGCGGAGTGGGTTACTGCCGGGCTGCGGATGGAGAGAGAGCGCAAAGCGAACGCGCTGTCGGTTAAACCGTTGTGTTTTTTTTAAGGAAGCGTGATGGCCATGCTGCCAATTGTCCGGCACATGGTTCGTTCCTGCCGTAGTGGGTAAAATCTTGATGCCTGAAGAAGGCAGTGTTGTATTCGGCTGACGAATCCTCGAGCTCAAGTGAGCATCAGGGCGACTTGAGCGATCGGCGCCCACGGCAACAATCACTCGACGGCGCACTATCCTTTCAGCAGCAACATGACGCGTGACATTGTGTGGTGCCTCTGCTGAACTGCTTTGTTTGCCTTTGTTTTGTTCAGCGTCGAAGAGATCGGGACAAGGTTAGGCGGGACAAAGTTCGGGAGGACGCTGGGCCAGGCGGCGGGGTGGGTGTCGACAACGATGGCGGTGTCGGTTGCGGCGCCAACGGCAGCGGCAGCGGCAACAGCAGTCGCAACAGCAGCAGCAGCAGCAGCAGCAGCCACCAGCCCCAAGCCACCCCAGCCGCATCGAAGCGCGGCAGATCAGGGCGCGGGGCGGGGAGGGGAGGGGGGAGGGGTGGGAGGAGAGGGGGGGGGAGGGGAGGCAAGGGGAAGGGTGCTGAGGCTGCCAGAGCTGCAGCTAGCGCTACGGGTACTGCCGAGGCTACTGCTGCTGCGGTTGCGGCGGCGGCGGCGGGAGACGCGGGGAGAGATGATGTGGCCGCCCCCGAGTGGCTGAATCCTCTCATGAAGACCGTGCTACCGGAGTTTCAGGGCACAAGATACGCTCGATCGCGGCTGAAGCAGACCTTGGTGAGGATGTCAAGGCCCTACGTCGTTGTCCGGGGGTATAGTCCATTGATGAGGTGTGCGGCCTACACCAAACCACCGCTCCTAGGATTAGCCGGCGAATCTAGCAAAAAGCTTCGAGGCTCGGAGTACAACGTTCGGCTGCGGCTGCAATATCGACCTTGTTTATTTTTAGTGGGAGTCAGCCGGGTGGCCGTTGGTCGGGTGCGTACAGTAGGGTTAGATTTTTTTTTTCTCTCTTTCTGTTCCTTCTTCTGTGGCGGCATTAATGGCTGGAAGTGATTTTTTCTGTTGTGGAACGATGTCCTCATGTTTCTGTGACGACGCGGAGGAGTTAATTTCTAATGATTGCTTCACCAAACACCACGTCGCGAAGTACGGCAGAGCTATGCGCACTATCGCTGCGTACCAAGACGCTTGCGCCACAGAAAACAATGTGTCGTGGTCTTCAGTTCCCCCCTTCTTCCCTCCCTCGTCCTCGCCCTCTCTCTCTCTCTCTCTGTCCACTCTGCCCAACCATCCACCGACGCCCACCTACCGCCTCTTGGCCTCTCTTGGCGCAGGCTCACGAGTGGGCTCGGCAGGAGTACCGAACCGGCATCGCTTTGGGACAGGTGAGTATTGGGCTTTTTTTCGCATGTCGCTCGTGCTCTTTGTAGAATAGCCGTTTGCCGCTCACCGTTCCTTGTGCCGCGTTTCTTTCCTTGTCTCGCGGGGTCGTCCGTTTTCCCGCGCCAGATTCACGGCCGTTTACTCGCTCTATCCCCGCCCCTGTCTCGGCATCCTTCCTTCGCGGAGCAGCCGGAATAAGCGCTGCTCCTCCCACCCCCACCCTCTCGTTTTATGTGGGTCGCGTTTGGTTGTTTTTTGGCGCGTGACGAATACCACCCTGCAGGTTGACCGAGGCATGACGGAGATGGAGTTCGTCCGGAGGCGTGTGGAAGGCGGGAGCCTGTATGCCCTGCTCGAGCAAGAGTCCAGGGACTACCTCCGCGTAGGGCCGTTCACGGACGCGGATGTGGAGCTGCTGGGCATGAGTTTTGCTCAGGTGCGTTGTCGCGAAAACTGTTGCACGCTCGGTGGAGAATGGCATGGCAAGGTAGGGGCGGGCGCCGCGCAGCGGTTTCGTGTTGGTCGGACCGTTCCTTTACTCGTTACCCGGAAGTCGTATTGTTTTTCCGTCCAGTGTCGCATGCGTTGTAGCAGATAATCACCACGGTCGCGTGGTGTATGGTCACCGTGAATTTTCAACTTAAGCTTGTCGACACCCCCACCGTGTGTGGCGCATAAGCGGCAAGGCACCATGAAGATATCAGGCGAGTATTGTAACCGCCGCGCGATGACGGCTGTCGAATGCTCCCTTCTGTCTTCTAACGAAACAACACGCACCGCAGGCCCAGGCTTCCAAGGAGCTCCCCCCGCCGGCAGCAGCGCCAAAGCCTGATGCGGCGGCGGCGGAGTCGGTGCCCAAATCGGCGAAGTCGGGGCAGGAGAAAGCGTCCAAGACGGGGCAAGAGAAAGGGGCCAAGGCGGGGAAGCAAAGCAGCGGGAAAGACGCCGCCGCAGCAAAAGCGGGTGCTGCCGCAGAAGGCGGGGTTGCCTCGTGGGCCGACCGCCTGCGGGATTTCCAGATCGACATTCCCGCTTCTGCCACCTACGACGGACTCGCTTCCGATTCTTCCAGGGGGGGGGGTGCCGCGGACAGGACCGACGGCCAGGTAGTGGCGGAAGCCGCGCAGAAGGGTGGGAGCCAGCAAGAGGACGATGCGTCGGCGTGGGATGGGATCGGTGTTGACGCGGCGACGGTGATCCGGCACAGGAGACAGTTCGACCTTCGCTGCCGGGCGTACGAGGTGGGGTGGAGCGTGTGTTAGAAGTGTAGGGGAGGAGGGGAGGCTCTTGGACACTTTCGCTGCGACGCAACGCGCACGGCTTTCGTGGACGCGGCGGTTTTGTGTTGAGGGCTGTATTTCCTTGCCGCTCTTTATCACTGAGTACATTCGAAGAATCACTGAGTACATTCGAAGAAAACCAGAAATCTTCAAGATCTTGACGGTTAGCTCCCCCCACCCCACCCCCCCTTATCTATCCTGCCACTTCACCGGGTGCGTCTGTCTTGTGCCTGTCAGGCTTTGAATACCGCCTCGAGAAACGATAAGACCAACGGGCTGTTGGAGAAGACGCACAGGCTTCGCCAGGACCACGCCGCGATCGTTGCTGCAAAGGTTTGTCTGTGACTTTGTGAGCATGCCCGGTGTTTCGGAGTCTCTTGTCGTGCTGTAGTACATACGTAGTTGTGTTGTCATCGATGTGCGTGGAATATCTTCACCTTCTGTGTCCCGTCGAGATATCCGCCCAACCCTGCTAAGCGGTTTCTCCTTCTATCCGTGCACGTCGCTCGTGTGTCAGTTGTGACTCTTTCGCAATCCACCGTCCCCCTTCAACTACTGCCTTGATGTCCCCGCTCGAGCCCTTCCTCGTGCGATGTGTCTCGTGAATCCATTGTTGTTGGCTAATCGCGTACCACCCTCCCATATTGCTGTCCCCCTCCTTCCTGTCCGCCCGCGCCCCATTGTGCCTTCCCGCTCCGTGCCGGCATCGGGTGGGCCTCACGAAACGACGACAGCGAGTAACGTTGGAAGGGACTCTGCAGAACGTTCGCCAGCAGCTTAACGGCCGCGAGGTGGGTAGTATTTCTCTCGCCCTCTCCTCCCCTCTCTACCCCCTTTCTAGAGGATTCGTGTTGAGCGAGCTGGGGGGTGTTGTGACACGGTACACACACACCCGATACAACAGTGACATCATCGGTGTTTCTCAGATATGTTCCAGTTTTTCAAGTTGTTTCATCGGTTGTTTCGGGCGACAGTTTCTCCAAGCCCTTTAGCAATGTCTTCTCCCTCTCTTGGGGTCATCTTGGCCGCCGCCACCATCCCCCCCCGCATTTTTCACGCCCAGGATCAACTGCGCCATGTGCACATGGAGCAGCGCGGGGTCAACCCCCTCGACACTACGGTGGTCGCGGGTCTCAACGAAAGTGAGGCTGCCATCATGACGCGCGTCGCGGAGAAGAAGGTTCAGATGGCGGTGAGTCACGGTTCAACAGCGGGCAGTAAGTTGGTGATATCCTACAGGAGTCATGTGAGTCAATGGATGTGCTTCTGCGCGAGGTTTCGATGGACGCATGTCTTTATCGTGTCTCGACGGCCGAAGGCAGAAACACGCACCGTTACATGCATACAGTAAGAGGCATCCAGCAAGGATCACACCCGATCGCGTCAAGAAGGAGCCTCTACCAGCCTCATGTCAACCGCCGCCGTTTTTTTTTGTCCTTCGTACATTCTTGGATGGTACGCGCCAAGATGATCATCGACGAGGCGAACAAGGTGGTGCAGTGGGAGCAAACCGCGGAGCTGGCCAGGAGGGAGGCCATGCATCATGCGGCTGACATGCACGGACACGGGGGGGGCTTCGCGCCCGGGTCAGCGAAAGAGAGGAACGAGCTGGTGCAGTCGATGATGTCCCAGAAGGTCAACATCATGCTGCTGAGCACCGTGAGTTGATTTCTTTTCTTGCGGTTATTACGCGTTTGTCGGCATGTTTTTTATTTTTCTGGATACAAGAAAGGTCTGGAAGCTTTCGTCATGCGGCTGGTTTCGACAACGCATTGCAGTACTGTAGCGTGACGCCTTCGAAATGCGCTATCGTGTTTTTTTTTTTTGTTTGTTCGTGTGTGTGTTGTGTTGCTTGACGCTGAGCATGGCAATTCAAGGCTTCGTGCGTTGGGCATGTTGCGCCTGGTTCGATCTTTTTTGTTGCCCGTGTTAACGCAATGAGTAGAGGCGATGCTATCGAAAAATGCCCGGCGAAATCTCCCCAAAGCTCAGAAGATTATGTTGGATGATGCGCAACAGCGGTATGGATACGGTTGTATCACTTGTCGACCATGAGACCGATTGCATCCCCCCCTTCCCTCCTCCTCCTCGGCGTTCCATGACCGTTCTACGCCAGTTCTGCAAGCTTCGAGGTCCCTGGTTGGCGCCATCTGGATACGTGCGGGGGAAACGCTCGGTCTCTGATGGTGCCGCTGGTTCTGCCGTAGCCGCCGCGGAAGAAAAAGGTGCCGAGCCTGACCCACGCACCGCGGTAGTGTCGTCACCAAGCCTCAGCGTGAGTACCGCCGAAAACACTGCGGCCGCCGCCGCTGCTGATGACAAGCAAGGCGACCGTCCTCCCTCAGGCGGAAAAGATGACAGCGGGAGTGGCGGCGTGGGGGAGCCTAAGTCAAGCAGCAGCAGCCCAACGAGTGCCGCTGGCGGAAACGATGGGGCGGGCTCGGGGCCGGCGGCCGGGGCAGGGGCGGGGGTAGAGGCGAAACCGGGGAAAAGACAAATCAAGCTAAGGCTCTTGCCGCCGTCAGAGGCAGAGCCGAAGAAAGAGAAGGGTGATGGAGATCCCGGTCAAGACGCTCATCGGCAGCAGCCTGGGCAGCAAGCAGAGGGAGGGGGGGATGCTGGTGCGGCGTGCACAGGGCCGAGTTATACCGTGGCAGCGGAGGGGACTGCATCGCGAGCGGGCGACAGCAGTGGTGATGGCTTCTCTTCGATGGCTGCGGTGATGGCTATGGGGGGTAAGGAGGCCGCCATGGCTAGCTTGGCGGGCGCGCGAGGTACGGGAAGCGTACGAGAACAAGACGGAGTTGATGCTGGTAGCAAGGGGGGTGACGGTCCCGCTCCAATGGACGCCACGGCGTCGACCGCAAGTGGGAATGAGGGTGGAGACCGGGATCAAGAAGACGACCCCAAGCCAGAAGCCCGGGACGCCTCTTCTCTGGCTCGGCGGGGGTCCCCGTCGCCCGCTGAGGGTGATATGGACAAGGGGGGGGCTGGTGCCGGCTCGCACTCTCCCCAACATTCAACACCACCAGCAGACGCGGGTAGTTTGAGGTTAAGTGAGGGTGGCGGCGGAGTTGGTGAAGATGTATCAAACGGAAGCAACGGGATGGATGTGGACACCGTGTAGGTCCAGAGTTAAAAGTTGAGGCGAGTGAGCCTTGATGTGTAGTGGTGGGGCAGGAGAGGTGTTTAGGAGAGCCGATGGATTATTTTCCAGAGACACGAGTCACAGGCCGAGGAAACAAAGGCTTTCTTTGGGCACGGCATGCCCGTAGACTTGACTCATGTCATGGCATGAGTGTTGGGCGAATCATGTTGGGCGTGAACCTTGTCGTGCCAATCAGGCGGTGCGACTCTAGAAGTAGGGCCTGCAACTAAATACAAGCTACGGATGTTTGTTGGTGTAGTTTTGCGCGTGAAGTACGCGCATCACGGATGATGATGCTTTCAGCGACAAACACACTGTGATCAGAGAGAGGAATGGGGGAGCGTCTGGAAAGATAAAGGGTGCAATTGCTGCCGTCTGCATGCGGAAACGGAAAACGTGCACAAGGCACCAAAGTCGAGGGATTGAGGAAGCTTGATATCCCATGCACAGTTGTTCAAATAACCCGCATCACGGGTCACAAGTAATGTCGGCGCTAGCCAGCTCTTCTTTCGCTTTGAAGACGATCGTCTTGCCCCAACGCTCGCCGCGTCTTTGCGTGACCGTCGATTTCCAACCAGAAGGTGCTCAATATTTGCCGTGTAAGCCTCTCGCCAAGCACTTGCTCTGTGAATGACTCGTCACTAGCGTCGGAGGGTGAGATTCAATACAGCAGCATCGGTCAGCAAGGATTGCAGGATGATTTCATGGAGGTCAACGTCTTCCCGAAACCAAAAATTAACCCTGTTTGAAGTCTAAACCTACCGCTGCTTTAGCTTGTTGAACAAAAGACGCGCGTGGTTGCCGACGAAACAAGTGAGCGCCAGACCTCCACGGGGATCAGGTCGGATCCCGATTCTTCAACAGCAATACATGAAGTCCCGCCCCGTCAGCGATTGTGATGTCTTAGCCATTACAGTCACGCGAGTGCAGAATGTTAGGCCCACAGCAGCGTACAAGTTATGTACCGTCTTACCCATCACGGTTGAGCAGTAAAATAGTAACATGAAGACTGACCGGCCTGATATCTGAGATTCGGGCACGGGATATCCTTGAGCACCAAGACCAACAAGAGAAGAACCATGGAACATCAAAGCAGATGTTTGTGGGCAAGGCCTAACCCTAAACCTCTCCATCTCTCCATCTCCATGTCGCCATATTTGCGTCTGTTTGTCCGTTTGGTTCGGTCGTCGGACTTCGGTAAGGGGGTGGGTTGAGGGACTGCTGTTTTCAACCAATGAAATGGCTTCTGCCGTTCGTTTTATCTCTCTCGCTCACTGTTGCCCCGCGTGTCCGTACGTCCATACAACACACATCTCCTTTCCGCTGCTCCCATCCACACCACGTGTTGGGGAGAAATCAAGACCGCACCATGGCTGACCAGGTACAATCTGGTTTGTCGTTCCTCCTATCAGAAATAGCCTATCGAAACAGCCTAATGTACTTACTGCCTCCGGTCGAGACAAATTTCATTCGTCGATACAGCAGTACATGGGTTGCGTAAGATACCACCCTCCGGGACCTATTTTCTTTCAAAGCCCGATAACTCTGCAGCACAAACACTGACTGTGCTGAAAAATGGTGGTGTTGGAACCTTCACGTCGAGAACTTTCCAAAACCGAATCGTTAGATGTACAGCAGTTGTCCGTGGATTTCTAGGGCTTTGAAAATCGGTCCAGGGGTGTGGTATCTTATGCAAGCTGCTGTACCCTGTTGCGATGTGTGTGCGTGTGTTTTACGGTCGCACAACAGCAGTATACCAATATGATTGGGGATGTTGTCGATGGAACGTTATGTTCACGAGTGCGAGCAGCCCCGTACACATGCTTGATAATCAAGTGCTTGTCCGACTACTCGTAGAAGCAAAGAAACACGTTCTTCTGTCCGTCTGCCTTGTTCCTCGAATGTCCGGAATTACGACGAGCACAGGCTCTGCCAGCTCACACCGTTTCCCCGTCGTTACGCCTATGTATACAGACGGCGGCGACGACGACATCGACGTCAGAGGTGAAAGAAGTGGAGTTGGATGGGCGGGGAAAGTTGAAGCTGGAGGTAAATTGGGGGGTGGGAATCGGCGGTGGGCTATGGAGTACTGGCATCCTCCTGACGGAACACCTTGCGAAGCATGCCGCGTTGTACGATCGCGTCTTCAAGGGCAAGCGCGTGCTCGAGTTAGGTTCTGGCACAGGCTTAGTAGGTGAGGTCGTGAAGTGGGGGTAGGCGAGAGAGAATCTCAAGCCTGGCCGTAGTCTCAGACCGCTAACTACATACATGTAGCTCGCATCTCTAAACCCTGTAACTCGACAGGTCCAACGACTACAGCAGCACCAGTAACAGCAGTAGTAGTGTTTATTGTCGGCACCCACCTCGGAGTCACAACACGATTCCTCCTCAAATGCGTTTTATGTGGTCTGCGGGGCAAGTGAAACCTCTCGTTTATCTTATCCAGTTGCACGCTGAACACACACGCGCGCGTGCGGTTGTCTCTTCCCCTCTTGTGGTGCCCGGAAGAAAGGTCTTGCTGCGGCAAGATTTGGCCCTCCTCTTGAGGTTGTCATCACAGATTTGGAGAGCCATGTCGACATCTGCAAGAGAAACGTCGCTTCTCAAGATGACATGGGCGCACAGGCAAGCACCTGCTTTTCTCGCAACAGAGAACAGTATGGTGTTGAGGGAGTACTAGTGCGGATACAACGGGCTGTTCGCCGTTGCAACCCATTGAAGAGCGATCTCGCCATCTCAATAGGCACTTCACAGAACCAGCCACAGGACACCTTGGGCGCAAATCTACTCGGCCGGTTTTCGGGCAACAAAAAGCTGTGAAGTAGTTGTTGTTGAGGTCGGTGCATTTCCGTCACCTTCTTACAATATTGACTTGAGTACCAAACGGTCGAATCCATGACAGACAACACATGTCCATGTCTGTCCACAAAAGGGCCTGTGTTCGGTTCGAGTGGAAGCGTATGACTGGAGCAGCGAGGTACCTGAGGAGCTCGGCGAGGTACCGTTCGACGTGATTCTGGCAACGGACGTCGCCTACTACGAGCACCTCTACGCGCCGTTTGTACAGGCGAGTGCGTGTTCTATTGTCCTCCAACGATGTGGTTTAGACGGCCTCTTTTGCCGCCCAGTTGTAGACAACGACTTGTTCTTGTAGTGGTATCGTACGTGCCAGAAGGGGCCATCTCTTTCTCCCTCCCTCCCTCCATCCCTCCCTTCCTTCCTCCCTCCCTCCCGCCTCCTTCTCCCGGTAGAATTTCTGCTAGAAATTTAGCACCTAGAAGGGCCTTCGTGTTTTCATCTTCGGAGGCCCGGTGTTGTGCGGCGTAGGCAGTGCATCTATTTTCCGGGAGTGGAACGTGGCAACACCCACCCACCGATACCGCCCCCCCCCCCCATGTCTTGGTTGTGCTTGATGCTTGATGCTTCATGTCTGCGTCCCCCCTGCTGGTACGGAAAAGGCGCTCGAGCGCACAGCCGGGCAACACACGCTCGTCTTGCTTGGGGTCACAAGAACAGACACGGGACCAGCGTTCTTTGACGCTTTGGACAAGGTGACGAATGCACACTTGCGACCCCCGCGTCATCATGCGGGTTTGTTTTTCGTATCAGCCCCAGCTGAGTACAACAGAAGATAAAAAATCCTAATGGAAACCCACATTTTGCTGTGACTTCGGTTGCGAGGACGGTCGGTATCTTTAGTTTTGACAAAACACATGCATGTAGTGGGCTCTGCGATGATTTGTTACTCTTTGGCGCAAACGGATAGGATGTTGGGCAGCAAGAGGACTCGTGCGTGCAGTCACAGATTCCGCACCTTGAAATACCCACCAACGTTTATCGCTCGCCCTAGATTGTCACCGCTGACTGGTGTTTCCTCTCTCCTTGGCGTGCCACATGTCTCTTTTTCGACTGTTCTGCCGGCAGGCTGGGTTCGTGTACAACCTCGTTGACCAAGCGTCGCACAAGGGCTTCGGTCTGTTCACCGTACAACGGGAGCAACCAGACGAAAGGCCCACCATGTAGAACAAAGCCCTGAATTCTTCCCTAAATTGTTTTTGTGCATCGTGTTAAGACCTGCAAACATGTGAACGTTGGCATGTTGGCCACTCGCGGAGGTTCGGCACAACGAACGATGAGGCGACACACTTGGGATGCTGCAAACGTGTTGGCGGGGTAGCTCGGAATCAACCGTACAGACGCGTTCGGGATGAGAACGCCGCATATTCGATGTTGCTGTAGGTTTATCACATTCGACGGCCATGTCGGTCTCTTGTATGGTGGCGAAAACGACCGTGAGTTTAGTTGTTGGACCCCAACATCAGTGAAGATGGTCGAGATTGTTTCGAGCACCACAGCATGCTACTAGCGCCTGTTCGCCATGCTAGCCCCGCGTCATCTGAACTGTGTAAACCCCTTCGAGAAATTGCTGCTCTTGTGACTGGGGGGCTCTTCATGACTGTTAAGGGTGCTCCCGTAAAATTGTGGGAGGTATTTGAGGCCCCGGGCTTCATACTATCTACCGCCGGCACAGCATGGAGAGCCAGCCTACTCTCCACATAGGCGCTATGAAAAGTGCCACAATTCTCATGTTCACTGCAGCCCAGCGGGTTTGGCATCATTTTGGATCTAACCTACCAAGTTTTGTTGAGTGGCGTAACGATGATCATGTTGGGAGGTAGTTGTGCGTTGTGTGCTGATGGACACTTGTATGTTAAGAGGGACATCATCTTCGTCATCACGCACTTGTTCCCACCCAAACATATTCCAACATCAGGCATGGGCTTGGTGTTTACGGTTTTCCAGAAACTCAACCTCGTCACATCCTCCTTCGTGTGTGTGGCAAGAGCTTTGTTCGGTTGGCGACCCCTCTTCATTTTTGTTAGCCTCGCGCGGAGATGGCTGACTCTCCTAGTAGCCTAAATGTCATCGGAACCCGAACGCAAGCAAGCAAGCACACGGCCTAAAACACCACGGCCAACGGCTACGATAGACAGCGTACCCGCCGTGTAACACCCTCTCTACCAGGAAAGCCCAAGCAGAACCAACTGCTGGCGATTTACGCCACCAAGCTCATGCAAACTTTGGCTAGCAAGCACAAGCGCGGTAGGGCGCTCGTGGTAAAAGGTGAAACACGATGTCCATGCCCATGTCCTTCTCGAGACAATTCTGAAACTGTCGTTTCGATGGCCTTACAGACGGCGACCACGGCGTCCGCCCTTCCGGCGGGTGCAGTCAGTAGGGATCGGGGTGACATCTTCGATGCGGCCGATCTGGATCGGAATTGCAACAATGCGCGAGCGCGACCGGTGGGGGTGGGCGGCGTGAGAGGAACGGTCAGACACCACGCGGAACAAGAATGTTGGGGGTGTTGCTGCAAGAAAAACCATCGACATTTTTTGTCCGACCTTTGGCACCTTGTTTCCCTCTACTAGCTTCATGATGAGCTGCTCCCGGCCGTGACACTTTGGTCGGGCAAATGCGGTTGCCATCCACAAATGGGGTGGGAGCTTTGTGATGAGTGAGGCAAAACCAAGGACCGTGAGGAAAAAATATGCAAGAGACACGGGCCCGGATAAAACGATGTAGACCTCTGTTAGACGTTTCAATACGGAGAACCACTTCAGAAGACAAAGACACGGCGTCCCAAGACGTGAAGATCTGCTCTACGCTAACGCAGGTCAAAAGGAACTATCGCATGTTTTTCTCCCGAGCGCTGTTTGTGCCGTCACCTTCATTCCTGCGCGAGCAAGAGCGCGGAGGGCCGACTGTGCGCCGGGGCCGGGGGTCTTGGTCTTGTTGCCGCCGGTGGCGCGCATCTTGATGTGCAGGGCGGTGATGCCCAGCTCCTGTAGGCCACGCACACAAACCCAAGCAGCAGAAAGGAAAGGCACCAGCGTGTAAGGGTCGTGCCGTTATTGGTTCTGGCATAGTCCGTGCCCAACAAATCTAACCGTGACCTTGGACTCGTCAAGTAACGATATCTCAGATGGGCGGCGGGGTGGGGGGGTGCTCTGTGTACTCGTGCAAACGCGATAGGCACGGCGTAGGTTGAGGTGCTGCATGGATAAGTTAAACTGCAGTTTTGGGTCGCTGTGCACAACATGGGATACGAGAGGAAAAGGAGCAGAAGCGGGCACAAGTAAAGCTCTAGCTGAGGCCTCCAACGAATCAACGCTTTATCACACCAACAAATCAACGTTTTATCACAGCAGGCCGTAATTGACCCACTCGCCGCTGACGGAAGCGTTTGGAGCACCACCAACATGCAACCAACGAAGGGCGTCATGAACGAGATTCCTCTAGACGGGAATATATGACTTTCAAGGAATGCAAACAATCGCAAACCCTGATTGAGCGAAAGATAAATCGCGAAAAATACTTGAGAGCGCGTCGAGCTATCCGAAATGAACAAACGGGCTTGCAACAGAAGCGTAGAGCCTGGATATTCACACGTTGTGTGCAACGCGCCACGTGCAGGGCACGCGCGCAGAAACGCTCACGATCGTTAAACTGGCCATACGGGGTTTTGCACAGCACGAATGCTGACAGCGCCCGCACAAGCGCACAGCGACGTAATATCGAATAAATGCATCGGTTCGATGGTCCCGAGCACGCGCGAGGTGGAAATCCTCGTTCGCGTAGTCGCGGCACCTTTATTTGCTGCTCATGAAATGATGTATTCCAAACTGTGCAAGCACCAAAATGTAACCGTGGGCACACAACTCTCCAAAGGTGCTCCTGCGTAGAATACGAAAGCGTCATACTCATACTACGTACCCACACCTCGGGCACCACAGTAGCTGGACGAAGGTAAACGACAAACAAGGTGCTCACCTTGCAGCGGGCAGCCACGTCCTGTGCGGCAAGCATGGCCGCGTAAGGGGAAGCCTCATCGCGGTCAGCCTTGACCTTCATGCCGCCGGTCACGCGGACCATGGTTTCCCTCCCCGACAGATCCGTGATGTGCTGCACGTTACGGTACGTGTCCAACAAAGGGGACGGGAAGAGAGAGGACCGCCGAGGGGGGTGGACAGGGGAAGAGGGTTTTATAAGGCCAAACACAACACCAGAGTGTCCGACGTTTCAAGCGTACGCTTGTGGTGATCGTGTGATCGTCTGGAGGAGCACAACAAAGAGATGTAATAGTCTTTAACGGAGCATGTGCTCCGATTTCTCCAACAACGGGATATGAGGGACAGTGGTACCGGATACTGACAGGATACCAACAACAACCCCGAAAACCAGGCAATGGCATTGGATGCCAGCACTGCATCATGACACACGCGATCAGCCCAGTAGCGCAGAGTCTAACGGCCTTGTGTGAGCCGCGAAACCAGGATATTTAGGTTCAACCAGGCAATCGCTTCTTCAGGTGCGCGGGGGCGGATAGAGCATCACGTGCAAACTTAGCGAGATGCCACACCCGCGCTGTACAAAAAACGATATCGATATCCCGTGAGTCTCACTTCCTAGACTTGGCCCCTCATCCCGTGATTGTGTACTGTCGACCGCCCGCAAGGCGGCACGATAACCTAGCTGGAAGGCCGTTTTCGACAAACCCTCGTCTAAATGAAACCAATCATGAGACATCCGAAGATCGGCGTAAGATGACGGGTGTTCTAGTAGCCCGTGCTACGGCGTGGCAACTGCTTTCTGCGACAGTATCGTTCACGGAGCGAAGGACGAACTGAACGTATCCATGCTGCTGAATATCGTTCGAATCGCCTCCAGAATCGATGGACCCTCAACACTGCGGAGTTCGTCAAGCTGTTGAGTACGCATTTTTCATATTTTCAGCTATGGTTCGCATGACCAGTCCTGACAGACAACTACAGCAGCAGCAGTATAGTATAGTATAGTATAGTATAGTGGGAGTACTCACAACGAAGGTGTCGTTGAACGAGGCGAAGATGTGCGCGACGCCGAAGACGTTCTCTCCCTCCGCCACCTTGGGGCCGAGGGTAACCCTCTCCTCCACCTTGTCCTCCTTCGTCTTCTTGTCCGCCTGTCGATGGATGTAGTCAGTCAGTCACACAAGACAAAGCCGATTTAGATAACGCACGACTCTTCAACTATTAAACCAAGAACCGCGGTGCAATGGGCTACATGGAAGAGGATGTTCGCTCAAAGCACCACCAGAGGATGCGCACGGAAAATGTAGCCTTACAGCTCGAAGTGAGACTCGGAAGTAAACAGTTACCGAGCAGGCGATGGTTAGTCGTAGGAAAATCACTAGTTTAGGCAACTGGGTACTCCCGTACGCTTCGCAGACGCCAAGTTGTGGGCTCTCCCTCTCTCACGAGTTTGTACCGCGATTACCGACGCTCTGCATGCAAAATTAAGCGTAAACATTACACATAACAATAAATAGGCTGTGTGCCGCTGATAGCATTTGGTATCGGTTTCAACAACACAGCTACAGGAGTAGCGGTATCTTGGGCTAGGGACACAGTCTCGGCTCTACGCGTCTTAGACTGCACGCTGTACTTGTATCCGTCCGAAGAACGAACGACCCTCGAGGCGTCTCGCACATGTCTTACAAACCCAAATATTTACAAGTACTCCAGCACAGGCTTTGCAGGACAGCGATTGTTGTTGCCAGTTGAACCAAAACCACCTCTACCGTAGTGGCGCATGACGAGGACTCGCCGGGGATGGCATGCGGGCGGCGGCACTTGCGCACTCGAGCGCTGCTATTCCACTCCAAAACAGCAGTCGTCTACATACTGCTGATGGTGTAGTCTACTCGCGGCGCGGCTACTGATTTGTGATTCGGAGGGGTGACCTTTTCCGACTCATCTTGTCACACCTCCCTATCTTGACGCGTCCCAGTACGACCCAGCAGCCAGCGTGAACTTTACTGCACTCGCTGGGCCCTGCCCCGCCACCTTTCATTACCCACACCCTAGCCACTCAGCTATGTACAGCTCGCCGTGCTGCTGCTCACGGCACCAGCTGCGTGAGAAGCAAACAGCAGCTGCGCCGCGCACGAGAGCGGAATGCAGAGAAACCACCAGCCCATACATCGCTCTGTCCTCTTCCTCCTCGGTGGTACGACTCAACGATCAAATGCCAAGGCAACCCTGACTTCCGCGACCCAGACTCCTCTGCTGGGTCCAGCAATCAAACCGCTGTGTTTGTCGAAGCGGCATGGCCCATCCATTCCCCTTGCCTCTGCTGAAAGCTCAGCTCTGGTAGAATCGCGAGCCTTGCATGGGGCTGCAAGCAAACGTTCAGGGAGAATGTGCGACACTAGCATCCACTCACCATGATTGAAACGAGGTGCCTGCCGCGGAGGGGAAAGCTGCCAACCTGTGAGAGAGCGCCTGCCCTCCATTCGGGACAAGCGAGTGGGGGGCTCGCGGACACGATTTATTCACCCATACCCCGTGCGTCGTATATGTTGATTCTGCGTCACTCCCAAAGCATGTGTTGATTTGTGGTTTGTGCACATTGATTGCGCCATGGACGGACCGAACTCGTCGACCGGCCAGATCTCTGTACTTGGCGACAGTCGGAACTGGTGAGCGTGAGCCGTAAGGATAATGGCGCCGATAATGTGATGCGGACTCCTCGTCTATTTTGGTCAACAAAAACTCAACTCTTTTTTTTTTTTCTCGCCAGATTTTTGAATCCTCCGCAGTCAGCCGTAATCGATGCATATTGTATTCGTATGTTGCTGAAGATCCCCACACCACATCATGCGTGACAAGCAGGTTGTCGCAGAGTCCAGACGTCATACGACACGCACTCTTTAACAGTATCACTTCACTCGCTGAGCATACGGCATGACGCTTCACGAAAGCCAACTGTTCTGAATCAGGTACCTATTGCTCTGCCTGGGTGGGTTGCAAACGGTTGTAAAGGCGGAGGTGAAGCGGCACCTGGAAGCGTCTCGACAGGAAGAGGAAGGAGACATTTACGTGTTCGAGGAAGATTTTGGAGGTGCGGCATACCTATAAGGCGCTGCAGAATTAACTTTGCGTCACACCTATTACTGTTATGATGATGGCCCATGAAGTTGATCCCCTTCGTGATTGCATTATTGTTGACGAAAAACTTCAGCAACCCATTGCAATTCACTGCATGTATGTATGAAAACTGTTGTGTCCCATGTACCGCACGTTCAAAATCGATTCGTCCCCAATTGCAGCAGTGAAGCATGCCGCTGCTGCTTGCGTTTTTTGTTATGCAAAAAAAACATTAACAATAATGCGCTACAGCTGTAGACTAAATTGCAGCGCACGAAGAGTACATACCTCGTTTAGCCTCTTCGTATCCGCCCGCCAATGCTACAACAGCGACACATAACGTGATGACGAAAACCAGGAGCGCCAGACCAAGTCGAAGGGGTTCACTCCGGCCAGGCGGGTTGCGGGAAGCTGCTGGTGGCGACCGATGCTCCGCCCGAGACCCTGCGATCGCTTCGTTGCGTCCAGGTATGATATGTGACTTTTGTAGTCACAGGTACAAAAGCATCTCGAATGCGCCTTTCCTTTACGAGTGGATGTGCTCGTATGCTTAAGCAGCACCCTACTATTAAACGACCACCTCACAACGCAAGAACGGTCGTGCCTGTCTATTTGTGCCCGTTGTGTCATTGTGTTTGATACGGCGTATTTGCGTGTGCCAAATGTACCGTAGTTATGGTGATGCCTCGCTTCGTGCTACGTGCCACTGATACCTACCTACACGTTGCGGACGCGGTTGTTACCTTTTGTTCGCACCACAGAACCGTGCAGAACCGCAATAAAAAACAGTCATCTGAAGTACATCGACTAGGACTAGCTTAGAATAACGCTCAGGCATGTTTCCGCAAGCGCGAAGCGGCAGTGCGCGGCAGTGACCATTGCTCCTTTGTTCCCATCCCATAACGCTGCCGGCGAACAAACATGCCGGACGACCCATCGCTCTCCACCTGAACGGGTGCACACGCCAAGGGCTTGTTCGCCCTCGTCGCGCACTCCGGAAGCTTGGACATCACGAGGAGTCCTCGACAGGCCGCCGAGTCCACTGCAACATCCTCCCCGCAGAAGATTGCCTCTGGAGCAGCCCCAGCGGAGGGCCCCAACACGACAGAAGCCGCGCTCGCTCGCTTGGAGTCCCTCGTGACGGACTCCCCCCTGTGGCCTGCGGCCATAAACGTGTGGAAGCGTTTCAAGGTTTCACAAGCACGGTCGACGCAAGCAGCAGCTGCAGGTGCTGGGGGTGTCAGCGGTACTGAACCGAGAGATTGTCCCGCCTTGGGTCGGCCCGGCCAAGAGATGGAGGATGCGCCGCGGCCCGTTGGCGACATTGACGTCGCCGGCCTCAAGTTCCGGGCTTCTGTGGTGCGGGATGGGCAGCACCCTTTTAGCTCCGTCGAGGCGTCGCCAAGGCTCGGAGGAGCCGTGTGGTCCGTGAACCGTGGATGGACCGTGGATTTAAAGGTGCGGATTGGTGGGTGGAGGGCTTTTTGTGAATGACGTGTCGTGGTTGCTGCGCCGCGTGTGTTGGTTCGCAAGCGAAGGGAAGGGAAGGCTGACCCTACGTGTTCGGCTTCCTGCCTAGGAAGAACATCTGCGACAGGAGACTTCGAGGGGCCTTCGGCTGGCGGCCCTAGGTGCCTTTCGCCACGACTCGGAACAGCTGGTTCTGTTTTATTGTTCCCCGAACGCTGTCTTGCACTTGTTATGAGGTTTTAGTCGTTTGTACTGACAGCAGGACGTCCCGTTCTCTCTACGGGCCCCTCGCCCCTGCTCCGCTTTGACGATTGTCCTGACTTCTCAGGGGTATGATGTGGAGGTAGTGGCCTTCATTTTGGAGAGGGGTGTGGCTGTGGGGCTCGCTCTCGACGGCGACCGAACCAAGCGTTGCTCCCACGGTGAGATGCTTGTTGCCCGCCCTCCCTCTCCAGTGTAAACTATTCGACCCTGCGGTGTTGGTGGTATCTGACGGCCTCAGGGACGAAACTCAGTGAGCTTCCCCCCGGAAATTTTGGTGAGTAGCTGCAATTGAACGGCAAGGTTCTGCTTTCGTCAACATGCTTGGACCGCTACATACGTGTGATAGTGTATTGAAGCCACGAAATTTGGCGAAACGTCAATTTTGAACTAGTAGCGAAATTTCAGAACGCTTCCTCCATCCTTAAGCACGCGTCGCTACGGTGCCAACCAGCTTTCCTTGTTGTCCCTGCAGGTCGCGTTCCGAAGGAAGACAAGGGTTTCATAGAGACTGGGAAGCGCATGTCATCCCTCCGACCGAGCACCGCGTACCTCATGCTCCGCATGGCGGAACCTGTGGTCGGGGATGTGATTGTCGACTGGTGAGCAACATGCACCGTTCTTGACGTTGGGTGCGTCGTGGGGTTGGAAAGCTCTTTCTCCCCAGCGACGCAAGGCGTATGCGGGCAACCGTCACGCATCATCGCGTTGGCTACAGAGTGGTACCGTGTGTTGCTCTTCCTGACAGCTTACCTACCTGTGCGATCACCAGCTCAGCACTCTGTCCCGTTTGGTGTTGAGTTGACATAGCCATGGCGTAAGTCCGGCACCTTTGTGGTAACGACAACACAACGTGCGCAATGCCCGAACCAACGAGCTATCCCGCTGTACTGTTCACCTTCTCCTGAAGCATGTGTGGCGTGGGGACGATCCCTTTCTTGGGCGCGGGCTGGTTCCCGGGCGTGTGTTTGGTGGGAGGAGAGATCGACGACAGCGCTATCGATCACCTGCGGCGAAACGCCCAGTCCTTGAGGCGGTCGCCCGCTGGCCGAGCAGGGGCTGCCGGTGGTGCCTGCGCGTGGGATGCCCAGTCACTGCCTCTTCGCGATGGCTCGGTGGACGCGATGGTCGTTGACATGCCGTTCGGTCAGTCTTGCGGCACCCCGAGACAGAACGCAAGGCTCTACCCTTTGGTGATGGCCGAGATGGCGAGGGTCCTGCGTCCTTCCGGGCGTGCCGTGCTGCTCGTGACGCAGCCCCATCTCCTTGGTGTGCCGGGACTGCGGCGAGATAACCAAAAGGACAGGAAGAAGTTGCGGAAGATGGCGAAACAGGCGAGCAGGGTCGGCGATCGCGGGGATCATGACCTCGGTGAGGGTATCGAGGGAAGAGCAGCATCAGAAGAGACCGGGTCGGGCGAGAGGTGTGGGGAGAGTACATCCCGACACGCCGGTAATATCAATAGCAGCAGCGATGGAGGCATGAGCAAAGATATTGCCGACACAGCGGGTCACGGGGTAGAGAACGTCACCAAGCAAGAGAAAGAAGACGTTGACCCAAGCGATTCTGGAGAGCTAGCGTCACCCGCACCAGAAAAGGGAACAAATGATTTCCCTCTGTGTGACAGCGAGAGGAGCGTATGCGTAGCAGCTGCTGCACCAGGAGCTCTTTGGCGCATCAGGGCTCGGCATGCGGTGAACGTCGGGGGGTTGATTTCTCACCTGCTTCTTTTGGATCGGACAGACGAGCCTCCGCGCTCGCCGCGCGTAGACCGACGGCATCGTGTGGTCGGGGCGAAGGCTTACTGCAAGCGCCATCATGAAGGGGGTGCTGTGTCGTAATGATGGCGATAACCAATGGCCAAGCAAATTATTAGACGTATCACTGCATAGTGCCGATGTCGGTTTTGATTGGGTTGTTATGGAGGAACGCGACGTCGGTTGTTGTTTTCCTTGTACAACAGCGTGGAAGCGACGCGATTGGTGATTGTTTTGGGCGCTGTATACACCAGCAGCTAGAGTTTTTCCTGAGAGTACGGACAACGTATCCTGATGGTGTTGCAGCTGAACAACCCAGACACCATATCCCGGGCAGTGGTGGGTGAGAACGACACCAATTTTCCCCGTGTGACGACGATTTGATTTTGCGCTTGATACTCATGCGAAGCATCGTAGACAAATAGAACCACCCTGCCGTGGGGTGAAGCGTGCGAGTCGACCTAAAAACAATGGCCGCTATCTGGTCCAACAAAACAATGTTCACCGCAAACGCTTGCGGCGTTATCTCTCTCCTTGCCGAATCGACAAAACAAAAAGAAACACCACGAACGAGGTTAGCTACTAACCTCACCTGCCAACACGAAGACGAGTAAAACAAAACGAATAAATGCTCCACAGAACCACCGATCCACCGCGTCTACTGATGAGGCCAACACTATCTTCGGTGGTGTCAGAAGTGACCGAGCGACGGCGAAGCCACGAACAAATCTCGTATCACAGCTTCTTTCTCCTCCTAACATACCTATCCTAACATACTAACCCTAAGGCTTAAAAACAATTCTTTCCAGCGCCAAGTCTAGCTTCCATATCCAACCACCTGCACACTGTTTTGTACCACAGCACTTGCTCCCTTGCCCCCTCCACAAAAATACGAAAAACAACACTGCCAACACGTGATACCCTTCCCTATTCGCTCGCTTGCCCCCCCCTACCCACCAAATCTTCCCCCTTTCCCGAACGACGAAGGACCAGCCTCAGCGCCACACCCCGCGCCCTTGCTTTCGCTCTCAATCCGACGCCCCCGCCCCACCCCACCGTAGCCTTCTTTCTCATGCACGCTACGGTTGTGCAAACCTCAAGAGCTGGGTTTGGTTGCCGGGGGCCCGTGTCGCAAAATTATCGCAAGCGCGGACGCGCTCGTACTTCCTCCGGCTTGTTTGCCGACGACACCAGGTCTCGCTTTAAGAAATGGGGGACGATCGCCCACACAAAGGTTTCGAAAAACGCCAAAAACACGGCACTACTGACCAGCCGCCGGAGGTTCGTCCGCCGTCATGCGCTGGGTTTTGTGACGCTCGACGATGCTGTACTATGCGTTCTTTGCGGTGGGCTTCTTGGTGTAGCTGTTGACGTAGAACTGGGCGAACAGGAAGAGCAGGGAAAGGATGTACCCAGCGTACACGACCACGATGCGGGGAGGGTAGCTCGTGCACCTGTCGAGCGCCCCACGATAACAAGGGCAATCACCGCAGGAAGGGGTATATGGTGGACTTTGGTCTCAGGAACAAGCCAGCGAGAAGCGAATCCACATGAATTCATGTTGCATACAGAAACTTCAGCAGTGGGCGGCCCTGCTAGCCCAACTTACGAAGCTAGATATCAACAACGTGTGAGGTTGCAAGTGCTGCGTTGTTTTGGTGGAGCCAAAATTACGTCCGTACGATGCTATAAAATGGTGCGAAGTTCCCATCTGGAATCGAACACGCCCCCGAAAAGAAAACGAAACATGAGCACGTGTCGCGCTCTTCACAACCACAGGTGACGGGAGAGGCGTTCCCTTTGAAGCACTGCAGAGGTCTACGAAAAAAAAATGTCGAAACCACAGCGCAGACGCCAACTCACCCGGTAGTCAAGAGGTAGAGGGCCTGGGTTGTCATGCACACGAACTGGATCATCTGCAAGACGAAAACATCAAGGCAAGGAATGCGTTAGCACGATCAATTGGGGCAGCAGCCAGCATTCTAGTCCGCTGACCACAGCTACGGCTAAGTTCGGGCAAACAGAAAGCCTCGATGATAAACGCGGAAATCGGTCTCCGTCCCGTTCGTCTACATGATGCATGCAGGCAACGCCTCAGTCGCTCTCCCTCCGAACGCACAACCAGAGACAAAATACATCGCTACAATATCTTACGATGTGTCCAACTTGTATGCTATGATATCCCAAGAAAGGTTCCCGAAAAGATTCTGCTTGTACCTCGCCCTGATGGACTCATGCTTCTGTGGAAGCGAGTTCGACGTGCTGGCATCCCAATAAATCCATGGGAACAACAAACACCAAAGGACCAAGGCGTACCTGCATGAGCGTCAGGTACTTCTTCCACCAGATATCCTTCGTGTGCATGCTAACGAAGTAGTAGGTGTACATGACGGTGTGGATGAAGCCATTGAGGACGATGGTGAGGTACACGTCGCCGTCGTACCCGGCGTTGACGTTTAGCCAGTAGAACTGGTTTCAAAATCGAAGTGAAGGAAAACGCACAAGACGGGACGACTGGTGTCGGAAACACAATGTCATGCATTTCAAAATAGAGGGGGGAAAGTGTGCAAGGAAACGTGAAAGCGCGAACGGAGCTACGGCAGATCACCAACAGGGTAACGACAAAAGAGGATAATTTACACATAATTTTCCTGCGCTGCTGTTCTGCCTACACAAAAAACACCCTACCGGATACCCTCCTTTGGTCACAATTTCAACGGGTACACCCTCTTGCGGCGAATCATCGACCAGTTGTACCCTGGTTTGCCGTGCCTTATTCCTGCTTTGACGTGAGTTCAGGAGTTATCGACCCCATCAGTCACCAGTACACCGAGAAAGTCTCACAGAAACTCGGCCACAAGAGTAAAGACGCCAATTCCTCAAAACATGCGAGTACAGCAGTCCAGTAGCTCTGTCCACTCACCAGGAAGATGGTGCAGTGGTGGTACACGTGCAGGAAGGAGAGCTGCCTCCACGACTTCTTCAAGACGATGAAAATGGTATCCATGAAGTCAAGGACCTGTTGGGTAACACGTACAAGAATTCAAGACACCGGGGGAGAGACCGAAGGTATGTGCAGGTGCAACAAACGGACCGGTTCATGCGAGTCAAAACTCTACAAGAATATGAGAGCAAGTGGAATCGGCGGCAATGAATCGACGAGCGGTATTGTAGTAGCTGGCCAACCCTGCGGAAGCACCCCCGCCCAAGGAGCAGTTACGTTAGCGTACTAAACTCTTGCCTTGCTGGTGTGTCTACTGGACCGTAGCCGACAGACGTGGCCAGCAACACACATTAGAGAAATACGGTAGTCAACAGCAGTCAATGGGGCACACCCAGCGATTCGGGCATTCGGTACACTACTGTAAATGATAGCAGTTGGCGGGCGGGGAGTACAACGCAAAAACATTTTTCGACGGGCGCTCTACTGGTCGTGAACACCCTACGCTCGACACACACACACCTTGGAGACGTAAAATAGCCAAAGCAAGTTGGCCGCGGGGGGGTTCTCGGCGTCGAAGGGGGCGCAGGGGAGGACAGGGTATCCGTTGCGGTACGCGATCATGAAGGCCTCGACGCACATGTAAGAGCACAGGATAATCTGCACAGGGTAGAGTGGGGTGCGGAGGTACAAGAGAGTAGAGCGTTTGGCGAGTGAAACAGCACCTCAACCATGGAACAACGTGTCTTTTCAAAAGCACGGGGGCTTCCGAGGGATGAATCTACTTTTCCCCCTCGTGTTCAACAAGAGAATAGTGAACCAGATATATCTGCAGCCTCATGGGGCAGGACGGCCGTGCATCTGCTATTTATTGCGGGAAGACAAACGGGTACATAAAAATTCGTGTACGATCTAACTTTGGTCTTCGACGTGTGTGCGGGATGAATGAGAGCAAATGTCGCAGCAAGTAATGCAAAATTCACTACTGTGTTGCGTGCATGGATGTGATGATACCACCAAACTGGTGCGCACAATCTAGGGGTGAGCCAGATTCCTTGTTATACTAGCAAGACGCTGCGGCGACCAGGATATGTTCGATACTCCGGAAAGTTCGTTCGATTTACGCATGTATTGCATGCGTACTACTGTAAGTGTTCGCTGATGACTTGGTGTTCTACACGAGACCAGGTACCGACAACAAAGAAGTAGTCGGTCCGGAGAAAGAAGAAGCTAACTACACATGGGCGCCTCCGCGCTGACCGCAGTCGCTGACAAACCTGTACGACGTTGTAGACGAACCGGACAGGGTAGCTGTCGATAGGGCTCATGTCGGCCATGACCTTGGGGCCGACCGTCACCATTACGAGATACGCCCCCACGATAGCCAGCGCGGTAGCGAAGTCTGTAAGGAACCACCCCTGCAGGTTTCAGGTGATGACAAGGCGGTGTGACGTCATGATGGCAAGAAGCATGCAACCACAGAACAATGCCGCGAAAGATCGTCTTACATCCGCAACAACTGCTGTCGTAGCTGTCAAATACTGCTGTACACCCTACGCTTGCGCGTATGACGTGCTTGTCTGTTTACGATCTAGCAGGCATCTTACACATGCCAGGCGGGATCGCGTCGGTACCATGACACATGAAAGCATCAATGGGGAGAAACGTAACTGTTGCTTTTTTTTGTCAGACAGTATGCATACAGTTGGATACACTATTAGTTATTAGTACGGCTGTTTCGCTAAGAAATACGCGTAGCATGCGAACGGTGCCGGCGATTGTATCATGCATGCATCCCGGATAACGTGATGCATTCCTCTTCCACGGCAATGTAGACATCAAGAACTGTCACCCCCATGTGCGTAGGCTCTACAGCGCTACAGCAATGTGCTGTTGACAGCAGTCCAGTACAGGTATTGCGGGGTTTGTGGGCAGGAAACACACATAGTTCCTGGTGGCAACCAGGGTACTGCTGTACAGCAGTGCGGCACGTCTCGCACCTTCGTTGCGTCGGAAGTTTGCCCATTCCGAGCCCAATGAAGCACGGCGTCCCCGACACCGTTGGCCACCTCCTTGTAGGTCTCCATTGCAGAAATCTGGGGAGATCATCGGGCGGGGTAGGTAGGGAGCTACAGCAGTAGTAGATAGATCAACGCCGGAACTGTTCGCCTGTGGGCACTGCAGACGGTGGATTCGCTGGCACGTTTTTCGTTCTTTCATGACAACCAGAGCACAGCAAGGCGGCGTGTTATTCGTGGGCTGGTGCAGGTGACACCAAGACCGATCTCAGCCATAACATCTCCTCGGTGTCACAGCGAACATTTCCACGACAGAGACCCTGAAGATGAGGTGGAGCAGCGCAACAACAAAATGGGTGCTGCTGCTCCATCGAGCATCACACACGCCCGCGCAAAACCGAACAAGATTGCATCAAGTGCGCTCTCCCTCCTACCCAGAGATCGTTTTGGCGAAAGATGCCTTTGCGACACTCTCCATCACACGTTGCTTCCCACGAGCAAGGCAGCGGTACCCTTTCTACTTGGAACAAGTGTCAAACCTTCGTCAATCGCCCTGGCCTCGATGGTATCGCCCGTCGTGTGTGCGCAGGGTGTTGCGCGAGGCCCGTCTCTCCCTGTCTGGGTTGTTCGCCACGTACGGCGCGGTGCAATTGGCCCAGATGCCCACCAATCACCGGTCTCGAATCTATCCGAAAAAAAAAACATCCCGGGATGCCGGGATGCCGGGTGACGTGCGACGCGTCACCCTCGCGGACGGACCGGCCCGCTGAAAGATGAACTGAACATATATATATATAATATTATATATGCATGCATACCTTCCCATGAGGCCTGTTTCTGGTGAATACTACTGTACTGTAGTCGCACTTCGATGTTTTCTTTACCGTGTTTATCTGGACATAGTCTACATAGTAAAATCACCAGAGAGGGAGAGAACAACGAAGGGTCGGTACACATCTTGGAGCATCGTTGTTCCCCAGTCGGTCATAACGAAGTCACTCTGCCATCTTCCTGATATTTGCACCAACACAGCAGCCTACACAGAGAGAGGTCGTACTCCCTCCAACTATTTCCATGTTCGTTCCACCTTCAAAATATCTCCATCGGTTTTGTCTAGCTTTTCTCTTTGACTGCTGTCCCTGAGTCTACTGCTGTATGTAGCTTCTCTATTTCACGGACGGACTTCCGTCTCGGGTTCGAGGGACGGCCCTCCTTATTTCGTACAATAATAGAAGCGTTTGCTTTTTCCCACGTATGATCCCATCGACAATAAAATAATATTGTGTCGGGCAGTTTGCGTTTTTCTTGCACTTTCGACGTAAACGCCGTTGATGCCACACTAACTTTGAGCGCCGAGGGTTATTGGACGGAGACCGCAGACATGTCTGGTCACAAACCTTACAAGAGAGAAGGAAAAAATCGTGGCCTCGGGGTTTTGTCCGAGAACAGAAAGAATGGCCTTCCATTGCTGCTTTTCACGAGGACATCGTACAACAGCAGCAGTAGTGGTCTATGTACTTCTGTAGGATTTGCTGAGGGAAATGATTCTTATACGGTCTACTCCAATTAGGCCAGACTCCGCCGTTCGTTGTTGTTGTGTTGTCACACATACGTGTCCTAGGCACTATTCTATGATGTCCCTTCGCCATCCCACAGAAGTTACTCCCCCGACGACAGGACAACTGACCACTGTGTAACCCACCCTCCTCTTGCATCCGTTGCACTATTGGTACATGACGTATATATATCTAAGTAGGGGAGTCTGGTATATCCACGGGCTTGTTATTGGTTGACCGGTCGGTTTTCAAGCCATGATCAGAGTGGGACATTAAGACGTTATAGCTGACACCGATCGTAGGCACACGTGGGAGCTCACGCTAGGAACGGGTGTGATAATGGAAAGGGGTCTCCGCTTCCCCTCCTCAGCGAGTACAAACTTACGCGAATTGTTCCAAGTAACACCCAGAATTTTCGCTGAATGAATCCGAGATGTTGTCTGTGTAAGCCGCATTTTTAGCAGTGGCTCCTGCGCTCTCGGTGCATAACGCGTCGAGGACAGGAGAACAAGTTCACTCCAAGCCCTCCTCGTCAGCACAAAGCGAGGGTGTATCTGCCGGCCGCACCACAAAGAAAGGAGCCGCTACCCATACACCAAGCCGTGCGATGGCAGCGAGCCCTACGTGTGCTCTGCAATATCTACTTCCCGAACCAGACCAACAACCGTTCAGTATGCCGTTCGGAATGGGGCCCGTGCGTTCTCGTTTTGAGGTTTATGAGCTTTTCTCGGGGCAACGAAACGGAGTGCCAGCAGCGATGACATGTCGCTAGCCATTTACTGCTGGACATGTGCACAACTACAATAGAGAGTTGCACTTCACCGTGTTGCGATTATCCAAATTGCAAGCAGGGTACAGCAGGGCGTGCAGCAAACCGGTACGGCGGCAACGTTCAACGCTTTCTAAATCACGTGTGTGTTCCCTTGCGCCTACAAGGCTTGCTGCACAACAAGTGACAGCTCCAGTGGTTCGGATTTGGAAAAAACTGCGAGAGTTGTTGCGAGGTTGTGAACGCGGCGAACACTATCAAAGCGACCATCTGACAAATGACTTATTAGTATCAGGATTCACACCTTCGACGACTCCCTGCGGTGACACCCACAAGCACCCGTTGCCTTTATCTAGGCTGTTATTGTTGATGGCTTCACACATGAACAACCGTTCCGATCTCTCTACCCATTTACCTTCATCTGTCCATACTGATCAAACACACCGAGTGATTCCCGTGGTCACAGGCTACCTGACCTATAAAAGGTATACTAAAATAAAATGAACTACAACAGTGAACACAAAAACAATAAACATTTCTGCAAGAGCTACATGGAAGATTCGTTTATCCGCAATAATAGTCATGACACACACGGAGGCCACGAGAATCAAGGTTCCTCAGCAGTCACACACCAGGGGTACGGTTACAAAACCGGAAGGTAACCCGGTAAAGTTCGGTAAGCCGCTAACCCTCAGTTAGACCCGACGCAATACAGGCAGCACTACCTGTGCCAGGACGCCATGCATTCGACACCAACAAATTGTATAGTCAGCAACACCACGCACATCTTGGTTTTCAACGATTTGCTTCCAGAACTTGGGTTGCTGAACATTTCACGGTTGCTGCGCCGGCGATGGGGCTTCGCCGGACCACACACACACAAACAGCGGTCAGCCGGTTAGCGCGGTCCATGCTAATAATAAATACACGAACAGAAGGGGACCGAAGCGACTACATGCGAGTAGACAAGCAAATGCCTCGGTAGACACACGGATTCCTCTTCATCTTCTACCGTTTGTGTCTTACAATCCGGAGAACAGCGTAGCCTCTGTCATAGCACCCCTCACGGGCCCCTCACGGGGTCCCAAATCATGGCCTGTAGAAGCGCGTTGTGCTTTCAGCCGCTTCGAGATTGAACGTATTGTCAATAGTCAGCCGGTCAGCGCGGTCGATGCCAATAATGAAGACACAAACACACGGGATGCGTATTTCGTTGGTCAGCAGTTAGCGCGTTCGATACGAACTACAGAAACGCAGGCATGGACCCGTACACACCATCTCCGTCGCAACCAACTCAAACTCGCGTTTGCCATTGATCACCGTTGTAGTCTTCGGGAATACTACGTCTACGGAAAACACGCCCCTCTTCCACGCGTGGCCAATGGTCTAACCTCGCAAAACATGAGTACGCCCTCCCTCCCCCTTACATCGCCCTTGCAGCACCCGCGCGAGATACAGCTCTCCATCCTCCCTTTTTCCAGCTTCCCAAGCCGCTATGGTGCCTGCTTGTCAGGCTCCTCATCTCCAACCTCAAAAGGCTGTTCCGCAAGCTCTAGGAGATGCGCGTCGACAGCGGCCAACGAGCGTTGCTGTTCCTCAAGCGCGAAGATCTCCTTGTCGATGTCGGCCATGGCTTCTTGCAGGCGTCTCCACTGAGGTATTGTGAGTGCAATGCCCTTCTTCGTAGGGGCAGCCTGTCCTTCGGCGCCCCTAAAATATTGCCGGATGTCCACCAGAGGTCTGCCCTTAAACAAGCGCACATCAGCCTGCCTCACGGGAGATAGGTGCATCGAGCTCTGCATATCGAAAGTGGGCGGGGGGGGCACGAAATCGCCCGAGTTCGAGTTGAATGTATTGCTCGAACGGCCGTAAGAGCTGCTGCTGCGGCCTCCATACATATTACTGCTGCTTGAGGGCTTGTATGCTTCACCCATTGGCATCGTTCCCGGGCTCGGCCCTCCAGGCTGCGCCCACCGGTCTCCACTAGCAGTCGGTGTCGAAGGAGTGGGAGCGGTGGCGGTAGCTGCAGCCTGTTGGTAGGCTGGTGTTGCTTGTGCCTCAGTTTTCGCAGCTGTCCAATAGTCATCATGCTCTGGGCCGGACGAAAAGCTAGACAATTGTCTCGATGAGCTGCTGTGAATAAGGAGAGACGGAAACCCACACCTTCCCGCGGACACTCCGAACCTCTGCATCGCTGCCTCTGGTGTTGTGTGTGAGCGGGTGAACCACCGCAGATTGCCCGCTCAGATTTTGGTGCTTCTGGGTGCTGATGAGATGCTGATGCCCTCTCTTGTTCCTGATCACTCAAACTGGATATGTGATGGTGCGCGTAGTTTTGTTCAACCGTCCAGCGCCCGTAATAGCTAGCCCTGTGTTTCTAGAGGCTGCGCTGCCCTGTGTGTCTGGACCAGGCACCCTCATCGCGCCGCACGTCGCTGTGAGAGGGGGCTACGCAGCATGACGAGGGGGGTCCTGCAGGAACCTCGCAAAACTCGCCGCGTGCACACAACTGGACAACTGGTTAGTCAGAGACCTTGGATCTTGGAGGTCATGTTTGTTTCGTATTGTTGGATCTCATCTATCAACTGAACCCGCGAGAGAGAGGAAGGGAGGGGGGGGGGGGAGAGACAGGAAGAGAGGAAGAAACCCGCAGGAGGAGGAAAACGCTGGGAGTTACAAATATATGCTGTGCGTTTACCATGACTGACTCGACAGCGGTACTAGTGCCGGCGGTTCGGGTGTGTGGGCATATGGTGGGAGTATCATCAGAGACAGACTCTTCTGACGAATCTAGCGAGGGCGATGTAGAGCTGGAATTTGAAGGAAATCGCCCAGCTTCACCCTCCTGCATCGCTGATTCCAATGTGATGGATGGTTTCCCTGGTGAGCGATGCAAGCAGGAAGAAGAAGGAGTAGCTCGGGTGGTTGAGAGTGATAGACTCGCCGTCGGGGCACCGACGCCACCCGCGACAAGCAAGAGCAATACTGCCTTTGATCCGGGAACGAACGTATCAGCTAACGTGCCAGATCGAACAAGAGTTGAGGGCCTGCCCATGGACAAGAATGCATTTGGCATCGCGTACGAGCCACTACGGGGTTCTTCGCAGAAAAGCTACGATTTGCCATCCGGCCCGGCGTTCGTGGATGAAGATGAGTTCGAGCAAGAGATGAGTGCAGAGTTTCGGGTCACGGTCGGGCCATCTCGACAGGGTGAGATTTTAGCAACGATGTCCAACAGAACGCAGGCCGATGACTTCGCTGAAGGTGACGGTACGGCCGATATCACCATGAGGACACAGCAAGTGAGTTGTCGAGGAGAGGCCCATGCGCGTAACGTGAAACAACTTGATATTTCGCGCTGCCTTCGTCGAACCGAGCTCTTGCGAAGAGGAGGAAGGCACGACTTTAAACATCGCAGTCGTCGTCACCTTTATCATCGAATGACAAGATACATTCTCACTGTCACTGCGTGCACCTACATGTATGTGAGGCTTGCCTTTTCCATCGCCCAGATGTATTGTAGTATGCAGCACCATTTGCTGCTCTACTTCCCCCTCTGTACCCCTCTCTATTGCCTTGTGGAATTCCTCGTCAAGCCCTCCATAGCATGCGTGTCGAACGTGTTTGAATGTTAACCAGGGCGTACCGGGTGGGAATGGATCAGAGCGCCAAGAAGACGTCAATAGCGCACCATTCTATCCGGACGGATTGAGGCTGGACAACAGAGAGGCACTCAAGCAGCTTACAAAAGACTACAAAGTAGCTGGAGTGGCCCCACATGTGGTACGAGAGGTGTCTCATTGCTGCTGTAGCCGAAAGTATATAGAGCTCTCAGGAGGTGCAACCAACAACCAGTCTTTTGAGGGAAGATGGAGCTCCGGATTCTCCCGAACATTGCTCGCACGGCTTGCATTATAGTCCAACTCAACATGAATACTTCGATGTGCGACTTCTCGTTGCGACGGCCACTTTGCGAATGCGAACCGTTGCTTCGAACAACAGCATCCCGGCAACGCACCACAGCGCTTGGACCAATCTGCTAAGGAGATTGGAGGAAGGTCCATTGAGCGTAGCCTAACGGATAATGCTGCGGGCATTTTGGAATTCGTCGGTGAAGACGTCCGACACTATCCAGTGACAGAAGAAGAGAACGAACGAGCGGAGGAAGATGATGATGACGAGGAAAGGAAAAACCTTGTGGAAGTTCCAGAGAAGATGGGCACCCTGAATGTCCCGGGAGAAAGAGAGAAAGAGGGGCAAACAAGTATCGACGAGGATGAGAGTGCCCAGCGCGCTCTTGTTGCTAAAGAATGGGAGGCTATCGATCAGGTCAGATTTGCTTGTTGCAGGAAGTATCCTCGAGACCCCGCCTTTCCCGAACCCTCGGCAATGTTAGCCACCGTACGCTGCTTGCTGACAGCCACAAAAAAAGTTCATCGTTTGGGTTAAGACCAGCATGTGATAGTCTTCAAACTTTCAAGGGACCTTGCACTACCACCGATATGACCTCGTCAAAACTGCTAATCTTTGTCTCAACGGCATTCGCCTGGCGGGAACCGACGGCATGAAACCTCAGTTGCGAACGGCGGAACGTTCTGTGCCTATGGAGAAAGGAGTTGGTGGCAAGTTGCAACCCATCAGCATCGACCAGGCCAATCGCCTCGTCACAACCGCAGAAGTGCTGGGCTACTTCCGTTCACAGGTATGTACTTCCGTCAGCACAGTGTTAGAGTGATCCTGCCTATCCTACCGTGGAAGTATTATGCAAGAACCGTTGAACCACTGACCGGATATGCTGAAAGCGTACTGCTGTCAGTATCGGGTATTGACAATTGACACATCAATAACCTTTCCAGGACTTATGTACGCACAAGGCAGCGATCGTGCCGTACCAGCCTCCCGAGAGTCGGTTTGGTCTGTTTCGCAGAGCCTCCAAGCTTAGGTTCCCTGATGCAGAGCAGCTGCGGGATGAAGTCTTCATATTAGCACAGGTGACGAAGCCCAAACCCATCCTATCGATGCATGCATTTCTAGGCGCTTTGCACGTGTATACTCGCCATTGATTGTTCCATCGATTCAACGATGTCGGTGTTGTTAGGCCCATGTCTGCTTGAATCAGCACAGGAATCAAACTCAAACGGTCTTCCAGCAACAAGACAGGCTTTATGTTGCCTTTGTTGGCAGGTGTTGCATGGTTGCCCAGCACGGGTTGGTGGCACCCATCGTCTCGACGGCGCCCAGATGGTGCCGAGAGCACGTTACCCGCCAAACCAACCTGCTTTCCCGATCTTCTCGTAGCGGCCAACCTACACTCGGTTCAATGCATGCGCCGACCGCAGATAAAATACGCTCCGGCCGATGTGGTACATCGTCGGTTGATCCAGACGATTTACCGACGCATGACGAACGAGAAGCGAGCTTGCCCGGACGTAGGCCCACACTGGGACACTGTCGGCTTTCAGGGGACCGATCCTTGCACGGATTTGAACCGCTCGATGGGCATTTTCGCATTATTTCAGGTTTGTGAGGGAAAACACTTGTTGTGTGTATGTGGGGCTTTGCTCTAATCGCGACGCGTTCGACGATGTAGGTGACGGGCGGATGTCCGTAGTACTGGCAAAATGAAGAAAAACGGTCTACTTGGTACGGATGCACAGGTAGAATGACTTCCATTCGTGTTGCTCATTGACGGCGCTAAAACGGACCAACAGGTGCTTCATTTGCTGGAATCACAGCTAGGCTTTGCGATGGTCCTGTACCGTCTGTCTTTGGCGGATGTGACGGGCTGGCCGTTCATGTGCGTAAGCATCGGCTTCACCAAGGTACGATGCCGCCACCTGTGCACTACGGTAGTTGCGTGCTCGCCTAGACAACGCCTGTATCCTATCGTAAGGTGCATTGGCCAGGATTCCTTATTGTTGCTGTATCCTTGTCCATGATTGAAAAACACTTATGCATAGGAGGCTCTGCGAGTCTTGCGACGAGGAGGCTGCTACGCTGAGTGCAATCGGCGGGGGAGCGTGTTGGATGTCGTGCACGAGCTCCATCAGGCGCAGTTCCATGCTTTCCTGGAGCTATGCCGAACAGAACCGGCTACCCATCATGCCCTACATCTTGCCAAGGTGCACAAAGTTGTTCACACGTGTGAGATTGTCGACCGCCAGTCCTCTGTCCTGTTACCGCAATACGGAGGTGCCAGTGGGCACGGGGATGTCTCGGAGCACGTAAGAGGAACAGCTAGACCAGGTAGAATCCAGCAGTGATCTACGATACGAGTCTATGAAATTAACGGCAACGGCGAAAGATGTCCGTCTCAACGACGTACCCCAACTATTGCCATCGAGTCACACATGTGACGCTCGCGTTAACGAAAAAAATCGCCATCGGCTTCTTCACCTCCACTACAATACAGGTTCGCGCAAGGGTAGAAACCGATTCCCACGTGCTTGTGAAGGCTTACCGAACATATCTCTTGGAGGAGAAGGCTCGGTCTGCGGTTAGTATTGTGGACAAGACGGGAGAGAGTGCGGCGGTACAGGAGCAATTCTCCGGTGGGGGGAAGCTGGCCGAAGATGGACCGCCAGTGGCACACGTGAAGGACACAGCCAGTCGCAAAAATACCTACCTGTCGTAAAGAGACAACACCAACCCAGCAGGATTGCGAACGAAAATAGAACATGCTCGGTAGACGTCACCGGACACAAAATCATGTGCCACATTTTGGCGTCTGAATTGCAGCAAGTGCTTCATTATAGTGGGCCATTAAGACACAAAAAACTCCACCGATTTTTCGAAAATTGGAAATCCCAAAACCAAAAACCACATCGGGACCAGCACGGGTTGTGACGCGCAGTCAACACCGTGTGCTGAACCAAGATCCTGATATGATAAACGACGCAAAAATATCGCTCTACGCTGCTGTAGTATGGCGTGTTGCCTTGTGAGGAGAACGGTGAAGGCATAATCTAGAACGACCAACGGTGTGGATACCACGCGACACGCGACATCAGGCCGCCTCAACCATTTTGTACCTGGTACCACGCAACTAAACTCTGCGCACGCAGTAGCTTGCACACGCTACGCCCGCCAGCTCAAAAGTCGTCTCTTACTCTCTGACAAGAGACCAACAGCCCACACGGGATTGTCTCGCATGAAACATATTTCCTCCAATACCTGTCTGTCCACTCTCCCTTCGCGCACCCTCCATCTCGATCTTTGGCGTCTGCGCAGGCTGAGCGAACAAGGTAATTCAACTCCTTCGTAGGCGTAAATCTACACCGGGAAATCCACCATGTCCCTAACTCCCTTCTCCTCGCCAACTGCCAAAATCTGCGGCATCACACGAAAAAATGCGACCTAGTCAGCGAAATCGCGCAAATCGATAACTCAAGCTCATCCCCCCCTCCGCCCCCCTCTCCAGACCGTTCCGCACTAATTCAATTCTTCTTCCTCCTTCCAAGCGTTGAGGGATTCGTGGAGGCCTTTTTGAAGCTGGGCGTTAAAGCGCTTGGCTAGTACGGCTTTCCTGTCCTCTTCCGCCTGGCAAACGCACGACACAGACGTAAACGAGACGAGATATACCCAGTAAATAAACGGCGAAAAGACGGTATGGTAGTTACGTAAGCTCACGGCGTTTACAACTTGCCTCCGCATTCGAGGGTAATATTCCGCTCTGCCGCCTATACGAAACGTTTGACTTCGTGTCAAGCGCCGGAAATGAACGCCTTCCCAACGAACAACGGGTGTCCCTCGGACATCTCCTGTTTGCGAAACGATAAAGCGTTCGGTTTCTGCTGCGGGGAGGAACGACCTGTACATTGTTTTTTCGTCTTGGACGTCCCTTATGGGGAAAACAATCAAGACACGGAGACTCTTGGTGCATGGCTCTAAACACTATTCTTGAGGGTGTTGAACGAGACACATTTCAACAGAACAAGGTTCGAACGCCAGCAGTGCTTGCCATACACGCGGCCATCAATTTCTTGGGAACTGGCTGGACAAGCGAGAAAATTGGACTATTATAGAAACAAGTCCGAGGTGCTTCATCGCGCGAAACTAACCAGGGGGAAAATGACAAAGCCAAAAGTCCGTGGTGCAAGACAACACGAGTTGATATGAACACGAAGCTTTCCTGTGCGGGTCGGGCACTTGTGCTCAGCCATAACATCGTCTTGGTAAAATTTGGCAACAGAAGTAGAAACAAAAATACTGAAAGAACCAAACTGCAGCAAGCTCACAGTTCACAACGTGACCTGAGCCTACATCCGCCAATCCGCTTTTGACAGAACCATGATGACGAAATCCCTGTTCTCGCTTATATACGGCGCCAAGAAACAAATGTAACCCTCCCGCTCACCTGAAGCATCGGCATCAACGCGATTCGGGCCAGGCGCTTCTCGTGCTGCTCTGCTCGCCGCGCCTTGTTCGCTTGTCCGAGCTTGTAGTACCCAACGGCCATCGTGACCGTCACAAGGCCGAGAACGACCGACCCGCGCGGTCCTCGGCCCGATGGCAATTGCCGCGATATTTGGACCTAACGAACGAGAGAGAGAGGGACAGAGCGAAAACCCACCGATGTGTTGTAGGCGACTCTTCATTAGCGCACTAGAGACTGCTTTGCAACCAAGTGCCAATCGTGGTACCAATTTTTCTTTTTGAAACCCCCCGTTACGATGACACATTGTTCCCCACAACAGAGGCTCCGCGGAATGAGAAATCCACTTCGTCTTGAGCGACATGTCGCTCACATGTTGTGCTGGGGTTGTGACACCGAAGACTACAGCTGGGTTCAAACTCCGCAAACCTGGATCAACCCACCCTTTGACTAGCCGCCACATGCCCCAATTTCCCGGAGTGTGGGTTGTCAAAGGCAGCTAGTTGTACGCGTAAAAGGGGCTATGCGTGTGCTGCTGCACGTAGACCTGCAGTTCTGTAAATCGGGTCTGCGACGGCCAGTTCGGCAGTGAAAGATGAACAGTGGACCGAGATTTGCGGACTTTTCGGGCCGCAGCTATAGCGTTCGATAGCACAGCTAGCACACCCTCAAAAGCAGATCTGAGCTTGCCGACATGCGCGTCGCTTCTCCACGATGTCCGGCACTGATATGGGATGAAGGTTGAGACTCCGACACGCGAAGACAATTTTACGAGCTCTCGTGTTTATTCTGTTTCGGCTTGATGCAATTGGTAGAGAGAGATCGGAACGGTTTTTAATGTGAAGACAACAACAACAACAACAACAACAACAACAACAATTGACTCGTGGAACTTCTTCCTTGGTCTGAGAGGGTGTGTGTGTGTGGAGGTACACTGCGTCATATGCTGGAGGAGGCAAACCCCAACCACTCCTCTGTCAGACAACAGAGTTGTTCGTGCCTCTTCAAAATCGTCAACTACTTGGTTTGATTTAGGCATCGGTATGCATCTCGCACTCCCGTTGCTGGGTGTTCCCCAGGCGATCTTACATAAATGTTAGTCCAAACCAAGATCGGTGGTCAGCACCCCTGCCCGCCTCAATTGACGCCGACGATAGTTGAATATGTAGTAAGATGACACTTTCATGCTCAGGTACTACGCTGGTGGCACCAACGGGTGGAACGATCTCACGCTCAGGCCCTACAGCGCTGTTGGAACTAACGGGCAGTTCACGAGACACAAATAGATGTCTGGCGAAGGATTTAACGTCTGCAGCATCCCGTGTTAACCTACGCGAATGTCTACCGTAAAGACGCCTTCTCAAAAGTCAAGGTCGGGGGAAGTCCAACACCGTGCATCCCCAAATGAAGACTGTCCAGCAGCGCATGGCGTGGAGGGGTTCGGCCCCGGATATCACTGCCGTAGCTGGGAGGGCCAACGAGCCCATAAAGGGCATGTCTTTGTTTCGCTTGGTTGAGATTTAATGAGCCGCATCGCGGCGAAGCCGCAATTTGCTCCTCGAGGGAAAAAACGCCTCTAAATATCGATATCTGGTTCCAATCGTGATGCAAGGGCCCAAAGTTTGATTTCCGGGAAGACAATAAAAAACACCGTAGGGACCCAACCAAGACCTATACGACAAGGATTTGACGATCTGTTCACTTCTGAGGAAGACGAAAATTGCGCGCTCTTTGTCACAACGGTTTGGTCGTCATGACGGGTGAAATAAGGCAGATGGGCGTCACTGCCATCAAAGCAGCAGCAGCAGCACTAGTGCATTCGTGTCAGCTACCACTGTTCATTATGTTGGCAGCAGTGCTGTGAGGTGCCGATCGTTTGTCGGTACTGCGCTACTGTAGGAGAGGGCGAGCAGGTGTGGTGCGTTCCTCCGCCGTTGATGTGTAACATTTCAAACTTCCAGCGGGAGCGGATGCACCAGTCCTTTGGAATATCTATTCGAAAATATATTCCGCAAGGAATGAAGTGCGCGTTCTGGGTTTTGCTGCGTTGCTGCCTGGAAGCAGCGTGTCCCGCACCTTGCACAGCATCGCAGATGTACTACGGTCAGGTATTGAGTCGTACCCCGCGGCTCATGACCCCTCCCTACTAGTACCGATTGTGCGAGACTTGCACAACCTTCCGTCGTTGCTGACTGAGAAGCCTAATGGATAAGCCTTTCTCAACAAATACTGTGCCTCGGCTCTCTGGCCCTCGCAGCTACGACAGTCATCTCCGGGGTCGGACCCCTGGGGGACAAGTCTTCGGAGCCTCGTAAGTGCTGTAGCTGGGAATCGAACCGGCTGTCACATCATGCGACTGAGTTTAATCTAACAGCAATTCCGCACTTGCGAAGGCCCTGTCAAACACCCTCCAGCCCAACGGCACCAAGATGCTGTATAATACACGAGACTACGTGCTCCATGTCAATAAAGGCCTGAAGCAAACCGTTGTGTTCCCAGCAGACCCAATCGCGTTTGCATGCACACGCACACTGCGATGTACTGTTGTAGTACGAACGAACCGGACTGTGTGCTTCCGCGTTGACTACTGCAAGGGTGCACACAGTTTGAAGAAAATCAATTAGCCTGGCTTGTAACCAGTCTTCCCTCCGACCACAGTCGAAGCGCAGCCTTCAAGCACGTCCAATACCGACACACAAACATCAGTATTTCATGCCAAGTCCCGTGAGCCCAGCATCATAAGAGGAGTGTGCGCAAGTTGTTTCATCAGTGGACATTTTAGCGTTTCGCGTACCTTAGGGAATCCACCCTTGGGCGCGACATCCTGCACGATTGGCCCGGTGCCTACCGGCGTCGCCATGTTCCGCTGCTTGCTATCGTTGCCTGTCCTTCCTTTCCCTCTCTGTCCGTGCCAGAGTTCGCGGGGTGACCTTGCTTGCCCGCTGAGAGAGGGCGCTCCGCGAATCCAATGCGGGGTGTTCGAGGATAAGGCGGAAGCGTGTTTTCGAACCCGTAACCGTGAAGCGATTTTATTTTTTATTTCTTTTTTGGAATTGGAACCGAGGTCCCCTTGCTTGCCGAAGAACAATCTATCTAACGGTCTCTGGGTACCTGCGGAGCGTATTTCTTTGACATGGATATTGCCACAACAAGAAGGTCCCTTCAGTGATACACAATGCAAAGTCCTTCGAGATGTGTTCCCCCTCCCCCGTCTGATCCCCCCCCACCAAATATTAGTCGCAGCGGCAGAGTGCCGCCACCAAGGGGGGCTCCGCCTGGGGGCGCAAGGCGTGCAAGGCAGGCTGTCCGGCGCCCGTTGCATCCACAGGCCCGAGAACCCACAGGAGATCGTGAGAGTGCCGGGCAGCACGACGATCGTCAAGGCTTCAGCAGGTGGGGTGCTATGTCGAGTTGCCCTCTGTCCCACCAAACAGCACGACTATGTAGGTAGGTGATGCAAAACATCTTGTCTTGTGGAGGATCGAGCTAATTCGAATATACTTCGTCTATCTACACAGTCTATGCCACTGGCCCCGGAGATTACTGGTTGCTCGTTCTTTTATTTCGCGGTGCAGGCGTGGCGATCTTGTACAGTCATCTCCATCGCACGAAGGGAGTCCTAGCGATGCGTCAAGCCGGGAATCTTTCGAGGGCAGCCTGAGTTCGGACAACGAGCGAGGCTCTCATCCCTTACCAGCCGTCCGGAAGCGGCAAAATCGTCGTTCACTTGGTGCAAACAGTACTTCGCCACGTAACGGAAGCGAAGAACTAGTAGACAGAAGAAGAAGCATTTCGGGAGAACGAGGAAGTAGAAGACATCGGAATCGGCAACAAGGCGCGGGCCCCGATAGACGATCCTCAAGGTTGGAGAGTAGTAGCTGGAGGAGCGATGACGACGTGTCCAATGCTAAGACAGATGCCCATCAAGGAACAAGCGGGAGGGATGGCACCCTGAGAAAAGAAGAGAGGCGAGAGGCCTGGGATCGGAACGAATATCGGCATTCTCCAAGAAGAGAGCTTCATGATGCTGCTCGCTCCGATAGTAGCCACCGTCGCCAGAGAGATACGCTAAGCGATGTAGGCTCAGAGGAAAGCCAGAAACGTCGAGATGTCAACCGGAAAAGTCATAAACGACATGTGCACCAGCACCAGAGGGCGAACAACTCTCATAGAACGAAACACCGAGAAGATAGGGATGGAGTTGGTCCAGATAGACCGACTTCTTCACCGAGAGGCTCGACTGCGGAAGAAATGCCACGTTTGGGCATTCTCGAGGACAGTGATTCGCGGTCCCGCACACAAGAGTGTGGGGGAAGCCCGGAAAAGCCAAAATCGAATACCGGGGAAAGTAGGAGGGGCCGTAAAAACCGTCGCTCCCGACGAAAACGGGCGGAGCAGGACGACAGCGAGGCCGAAGGGTACGGTTGGAGCGGCAACAAATACAGCTGGGATTCGGCAGATGTGGACAGTACAGGCAGCTCTTCCGATCAGCAGGAGTTGACTAAGCTCAACCCGAACGGTGGCGACGGCAAGCAACGACCAAAGCTCCAGCCCTTAGGAACATGTACGGACTCCAATGAAGACGAGGACAGGGCAACACACACAACCAGCGGCGACAACAACACCGCGGCAGCGGCGCCGGAGAAGTTATTTAGGTCCCCCCCAGATCGAACCAGAGGGAAACTAGACGATTCAGGAGCGTGGGGCAGTGACCGCGAACAAGATGGTGCAATCCAGAAAATGGCTGGGAGCTCGGGCTCCGGCCATGGCCTAACGCAACCCTCGATGAATTCTGACGTGAAATCGCTACCGCAGACTACCGTGAACCGCGCTGAGGTGGCTGTCGGCAAACCAATCCGTGGTGCGCGGTGGGGCGAATCTATCGGTGTAAGATCTGCAGTTTTTGACAGCTCGACCATTCCGACAAAACGAGTGGACCTGAAAAGGTTTGTGTCCGGCCCGCTCAATTCCGGCCCAGGGACCGTTCTACGCTGTTTCATTGAACGGGATCGGAGTGGAACTCACAAGTTCTCCCCCGTGTTTTCCATGTACGCCGATCTCGGGGATGGCAGTGGGCGCATGCTGCTGGCCGCCCGCAAGGTGAACACCGTGGTCAGCTTCGAAAAGCCTATTGGAAAAAATGACGGGTCTAAGCTGCCAATACGTTTCACATGCAACGTTCGTAGAAGGAGAGGTTGCTCAATGTTGTCTCTTGGCGCCGCTTTTCTCAATAAACCTCTTGTGTTCTTGTGGTAAACTCTCAACGCCCTCCAGCTGTTGGCCAGCAAAACCGCGTACTACACGATATGCACCCGACAAGAGGACTTGTTCAAGGACAACGGCAAGAGGGGTGGAAACTCGTTTCTCGCCAAATTAAGAGCCTCCAGCGTAGCCCACACGGAGTACGCCCTGTATGACAGGTGAGTTAAACAGAACAAGCGTATCATTTTCAAACAGAAGAAAGCGTTGCTCTTGGCCACTGCCTAGTTTCGAATGTTGCATTCGCTTGGTTCGAAGTAGCGATAGGATAACACCACGGAGCACAGAATGGAGTTTTCTGGGGTTTCTCACTCTTCACCCTGCGTCTACGAAATTCCCGGAACCCCGTTTAGGGGAGACAACCCTGCCGTAGCAGCTAGCGAAACCAGCCTTGATTCCGGTGCGGAGGCCAAGCCGAAGTCGATGCGGAACCCGATCGACCTCGCCAGATCCAAGACATTGAGGAATCAAGAGAGGCATGGCCAGGGAGAAGTGCGTAGGGAGCTTGGCGTAATCATCTACAACTTCGACAAAAAAGAGCAGGTGCTGCGATTTGTTGTGTCGGCAGCTTTTTCAACGCCATGACTGTACAGTAATGGCCGACGTGCAGCTGATGCGGCGCGTAGCTGAGACATTGTTTTGGACTGGTGTCTCGTTCTTCAGAGATGCAAAGTTCCAAACCATGTAGAAGACCGCACCCTGACTCCGACAACTATATGACCGCTCGGAATAAGTTCGACTACATGCAGTAGTTCTGACTGTCACACGAGTCTGCTCGGGGTATGCTATCAGGCGAGCATACCAACTATTCATTTTTTCCCGACATTCTTTCGAAATCCCCGAAGCGGACGGGCAAGCGTCGAATGGAGGTTGCGATACCACAGCTTGAGCAGGAAGGCGACTCTTGGAAGCCGGTCTCCTGGCAACCTAGCGATACGAAGGAGAGCATGATAAACAACTTCGGGCGACTACGGTATCAGGTGAGTAGGGCCATCAAGTCAGCTCAATCGATGTTTTCATGTTTGAGCAATCCAATGGCGGACATAGTGTTTTCGACTGAAAACGCCCGAGAGCGAGGAGTCGCTCCATATTTAACAGCCCCGCTGCAAGCGGGCGGGAGAGGACGTGTTGCACCTTCTGCTGTATGTTTTATAGTTGATTCTCTTGCCCGTGCGGAGTCAACCTGCGAAATGAAGATTTGCAGCGCAGTTCGTGGCCGTGATTGTCAACACAATGAACCTCGAGAGTTTTACCATGAGCACGATGCTCACGGCATTGAGCTTTGGACTTCCCTCCTGTGCTTCCAACGAGTAAGGCGAAAACGGTGGAGATGACTGAACCTTTAGCGGCAGGCCTGAGCTCGTGCTATTTTTCCCAATCGTGAAATCTAACCCTATCAGGGATCAGGGACCATCTTTCCTAAAGATGTGCACGCTGTACTGTAGCAGGGGTGCACGGACAGTGACCAAGATCCGACCGATTCAACCTGTGTCACCGTCTCTCAATCCCGTTAACCCAGGGTGCCCAAAACTTCCTGCAAGATGATCGCCTGCTTATCTTCCATCAAAGGGAGAGCCGGTACGACCCTTTGTCGTCCTGTCTCGTTGACTACAGGGGCCGAGCGACGGCTCCGTCTGTAAAAAACTTCCAGCTTCTCAAGTCACCCCCAGAAGACAAGTGAGTCGTCAGCCAGCATCTAGGAGGCAATGTTCCACCTTACATTCAAACAACTGTTTATCTATGAATGTTAGTCTTCTTGTGTTCTGCACCAGTAACAACTTCCGATAAGCCTGTTCTCGCCACATATATGTATGTGAAGAATCACTCCGCCTTTGACATATATATGCAATTCCGCGTGGTGCATGTGTACAGTGTGAAGCGAGCGAGGTACTTCAGCGAGGGGGGGGGGAAGAACGACGTTGAAAGCGACGATATACCGAGACCAGTTTTTCTTCAAATGGGCAAGGTAGGAGTGCCTTCCTTTTTTTATGGGGGACGTGGGGGTGTTGGTTATGGCCCATCACGGCATGCATAATTTTGGGCGTGAAACAAGCCGACCGTCGTGGTCAGCATGCATGTATATTTTTTTCAGTGCCGTCCAAGCTTGATTTCGTATACTTGTAGTTGATACTCGTCTCCAACGAGCCAGGTGTACATGGTCCAAACCGGTTACAACGCAATTCGTCCGGCCTTGCTCGCGGCGTGCAAGAGGACATCGGATCAACGCCAAGCTGCGCAGAAGAACCAATCAATTGAAAAGCGGGAAGTGCCCTCCGATTCTTGGGACGGTTGCAAACCGTTCTCGGCGAAATGTTCACCATTCCACACCCACGTGTGAAGATCATGTCTGTTATCGTGTTATATTTCGCTCGTGCGTAACGACTGCTTCGCATCATTGCGAGGAGTCGGTTGAATACGAAGCGCTATCCACCTGTCCTTCACGCTACGCGCCCATTCGTTCAATTGTTTATGTCCACATGTTTTTTCACCAATATCCGTCACCGGCAAATGCTACGAACGCGCAACAGGTGGGCAAGGACTGCTTCAACGTGGATTTGGAGTGGCCGTTGTCGGTCCTTCAGGGGTTTGCCATCTGCCTCAGCCGCTTCGACGCCCAAGCGCAGTTTTAGATCAATAGTATTGCAATCATTGCAAGATCGACGCCGATGGGTTCGATCGTGCCCTCCAACACCTTTTTTTATCTCTCCACATTATCCGGTAGACTCGTGTGGCTGTGCATTCGGTAGCACCTTGGAAGCTTAGGTTTCAAAATACAGTGTGCATACAAGTAAAGGAAGCCTATAGAAGTAAAGAGAGACTATTCATCAAATGCAGGAAGAAAGGCGGGCCAACATTTGGCCGATGGGAAGAAAAGGAGAAAGCATGCCGAGTTGGCAGGAAGAGAAAACAGCCTGAGAGCACCCTGTACTCATTGTTGAATCGGATTGAAGGACCAAGACACGTGTGGTGACAAAGTATCATGCCGACGCCATGCAATATTGCTGGTTTGCCAGAAGTTAAACTTCCGACCAACGCATAACGAGGACACGACCCCTACTCGAACCACAAGTACAAGACAGCAGTAGGACACATGGAAGTGCTTTATCCGGCACAACTGGAAAACCCTCGGAATCCAATCGGAGTTTGCTGTCTAAATTTACATTCAAAACAGAACCAACTAGAACCCATCCAACAGGCATATCTGGTACGTCGAAACCCAAATCGCGTGGAAATTCAGACTCCAGCCGAACCCGAAGCAGTCGGGACAATCTACACGGGGTCGGAGTGCAGCTCACTACCATCCCCCATGCCCCATGTACTACGCTCCTACTACGATAACGAAGACACGGAAGTAAAGTCACGAGACATCCAACGTAAGAACTGTGTAGCTCAGCACCATTGTCGCAGGGAGACGGACCCCGGAATCAAGTGGACGGGCCACATGAGCGCACGTGCCGCGAGAGAATGGTGCTGTCGATAGCGTTTGGGTCGCCGTTTGCGAAAACCAAGTTCTGCTCTTTGGGACACTCCGGGATCGCAGCATCAACATCTTCACGAGCACCTCACGCCATCGAAACCAGGCGTGGATTACGTCATAAGCCCGTATGTCCTCAGTCTGTGAACAAAACACACAGGCATCACGCGATGTGAGAGGTCAAGCGAGACGTACAACATTACAAAAACACCAAAATAACGGGGCTGGCTCAAACCTCCGCAACACTGACAAGCACCCGGGATTTTGTTCCATGGAAGACAGAGATAGAAACTTTCAAGCCCACCAACAGGCTGGGTGAAAATTACTCACATTTGATGTTGCTCCTCGCTTCCCACCATGATCGCGGTTTTGATTTCCTCGTGCTCCCGGAACTTGTCCATTGCCGGCCCAATAGTCTGTTGCGGAAACCGAATCGCGCGTTGGATGGTCACTAATTTTAATTCAAGACATCTGCACAAAATCACAAGACAGCAAACTATCAAGCCATGGCGCCCAAGACAAATCTACACCGAGCCGGCAAAATCAGGCACTGGACGCACCGTGGAGTTCAAGTTGAAGCGCTTGATGGCCTCGTCCGTTGCTGGGCCGCTCTTTTCCTGGATGGCCATACTCATCTTCATGGCCGTTTCCGGGTTTGTTACGTCTCCCCCCTGACAAGAGCGGCACAAAACACGACAAGCATCAACTGATTGCTGTATGTGGGCAACGCGGTAGGGAATCGCTCTGCAAGGCACGTCCTTTTCGATCGACCAGACCCCCAATTTACAAGGCACTTTGGCGAGGGAGGAGGAGGTGCACGGTTCTTACCTTGGCGAGGAGCTCCTGTACAACAGACTCGATGACGTTGTTGGACGCCTTGAAGAAGGCAGTCACGACAGTCACCATCTTCTCCACCGTAAGGTCGTCCGGGAGCTCAGGCTCCTCTTCGTCCGTCGGCAAGTTTGACACCGTGAGATAGAGGTTCTTGAGATGCCTCAGCTGCTCTTTCACCTACGAGGTAAAGATCAAACAACCACGGCCACCACGATCCACGATCGACACGGAATGCTACGACGAGAAAAAAAAAGACCTGGGCTCAGACACAAACACACGCAAAAACGTCCATGTCCACAAGAGTTGACCTCTGATAGAAACGTTGTCCTTCAAGCCCATGAGTTTTTGCAAAAGAGCAGGATCATGACACCATGACCATCGCTCGACCAGATTCACCAAATAACCGGTCAGACACAATGTTCGCCTCCCGCCCACCGAAAATAACCTCGCCAAAATACTCTATCACGCAAAACCATGGTCAGGTGCACTAACATGTCATCACGAAAATCAATCCAAGAACATCACCGAGCGTATCTTTAAAGGTCCCTCGCACGGCAAAAAGGCGCTGGTTCGATGTATCACCTGCTGGTCCCCCTTCTCTTCGTAGTACTTGCTGGCATCTTCCATGTCCTCCAACGAGATCCCCATGCCCACTGAGATCTGAGACCCATCAAGTCGCGCATGGCAAGGAGATGGGAAGTGTGCTACACCACCAACAGCTCATTGCTCCCGAAAAAACAACCCCCTTTGCCGGGAAGACAGAGCATTTTCAAACAACAACATAGACCCACCTCCGCCGGGAAGACAGAGCATTTTCAAACAACATAGAGTGGTGGCACACGCACCTCCGCTCAACGTTGGGGAGAAGAGCAATGTGAATACTTTTGTAACCTCCTGGTTCAGGAAATCAACGCGGGCAACTGAGGTGTACACTTCGGGTTCTTTGCGTTAGTTATCGACTTGAACATGTGCAGCCGTTGTACAACAACATCGCAAGTGAGTACGTGTAGACTGCCATCATTTCGGTCAACTAGGAACAATTCTCTAGAAACCGCACCTGCGCCTGAGTCTTGGCGAGAGAATCCTCAAAGTGTCCAACGGCGAGATCCGTGAGGTGCTGCTCCGGTACCTTCCCTCTATACTGAACTATTTGTTGGTTGAAGCTCATCTGAGATGCGGTTGCGAGACGAACAACCGTTGCCAATAAGAAAAGGCAGCACAGCGTAAGAAGAACTATCCAGGGGCCCCAGGGGAAGAATTGGGATTGGATGCCAACATGCTTCAGCACCTGTGAGCACCTTAGCCTCGCACAGGTTTGGAGGCGCGCGTCCACCTACCAGTCAGTAACCAGAACTGGTGAGATTGAGACAGCGAAGCGTACACCCACCGTGGGTTCGTCTAGGAAAGACCCCCCGCCAATGGTACGAGTGTCGGGATGTTTGCGAAATACTCCGGCAGGCGTGATGGAACACGACCCTCTCACTGGCATTACGGATCTGCTCATCTCACAATGCTCTGGTGTGATTGCTGATTGAGGATTTGGAAGAACTTCACCACATGATCTCGGTCAACTGGCTCCCACTCCTCCATCTCCTCGTCCTGCAACGAACGTACGGTTTGGGACAGAAAGCGCCATGTGGAGGTGGCGAGTGAGAATATACCGTATGCGCACGACGAAAACAACACGATGAATCACAAAAATGTACCTCACCTCCCCTGCTAAAGCAGTGTTGTTCACAAGTGTACATTTGTGCAGGCTCCACAAGATATTACCCGTGGTCTTGCTTGTACCTTAAACTGCGTAAAGCTGGCCGCGGGGCAACTTCAACAAGGAACGGGGGCTTTCCTCGTCCAACACGTTGTAGTTTTAGACCCGGGGCCAACTGCAAGTTTTTACTATTGAGCTCGAAATGCCACGCAAAGAAGAGATGAGTGCTGAGTAGATGTCTGACTGGAAGCGAGAGATAAGGTGGCACATGGGTGTGCGTGGCGGTTGTGTTCAGGAGAGAGGCCAGAGAGAGAGAGAAAAGGAAGGGGCGACAGACAAAGACAGGCCGATCGCTCCTACCGCTGTACACCCGGGCGGCCAAAAGTGAGATGGAGGCGCAGCACCCACAAACCACACACAGGCTGCTATATAATTGGTGATGTACAGCTATGCTGCTTGTTCACCCTGTCAGCCGAGAGGGAGGAATAAGAGACGTTTCATCGCTCGTGTGTCCTGCCGGGTGTGTGTGCGTGCTTCGGAAAAGAGGCACATCCCACACCCGCAGGCTGCAACACAAGACTGACGTACAGCAGCCCCGGGAACCAACTCTCTCTACACTTGCGCGAGTGTCCAGTGTGCGACCTACTCCCTGCTTCTCGCGTCCATGGCACTCTTGTCAAATTGCCTGAACGACTGCAGGCGGGCCAGTTTCCGTCCGAGTTTGAACAATATAAGATGAACTAGGTATTTCTTCTCAAAACAAAACATAACCCCGCGACCCCGCTCTAGTGCATATTTCCGGACAATTTTGGGACGGGTGGCACAACCCATTGGGAGGGCTGGGGCAGTCAGAAGGACAGTTCGGTAGGAGCGTACAGCAGAGCGAAAAATATGTGTCGTGATTCTTGAGGGCTAAAGGTGCACGATTTTTCTACGTACCGCATCTCGGAAATTGTTTGTTCAAAGGTATACGGGTGTGTAGCATGTTGGTGTAAGCCCCGTCGGTCCACATCAACCACGCAGGGCTCTACATATCCATGATCGGCCATCAAATAGTAAACGCAACAATGCCGTCCATAGAGCAGGTTGGTTCGGCGCTCCGTGGGTGCAATCTGGGTGTGATAACCAAAACTCACAATCGAACGTAGTTCCGGTAGAAACTAGAATTTGAATGCTAGAGCTATTAGATACGAGACTAGTGAGTACCTGAGTGGTCCAAATCGATGCAGAGTTTAGCTCGATGTACACAAGATGCAGTGCAGCACTCACAATGATACGTAGCGTCAGCACAGGTGCGGGGTGGAAGACGTGGGGTGTTTCCTAAGGCAGAGAGAGCCAATTGTAATGATGTAATGTACTCACCCCCATCGAGCGTGCTCTTCGCCACAGGATATAAGCGACGCCTGCACCAAAAGCGACCATCGTCGCCAGGGCTGTTCGTGGCTGCGCTCTCGTAGCCATGATGACGCTGGAGTGGGGTCTCGTGCTCGGTGTCTGTGGTCGCTGGCTCTGGCTGGCTTGGGAAGGGGGGACGCGAATGGCATACCATGCAATCCCCCGCTCTTAGCCCGGCGCCCCCCGCAAAACACACAGTCTCGTGGAGTCTCGTTCTGCACTCACCTGCGCTCTCTCTGATAAACGACCATGAAGGATCTGACGGCTACAGAAAAAGAGGTGCGTCTCACGGTGCTGCAATTGTTCATGCCGCAGAGCATGAGAAATGATTGGCATTACAATACAACACTACATGTAATCCTCCTCATTTCGACCCGGCTGATTGTCCGTCCAGGAGGCGGCGCAATTACTCGTGTCGATGTTAGCTGCCGCTCCACCGTTGGCAAACGAGCTTGGGGAACTCCTCGATGCCCTTGGTGAGTAATCAGCCAATGTATGCCATCTATATGTCTGGATTTTTATCTCTGCCTCTTTGATATGTCTTTTGTGTTTTCATCGACGGCTCTTATCCTTTTGTGTAGTGTATCTTCCAGCAGTCGGACCACGACGCGTTCCGGCCGCCGCGGAAAGGAGAGGCACACAGACGGACAGCCAGACAGAGAGCGAGGGAGGGATATTTTAACTGCGCGGTTCTTTTAAAGAATCGCATGTGAAATCAATGTCTATCGCATTTGGCGGGTGCCGCGTGATTCTCATTTTCCTACCAGATGGTGCGACCAACAAATAATACGGAGTTCGGTAGATACCTTTGACGTTTTACACGAAACGCGGCCGACTTCGCGACGAACACATAGCTGGCATTATCGAGGTGGATTGCTCCCCCTCTCTTGTTAGGCGCAATTGACACTCCCCATATCTTTGCGGCCGTGGGCTATCAGGCGTACTGTAGAAACAACACTGCGTGATGACGAAAAGATCTATAAAGCCCCCATGAGCCCCCGGCAAGCGAGGAGGGCGCAGCATACGGCATCGGTTGCCGGTATGTAGGCCCAAGGTATTGCCGATAGCCGCTTGCATACGGTAATTGATTTGTTCGTGATCCGCCGCGCTTTCAACCTAAAGCTCCTGGTGCTCATACCGAAGACACGTGGCATCAATCGAAGCATTCCCGGCAATACAACATGTAGTCTAGGTTGTTTCAACAGACCCAGGCTCTTCGACACGCGTGACAATGTTTGACCTTCTTCCTGTGCCCCTTCCAAACGAATCCTGAACCTTGAACCTTGCACGTGACGCCGACGCCTAAGACGAAGGAGAGACGGTATTTGTCGGCGGAGTCAAAGATGCCACCTTGCGCTCCCAGCTCGCCGCGTTCTTGACTGCACTCGGACTTGCTGCCCCTGCGGGAAAGGGAAACAAATCTTTTCGATGTAGCGGTGGCGGGGTGCTGCGGGGTGTCGCCGCATTAATGGATGAACAGGACTTGGCGGACCCTCTTCCGCTTGACAGGGAGGCGGCGTTTAATTCAGCAAAGGAGGCAAGTACGGGCGGAGAGAGTCGACATGTGTGGATCATGAGTTTTTTCGTTTGCAGATAGTACCAGTATATTGCACCGTGGTCTGTGAAGCGGGTATCGCGCATGTGCTACCTTGTGGGGCGGTATCGACCACGACCAATGCATCATACGCCACGGTAGAAGTTTACAGTCTCATCCTCACCCCGGTGGTGGAAGCAATGTATTTTTGTGTAAATCGCGAACCCCGGGGGTAGTTCTGGGGCGGAGGACTGGTACAGTGTTAGCGCTGAGCCTCGGGCGGCGGGCCCGATTGTTTATTTCGAGAAAACTTCTCGCTCAACCACCCATCCGCACGCCGGCATGTGTTTCTGTTTGGTGGATATCCCTCTGTTGCGCGGAAACACAGAAAAGGTGTTAGTTCTTTTTCCTTGGCGGGAAAAGGCTTTCCTAGGGAACGGAGGCGACCTAGAACTAGAAATGTCAACTCAATTGCGGATCCCTGGGGTCCAGGCAACGTTTATACCACACCTGCGAGGACACGGAATTCGTGCCTTGTGTTCTCTTCGCCACGCGGTCTCGCACCGTCCGCCAGAAGAAGAGGCGTACCTGTTGTCCCATCTCGTCGAGGACCTGCTAGCTCTCGCGTGCTGATGGAATTGTCGCTTCGGTGCTTTCACAGGTGGTGGATCGCTTGGCAGGCGAGCAAGGAATGGAGGGTGTACGCGAAGAAGTGCCTGGACTGTTGGACCAGATCTTAGGGGGTGAACTTGTCATGCTTGAGGGGCTTCCTGACGAAAGAGTCAGGTGATATGCATGTATTCACCTCCGTGGTTCCGTGTTGCGGTACGTACACTGGGGACATCTGCTTCGACTTGGTTCTGTTGTTCATGTGCTTCCGGTGTCTTTTTACGCTGAGGCAGATGAGGCAGATGTTTCTGGCGCTTTTTGTGTGTCTCGTGTCCGATTCCCTCTTTTTGTCAAACACTTGCGTTCTCCTGTCAGGGCCGCCTTGACCCTTCTGTTTGAAGCGATAGGTCTAAAATCACGGACAGCAGGAGATGGCGGGGAAGCCGGGTACGGCATACCTGATCGGGGTTATGAAGACAGTGAAGCTGTCATCAAGAAGGCAAGCAAAGGTAGAAGTATTTTTCCGTGAAATAACCCCAAGTTAAGCTTGGCGTATTTTTGTACTCGACCTTCACATGCCATATATTCTTCGGTTATTTGGCAAGGGGGTCTGTACATCTCTTTCATGATGGATGACAGTATCGCATCCGCGTATCGTCCCTCCCCTGGCGTTGACCTACAACGCTGATTTATTAGGTGATTGCGGAGTATGGTGGCGAGCAGAGTAAGCCCAAAGACAGTAGCGACGACGAGGGGGGCGAAAACGATGGCCCGGCACCTCGTAGGGCCCCTATTGGTCCAGCCATGCCTTCCCAAGCCATGCTTGCCCAGGCACAACAGGCAGCGAAGGACTTTGTCCAGGAGGTGCGACGAACGGTAGCCATGACTTTGGTCTCTCTCTCTTTCTGTGACTTGTTTCATCTCTTTCGTCGTCAACCGCCCTATGAGATGTGGTACCAAGTTTCGCCATTGCTGGTGTCAGGTGTCTGCTTCGGGTGGGCGCAAGTGTTTCCTTCAAATTTTGATTATCCGTTGGTTTGCATCGCAGCAGGACTCTTCATCTGACGACGATGAAGATCAATTCGGGCCGTCCATCGCCGGCAAAGAGAAACGCGTCGCATCCGAGCGGTACGTTTTTCGTTCTCGTAGGCATTAATTACCATGACTTAGGCGCTACGCATCACACGTACTTCACGAAGGTCTTTAGTTGTGTTGTACTGCTCGGTGCACTTGTGAGCATCCTTTACCTCGTGCCAGGAGCAGCTAGTTGATTTTGCCATGTCATCCATCACCGTTGGCGTCGTGCTTGTGTGGATCATCAGAGCGGACCCAAACCGAGCCAAACGGCAGAAACGGCAGGAGTTGAAGCGTGCGGCCGAGTGGGAGAATGCCACTGGTGTTATCACAGGAGGGCAGGCTGCGCTCGACAAGGCGGTGAGAACGATCGACGGACTAGCGTTTGTGGTTCTTACCCATGTCTAGCACATTTCACGGTGTGTGTGTTGGCTGCTTTCCACTTGTGCTGTCGTTTTCATGGGCTGTGCTATTCAGGCACACCAAGGGAGGTTGTGCTCCGTTCACGTTCCAAGTGCTTTTGGGGTCTTATGCTCGATCGAAATCCGATTGCTGCGGTGCGAGATACTGTACGCGAAGTCGTTTCCACGCGCATTGCTGAACGATTTCGTTCTGTGTTAGTGCGTGAGTGGGTATGATAGCTTGTGGAGTATAAAAACATTTTTCTTGCAACGCCTATCGCGCTCCGTCATCCAATAGATATCTTCAAGTCAACTTTGCTTTGCTCTCCTTGCCACAGGAGGCCGAGGTTGGTCGGGAGGAGTGGATGCTCGTGCCGCCCAAGTCTCTCGGTGTATTAGGCGCTATCAAGACCTTGCAGCCTACCAATCGTAAATTCCAAACGTAAGTCAGCTGCTGCCATGAGATTGTCCCGTACTTTTGAGTATTTGCTGAGACCGGGGAGGGGGGAGGCCCCGAAAATGCGGATCGTACGATACAAGCTGGCCGCAGTGCGATTAACGACGGAGGCACACACCACGGTGGGCGTTTGTCACACCGTGTGTTGCCTGGGTAGCAAATCCAATTTTTTCCTGCAGCTCTCCTGACTAAAACTCATCAAGCGTTTTTCTTGTCTTCGCCCCTCGAACCCATCCCTCCGCCCCTCTCACGCTCTCTGTCGTGCTCTCGTTATGGTTAGTCGCTCGGCGAGAGGTGCGCGTGCGGATCTCCATGCCCCGAAAGCACCGAAATCGAAAGCAGAGATGGAAGCTGAAGCGGCGGCGGAGGAACTCATGGCCAAGCACCGGGAGGTATGAGTGATACTAGCAAACTGTTCCGCCCGTGCTTGTACATTTTTCAAATCCATGCAAAGTTGAGCGGTCAAGTGTCTTGGTGTACTGCATACCCGCTTGTAGCGTTCCCGGTAGGCCGTGCCGCATATGCCGTGGTTTGGGGCTCCTCTTTCGTTGCGGAATCCCGACGTCGTGACCCTTTTTTCCTATCGGGAAATATTACTTTCGGCGCGTACCCATCGTATATAGGCAATCCGGTTGATTGTTTCCTACATGTGCCAGAATCTCTCAATAATTTTAGTCCAAGTGAATGACGTACCCCCTTGGTGTTCATCGTCTGCAATCTCTGTTCCAGGCGGGTCTTTTGAAAGGGGCAGTGTTGGTTTTGGTTTCGTTGCCAACAAATCGCGGTTCGGTCAATTTTTTATTTTTGTGTGTTTTTGTGTTTGGTCGAAGTTGAGGTCATGTTTATTTTTGACACCAGTTTTGAACTTAGGTCAGTTTGTCGTCACACATTGATTTAGAATAGGTATATTGACGTATCCCAGAGGTCGCCAAGTTTTTTTTATGGATATGTCTCTAGAAACTGCACGGATTTGGACGAATTGGAACAATGTGTTTGGGGGTCATCTCGAGGTAATTGTACGAAAATATTGCCTGCATTCCTCTTTTCCACGCGGTTCGTATGAACCTTGGTGTAGTGTCAACTCTCAACATTTTGCGTGAAGAGTGAGATCATGGTTGGGAACGTTCAACCGGACTCTAAAAAATCGAATACTCAGGAACGACCGTCATTGAAAGGTGCCTTTTGGTGCTTGACCCTCCTATTGGCCGTAGGCGCGAGGCGCCTCACTGGTGGAGAGGCATGCAAGCGACGTCAGCAAGGCCAAAAAGGCGGCGGGTGGAGGGGACGGCGGCAAGAAGAGTTTCTCCTGGAGCCGAGAGGAGGACTTCGAGCAACGAAAAAAATTTACCCCCCAGGTGAATTGCTTCATTGCAAAGACTCGTTGCCTAGATCACGTTCGTATTGCTTTGCTACCTGGCACAAGTCTGCGGTTGAGGGACAACGCGACCGTGGAAAACGCCCATGTTGATTCTAACTCGAATGTGGTGTGTGGTAACACGGATGTCTTCCTGTGACGCTGGGGGCTTGTCTGGGGTCTGGGGTATGTATTTCAACTACAGTTCACAGGCTTCCTTTAGTTGTATTCTACGATATGACGGGTGCTTTCGTCTCAATCTGGGCGAAACCTTCCTCCGGCATCGGGGATGTTTCTCCTTCTGTTAGCGGGTTCCATGTCGCTACAGGAAGTCTGAAACTTTTGTTTTGCCGCCCCGTGTTTGCCGTTTGCCAGATGTACGAAGAGCTGGTGCAAAAGTCCCAAGAGCTGGACTCGAAGTTCTCAAGATCAATATCCAGAAACTTTTTGTGAAGCAATCGCTGAGGGGTCTGCTAAAGACGACCATTTTAAATAGTCGATGTTTTTTGCCGCATGGGCAGGTTTCAGACGGTTATTGTGGGCGGGCAGAGGGTGCTACAATCGCAGGGTCCGTTATGTTGACGCATGCATGGCTAAGACATGTGGAGTATCGAAGATATTCGTGTTATAAGGTTGAATGCAGGTCGTATTTCTCACAAGGTGAGAAGGCCCCACCTCTCGTATTATGTACTTGTGTGCCATTCATTGCCGTGGAGAAGTGTAGCATGAAGACGTGTTGGTTGCCCTGGGGAACAATCTTGAAGTTTCCCTGACAACAACGCTCCCTGATGTAAAACATTGCTACGTACCTTACAGCGATACGGCACGCTCGTGCGATTCCTCATGGCTACTCTTCTAAGCTACTCTTCTAAGCTATCACAAGTCCTACGGTCTATTGCCCCACTAGTTTAGAACCCGTGCCACTCAGCCGTCCAAAACGCCCAATACAAGCAACCTTGTGGGAGACAAGAACCCTTCGAGGGTAAACCTGTACTCAAGCTCCACACCCCTCAACATTTCAATCCTCACTTTGGCACTCACTACTGCTACATTCATTGGTACGTGTTGTGCGTCTGTTGTTTGTGTACTTTCGTCCCATCTACATCTTCCACGTGCGGGAAATGTTCCCCAAGCAACAAATTGAACCAACACGGGAGACTCCAAAGTCGACACGAAACACACACAAGATGCAGCCTATGCGCGAGCAAATACACGAACGCAAGCAAGTTTTGTCACGCCGCATCCATGATAAGCGCAACACCAGCCAAAACCCATCGGCCCGCCGGCGACTTGGTCTTGAGCTGGGCAGAGAACACATAAGTGGGGCCTCGCTGCTCCGTCTTGTAACACGGGCAGAGATAAATCCCCTGGGTGTCCACGCGATCTGCCGCCACACCCTTGACGCTCATGATCGGCATCGAGCAGAACATCTCCTTTGGCTGCACGTGTGGGGAACAGATACACATAAATACGAAGGCGCTTGTGTGAGGGTGTTGGTGCGGTATTGTGCAGACACCTCTATACGACGACGGTGCGCTTCCACAATAGTGCAAGCACATGCCGCGCATGCACAGAGAATGTGTCTACCCGGAAAAGTCGGAAATGTGCTAAAAAAAAAGCTTCCTCCTGATCTGACCAGTCGATCGTCGCACGGTACATCCTCTTGACAATGTCATACCGTTGTATTGAGATGAGACCACGCTACCAATACAGTAATTCGGGACAGCTGTACAATCTGACCAAGTGGAAACATCTCTAGGTCGTTTCTTGCCTTGCTCTTCTCGATGCTGACCGAGTTCGGGTCCCACCGTGCCCCCTGCATGCTGAGGCCGATTATGTATGCCCCCTCTTTGCTGTGAGAATCCACCTCGTCCACCGCAAACTTTTTGAGCATCTCACTTTGCGTCTGCAGCTTGTCCAGTTCCCATTGATTCTTTTGGGCGGTTACCTGGGAATCAGAAGCAACACATGTTACGTAGTGTAGCCTGAACATGCGTGGGCGTGGGGGGGTCGCCATCGGCATCTCCGAGTGCCCATAGTAGTTGCGCGACTACACTGTGCACCAGAGCCGCTCAACTTCCGCCGCGTGCATCAGTCCACGATGGCATCTGTTCCGCGCGATTCAAAGCTATTTCTCCAAACAACGTGGTGATCGAAGTTATTCTATTTGTGTACCCATGCCCGAACAACAAGTTGGGTTCAAGGGCAGCACCCACCTGGCAAATGGCAGTCAGGAACGACTGCGGGTTGACCAACCCCGAGATCCATGTCACCTTCGGAATCTGGACGCCCGGTGGCATCGTGCAGAGCGAAACGACGCCGCAAAGGTAGCATGATTCAGCACAATAATATCTCTCGAGGGCAAACCAGAGTCTCGTTACATTTCGACGGCCAGTATGTCGTCGGCGCTTGCTGAGACACCGAAAACAGGCGGGAGGGAAGCATTTTGATACAGCCCACGCATTGCCATCTGGGTTAGAGTTCTACTACACCATCCTAAATTTTGGGGTGGACTGGCCGACCAAAGTTCATACCTCCATTGGGTTGTTTTGCCACTCCTCCAGCTGCCCCAGCCTCAGAGTGAAATCCGCCAACCAACTTGCCAAAGGTCGCAAACTTGGCCAGGCTCGCTTGGCCCAAGTCGCAGGGACCTTGATCGACCAACAAACGGCACCAATATGAGAAAAAATGGTCGACAGAGAGTATCAATATCTCCGCCATACAAGCTAACCCACAATGTGTTATCTCGCAACGGCCACGGAAACGAAGCTTCGCGTAATACAGCACGTAGTGGCCCGGTGAGATAGTTCTGTCTACATTATGTCAGCGCCACCCTCACCTTATCCAGGTAAAGAGCATCCATGAGCCCTTCCATCGCATCGGACATTGTGAGCTCCCCGGCAAATCCTAACTGCAGCTCCTTGAGCGACCGAACGATCTCCGCCAGAAGGGTATTCATCACGTCCATTTCCTAGGGTTTATGTCGCCCAAAACATGCAATAGTATGAGGGTGTGGTGGTGACCACGAGGATAACGAGTCTGCAAAGAGTAGTTCATGGGCATTCTCTCAGCGGCCGCTAAATATTGTCAACCATCCATTTTCGTTCTCAAAATCGTCAACTCCCCGTATTTGCGTATTCTCGGGCGTGTGAAGGCACGATGGTACGCGCTCAGGGACGTGGTTACCTGAATGAAGACATTCTGGTAGGGGCCAGCTTCCTCGAGTGACCGCCCAATGTCCTCGACGTCGAACTTCTTCTCCCCGAACTTGTCAAGGATAGTCTCCGACATGCCTCCCACCATTTGTTCGGGAGACATGATGCCCTCTCCCGATGCTGCATCACGAGGTTGTAGCTCCATCAACGTCTACGGCAGGTACAAAGGAGATCGAAAGCAGGGCAAGAGAGATAAGAAAATGCGTGCTATTTGCATCGTTGACATGCTGAGCTAGGTGGCACAATTCGGTGTAGACGCGACTCGTTCATGGATGCGCGATATAAAAGAGGTACCAAAGGGTCTTCACTATGCCGGCTGGCCTGGCCCAACAGTATTTGCATGTGTACCAAACGTTGACATCTGCTGCTCACGAATAGCTGTGGCCTCAATGGCTGGCAGGTCTTATTATGTGAAAGAGCTCCATCACGGCCAGCCATTTTACGTCTACTGCGAATACTACGCTGTGACGATGTTGTGATCCTAATGAATACATTGGTTTCCAAATTTGGAATGATCCGTTGCTCTTTGAGTGGGAAATTCTGGACAAGGCCTGTAGTAGATTGTTGACTTTCGTATATTTCCTCCGAAAGGAGTATGACAAGATACTGAAACTAACGAGTTTTGCCATCCTTCTTCCCCTGATTTCGCACCTTGAACATGGTATCTGATTGCTGGGTACGGAAGTCGATCTCGGCGTTTGGGTGAAGGCCGAAGGCGATTGGCGTATCGGCGCCCATGGTAGTGTCTATATGCTCCAGGTACTTGTCATACGACGTCGGGGGGGGAGACTGGAAAAACGAACGAGACGACGGCAAGGGGCAGGTAGCGGTGAAAAAAACAAATTTTCCACGCGAAAAGGAAGGAATTTCGGGTATGATAGTTCTACACTTACAGTCGTGCACAGGGGAACACTATTGAACAGACACTACAATTGTGTGCTTTCAGCTATGGTTACAAACACGATCCGAGGGACAGTTTTCTAGAACAGGAATAGCTGAACCTCACCCGTTGGAGACTAAAAAGACAGTAAAGACAATTGCCCGTTGCGTGGGATTCCACTCATCGGTACACGTAGCTCCCTCAGGGCTGCTTGATCTCCGAGAGGATACCGTTGTTCGTCTACGTACGTCGGCAGAAACCTTGCGACGTTCAGATATCTGTGGTGTCTGTTTTTTTGCACAAATGAACCGCATCGTCTCACCAGAAAACTGACGCCCTTCTCGTCTTCAGCGAAGGGATATAGTTCTGTCTCATCCAGAAGCTCGTCTTTCATGTACCAATCAAGGTATTCGTTGGCCAGTAGTCGATCAAAATCGTTGACGATGTGACCACCGTACCTGCGTGGACATCATCGAAGACACAGATCGTAAGTCACTCGGGGCGATGGGGTAGAGGCTTCAAACATGAACGTAGTGAGCCATGGGACGTAGTACAGACCAAACGCACCGACACCAACCAGGCGCTACAACGTACATGATTTCCCCCAAACGTACATGATTTCCCCGAAGATGTACTTCAGATCTTGCCACGGGATTTTTCCCCCGCCCGAGTTCTCCATGTAGTTGGTGAGGCACACGGCGGAGTCGCGCAGGTCACCGATGGAGAATGGATACATCATGTTGAAGCCCATGGGCCCGTACAGCTTGCGCTCCATCATTATGGCGTGGAAGTGGCACAGGCCGAACAAAATGCTTTTCGTCTTGCTGTCCGCCTACGGCATGGCGTAACACGAGAGGGGGTCCATTGGTTTGCCCACACAAGCGTGTGAACCGTTGTTCACGTGTAAATGCGGGAAGGTTCCTGTTTATAACATCTCGTAGTGGTGAGCCACTGGCGAACAGCGGTCACAAGTGATGAGACGACGTTGTAATACGAACGTGAACGCACCAGGTAGTGAGCAGCCTACGAGTGCAATGCTTTTCTCCGGGACAAATGTCCAATCACCTCTTCGATGTACTCTCGGCTGAAGTTGGCGAACGCTCGCTTGAGGTTCGCCTTCAGCCCTGCCGGAGGCTCGTTGGTGAGCTTGATGCAGCGGCTGAGCACGCCGATAGGAATGGCGTTGGATGGATCGGAGGAAAGGTACAGCCGGAACTTTTCGTGACTCCCTTCCAGAGCAAACTCGTCCAACTTCTTCTCGAGCTCGATTAACCAGCTCGGCATGAGGTGGATGTTGTTGAGGATCACCCAGTGCCCGTTGCGGTGGGCAAGTTCAAGGCAAGACATCGCCACAACGTCCTGATAACGGGCACACGTCACGAGGCGTATGCAGCCAGACATGAATTCCATGAATGAGTTAGGTTTTTCACAATACGGTCAATGTTTACGAGGTTATCGTGCGACCCGTAGAACACAACACATAGGGTAGTGCGTCGTCTATAGGCAGGCCAGAAACGCAGCATGTAGCTGACCGACTACAAAAATGGATAGCGACCCGGATCTGCACGATTTTGCACTGGCAGCTAGGCCTTACCTGTCCTTGTCCCATGGACACGTTGTGATACGACTCGTTCTTCACGAACTCGTATTTATCGGCCAATTTGTCAAGATCTCCCACCACGTTAGCACCCGGCGACAAGATGAAATAAATTGGCGTCGTCGTAGTCGAGTCCAGGAATGACTCTTCCAGGATCTGAATCACAAGCGACCGATACGGAAAATGATTAGTGTTACCATGGCTTCCAAAAAATCACCAAGTTTTTCGTTGTTGGGGTTTTAACGAGCGGAGCAATAATTGTACAAGGCTAGCGTTGGTTCTTCGCTTCATTCGTGTGCCATTTGCAGCAAACAAGGTAAGGATTGATTTGTGTAGTAGCGTGCATACCTGGAACGAGTTGAGCGTGGAATCGCAGTCTGCGTAAGAGTTCCCGTCCGGTAGAGATCCCCGGATGAAGTTGGACAAGGCCGTGTTCATCCGATCTGGCCGAAGACAGCGTACCACCAGCATTTTCTGGAACGGCACGCGGTCCAGGCTTGCCCTGCATTTTTTTTATTCAACATACCGCAAGAGTACAAACGTAGACATCGTTAGAATATGCGGACAGGCAGGGTCGTCGACAAAACGTACATATATATCAAAATGTTTTGTATGCGTGCGGTGCAGGCGGAATAACCTCATCCTGTTCGGACACCTCAAGGTTGTTCGCTTGGAAATGCCCGTGGCTGAGATGAAACTAGGGTTAGGTTGTTCGATCTTCTAAAAACCAAAGATCTTATAGTGACTAACCAGAGGAGCTTGGGGGCAACATACAGAACAAACCGGTTGAGAGATAAGCTAGGGTAGACCAGTAGGCATGGGGGCGCATACCAGTCGAGCGGGAGCTTTTCCGTTTCAGGCGTGATGTGGTTGAACCACTCCCGGAAACGCGGACCAGCTTCCACAAGGTCAGAGCTGAACTTAGCGAACTCTTCTAACTCTCCCAAAGCTGACACCCCTTGCCATGCTGGTTCTGGTAGCCATGGTAGAGGGTTGTCGTCCACCTGTCCACGTTTGAGAAAGTAGGCCAAGCGTCATTGTACGGGGTTTTGTGCGTTAGTCATCGCTCCGCCCGTCTGCTGCCACCTCGCAATAGGTTTCCCAACCGCATCCCATTGAACAACAGGCTCCGTTTCCATGCGAACCTGATAAAACCAATTTTTGTACCAGCCTTCCGATGTGAAAGGTGACCTATATTCGGAGAGGTTTCATGATAAACAATTACGTTGTAGTTTGACTAAAACAGAAGTGTGAAGCTCAGCGCAGCACATGGTGATGGGCCCGGACGTGATTTGCCCATTCTTTTCCGTCATTGGCTTCGCTGTAGCTTATTATGCACATGCTACATCGGACGCCGATTAATCGTAGGTTCGGACGCCGTGGGTGCTTAGGCAGGAACAGAACGAAATTTCGTACTAAGATGTTCAGGTGCGTGTGTTGTAGGAAACAAAATCAACAGCGAAATAGCTACCGTAGTGCACCTGCTTTCGTGGTCCTCGAAGAAGGAACTGGAAATGAATCTCGTTGATAATGCTTTCCTCTCCTAGGATTCCTCTCTTCATCAGGTTGAAGGCCAACTGTGACAGGAAAATCAGCTTGTGGCGCTCAAACAATCCTCTGCTGACCCAGGTAAAGATGGTCATGCGCAAGGCGTCGCGCAAATTAAGAACTCGTCCGTCGACCGTGTCCGACGGTTTGGCCTTGGTAATGGACTTGAGGAAGAAGGTCACGAAAGAGTCCAGCGAGTACTGGTACATATGGTCGATGAGGCATCTGGATGTTCGGACGAGGAGCGTTGGCAAAGAAAAGCACGCGAAGCATTAATATCGTTGATCGTTGTCAGTTCACAGCGCAAACTTCACGAGGGATGACGGACTAGACTGTGCGTGGGGCAAGTCTTCCCTGCGGGGGCGGGATTTGGCTGGCTAGCAAAGTCTCCGTACTTGCCATTCTACGCTGTACGCAACCCGAATTGTATTCCGCAGCTTACATAGAGCCAGTGGTGAACTAATCCATGGTACCTCGGAGAGCAAACAGCTTTGACACGGAGGGGTACCCGCAGAACTCACAGCTTTGTGAGGAGGAAGTAAAGCATGGCTCCTTCCGTTGCTTGCTTGCGGTACAGCTCGCGAGCCACGTTGATTTCAATCTCGGTCAGCTTGCCCTTCTCTACCGCAGCTGCAATCTCCTTGGCTGCAGCCTGCACCATTTCCGCGGCCGTTTCAAAGATGATGGCAAGAGACGGTTTAGGACAACGTAAAACTACAAAGATCCCAATATAGGAATTCTCATGTTGAGTTCGTTGACACGAACCATTAACCGGTACAACAGTGTGCTGGTCGTTGTATCGCGTGTCAGTGGCGCAGCATGCACAAACGCACTCGTTGGTGATTGAAGTCACCAAACTTTCTGGACTTCGAGCTTTACGTGAGTCACCACATTAATGTATCGCTATCCCGCACCTTAGTTGCTTCCAGTCCCTCGATAAGCGGGACATCGCTCAGGATGTCATCGGGTGCATTTGCCAGTCTCTCCAGTAGATCGTCTTCCAGCTGAACCAACTGAATTTTGTACTGCGGGAGAGAGGAAAAACAACAGGCGGTGATGGGTTGGAGACAAAACGACACGCCGTCAAAATATAGGAGTTTCGACGACATACACATGGTTTTTCGAAAAGCGTGACATTGAAAAAAATGTTCTGGTATCACAATACATAGTGCGTATATAGACACTGCACGCATGAAGTGCGCACGCGTAGCTCTGTTGGTTGATACCAACATCCAAGAACTCCTGGCTTCCTCGTCGCCGTTTATCGAATGGTGGTTTCGATTTTCGAGCGCTGTGTACGAGGTATGCGTCACCTGGTTGAAAGCTGATTGAAGTTCCTGGGCCTGCTTCTCCAGCTCGGGCCTTTCAACCCCCACCACCTTCGCCAAAAGTTGATCCTCGAGGCCTTTCTCGGTAGCAATGAAGTTGATCAATGTGCACTGGCGGTAGGAAGCACAGCGTCGAAAAGTGGCTTGCTTAAGTCCCAAGGTTGCTTGTTGGACATCGAGTGGAGCATTGCAGCGGAACGCGCGTAAGGTCCACATCCTCCTGTTGCTTTCGCAGGCAGTGTCAAGCTATTAAGCTATTAAGCGACGATGTGCCTGAGCACTATCGCAGGCACCCATGTCCACGTGAGATTCGAGTGTACTACCGGCAGGAGTATGTCCAATTGAAACGCGAGGACTGATCGTTGTTCCGGTAGAACGCACCTGTGCTGCGATCTCCGGCTTGTAGTGAGGGTTGGATAGTTTCGTCTGCAGGTAAAGCTGGAAGCCGGGGTCATACTCGACTTCCTCCCCACCCAACTTGAGGAAAAGGGATCTAACGAAAGGCGACAGAGAGAAGACATAGGCGAAAGCCGGAGCATTATCAGCCCCCACATCAAACGAAATATCGAGAATAAACTTGGGTCACGTCAGTGAGTATTCTTCGTCCGACACTCTAGCATGGGTACCTCCCAGATGCTTATGTGAGCAAGTGGAGGGTGTGAGCTTGGTCCTGACGTACCGCCCCTTTTTGTAGATAGCACGAGCAAGCACGGGATCAAGGGTCGGGTCGATTTCCTCGCCAATGTTCTCGATAATGAGCGTCTGCCCGTTCGTGATGGCAGTCTCGACATCTCGTAACCACTTCTTCTGGGAGAGCTGAATCACCGAGAGGCCGTTGTCTTCCTCTCGCTTACGCAGCCATTTGATCCCCTGTCAGGTCGACATGAATAAAAGGGCAAGCAGAGCTAGTCGCATTCAAGATTCGATGTCGATGAGCAACGTTTGCAGGAAGTCAGAGACATACGGTTGTGGCAACTCGGAAGCGGTGTTTTATTTGGGGTTCTCCCCAGTCCACAAGAAGCACTGAATCTAGTCCAGAGGAATATTCAAACCTTCGATCCGGTAATATATCGAAGATTTAAACGAGGCGATGATGTGATTGTTACCTGCTGCTGAGGATCGATGATTAGAGGCCACCGCTTGCAGTTCGTGATGACCGAACCGTTCTCTAGCGATATTCGATCTGCTGGCAGTCCCTCGCTGGTCATCTTGGCGTTGTTCCCGTCGTTAGTAAGGAGATCCAGGGGATCAACCCCTGGCGTTAGTGGGATCTTGCGTTCCTCAATATCTGTTTCCGGGAGCAGGAGATGTTACAGAAGTATGAGTTCGCCCTTGTTCACATCGACTATGCACCGCCGCGAAACCGCACTTTGAAAACGAATTTGTTCATTAGTCCGGGAGTCGGCATCAAGTCCAAGAACGGATTGTTAAGTTCGGTGTCCTTATGTTTTAAGAGTCTCGGGGCGTACCAACCATGCAACGCTTTCTTCATCGCGAGAGCACGGTGGGAAAGGCTTAACAAGATATTTTTCTGCCGTCTCTGCTTCCGCCTCACCAGGGGTCCACACGGCCTTCCAGAGAATGTCCCGGTTGGCCTGATCGAAGGCTCCTACGTATGACACGAAACCACTCGCAAGCATACAGTCACCGACGAGGGTGGTGGCACTGTGCCTGAGCTTCTCGATTTCGTTGCCCCACCGTTCGTTCTCGCTCGACAGGCCACCGACAAGACGCTCGGCCAGGGAGAGACGAGTCAGACAAGCCGCTGCCTCTGCCTCCACCTTCGCCTTCTCTTCTGTTGCCTGCAAGCGGTTTCGTTGTTTGCAGACAAAAACTTGGAGCTTGTTGGATGAATGGCGTAAGAAGAATATTCCAAGCTGCGGGGAGATGTGGTTTTGTAAAACAGAAACATGACCTTACGTATCATCAGCAAAATATTTTGTACCGCTTTGTAGAAGAAAAGCAACACACGAAGCCTCGACTTGCCGGGAGACGAGGCGAACCAGGAAGAGGCGCAAACGTATGAATGGATAACAGATGCAGAAATCCCAGTGAAGAGATAACTCGCCTCCATGAACTTATCCTGGAGCTGCTGAAGCTTGGCCTCTACCGCGGCCACAAGATCGTTGGAAACCTTGAGTGAAGCATCTGCGTCCGCCTTGGCTTTACGGGCGCCTTCCAAGCTGTCCATCAGAGGTTTCACCTATCAATGTAAATTTGTCACGTTTCCGGGATGGTTGTGTCAACCAGAATTATGGGTAGCGTTTGCTCAACAAAAGTGAAATGGCTGTACTCAGTTTCTTGTTTTTTTGGGGAGGGTATCAACATGTCGTGCCATATTGCTACCCATCGCTCGTTATGAAGCAATTCGTCTTCTTACTTAGCAACGAAAACCCGCTAGAATTTGTTGCCTTCACCAGAAGAGTTATAGGGAACAACTGAACAATAACACTAGTTGCTTGTCACACACCTTCACGTAAATACGGTTGTAAGTGTAGATGGAAATGACCCACGAGCACAAGTTGGCGGCGGCGGCCGACTTGCTCTTCATGTTATCCACAGTAAAGGTCTCGTCCCCCACAATGGGCTCTAGCTTCTTGATCTCGTCTTCAGTGATATCCTCGCCGCGGAAGGCCACGAGGCTGTGGGTAAAGAGAGGGTTACGCAATAAGAACAATTTTCGTCCCGTCGAAGCTCGCTATGGACGCATGGGCTGAAAAGGAGAAAAATACACAGTCACGCTCGAGAGTTCCACCTGCCCGTCTGATCGTAAGAATGGCGGGTCGCAGCCGGGCCGACTACTCCAGCGCCTCCTCAACACGTGACGCACGTCAGATGAATAATGTAGGATGATTGATTCCGCACGATCTTGTGGACGAATGGTGTGACCCCCTTCTGTCCTGGGAGGCAGTGGCTCCTAAACATCGCGAAGCGGACGACGTCATCGGTCAAAGAGCTTGCCTGTTTTTGAACTGGTCCACGTTGGCCATCATCTTTTTAGCGCGGTCCCAAGCGTGGTTCTTGTACTCTTTCTCCACCAAGATGAGCACCGCCTTTGTCACCTGGCGAATCCAGGCAACAATCGCCGCGGGAGCAAAAATCAGTCAATCATCCCCTGGATACCCACGTTCTGGCGCACAAAGAGTGTTGGACATGAGATCAAGACAATGCGTGGTGCACACAATTCTTGCCTTATCTACCCCTGCCGGTGGCTTGGGGAGACTCTTTAGTTCCGTGAGCATGGCCTTGGACAAACAGTTGACCGCTTCTGCGGCTGCCAACATTGCCGGTTCGGCCTGGGCTAGCTCTTTCTCGGCATCCTTTTCGATTGCAGCCGCTTCAGCACTGGCGACAGATGCCTTGTCGGCCTCGATGCTAGCAGCAGCTTGCTGTTTTTCTGCGAATTTGAAGCACATCAAGAAAGTGTACAGGCAAACGAAAGCATCATTTCTTGTGTGTTTCGCTCCCTTGAATTGTGGAGAGGCGGCGGAGCGTCGTATCACACATACGTAGTGAGAGTAACCTACAACGCCGTCCTGTCATCGCTTCATGACAGAATAGACCTCAACCAAAGCTCGAGTGATTGAAACTTACCAGCACCGGCCCTCTGCACGCCCATTTCTTCTAGTAGCACCTCCGTGGCAGCCTTTTTCTCTTCCACCTACAAATAATGTATGCGAGGGTAGCCGGAGAGACATGCATGCAATATGCCAATTCCGCAAAAATGAACAAGAGGACACGTGCCTTGAGTCAAGCACGAAGCTGGCAGAAACTTTTACGAGTACCATGCGACGTGCAGTATGCAAGCCTACCCTCGCCCTACGCATTCGTGCCAACCGAGAATGACTGCAAATATGAAGCAGTTCTCTGTCTGTACCTTGACCATAGTGTGCGTGAGATCCACTTGTAGCTCAGCCACATCGGCAGCAGTTTTACGGAGTGTGGAGAGCCCGACGTCCAAACGGTCGATTTGCCGTTGCACCTCCGTCCGCTTCTGATCTAGCAGGAACTTGTAAAAACCGATCAGCTCCAAGTATGACTTGGGCGTCACGTAGTTGTACCTCCGCTGAGTTTCGTAGTACTCTGTCGACGCCTTTCGATGTGAAACGCCAGAGGGAACGCCGCACGAACAGCAGACGGGACGAAAATTGGTTCTGTCTTGACATGTGACCAACCGGAGATCGGCCGACGAACTGCATCAACAGATCCAGCTTTCTCGTAGCCTCTATGGACACCCAACACACCTTCGTGACCGACAAGTGCTCCTCCGCCATATGAACGGCGAGGCTCTCTTTGACGGACAACTCTCCGAGCTCCACATCCTCCAAAAAGCGGGCTGCCACGCTTATCAAGGCCTGTCTTGGCCACGGGTGGAAGAAGTCTACCGAGGTACAATTGATTAGCCCCGGGAAGCGTCGGGCACCTGCAAAGCGGGGTAGAGGCTGGTTTCAGTCGCTAAAAATCAATACCACGGCATTTTGTTCTTCCATTTGGCTCGAATTTTGTCGAATTTCGGCACCCCGGCTACACGCGCTCTTTGTGCCGAAATTTCGGGAAACGTGTCACTGCCCACGCCAACTCTTTGTACCGCTTCAGTTTCCACGCGCGGGTGAATTCACGAGACTGATTCTTGTCTGATGCAAAACACTATACGCCTCAGCTTGTCGAATGATATCAATCAAGCCGAAGAATCTTACGGATCCGGAAGATGTCTCCCACAGGTGAGAAGCACAACGCAACGTGGAGGTTGCTCTTGATCCTCGAGATGAGGAACTCCAAGCCAGCTTCCGGTGTGTCCGGAATCCCAGCTGCCTTGGCCTCGTTTCGTAGAGCTCCTACCAGTCCTTCTCTTTCATCCTGGGAAGGAGTGCACATTGCGGGCTTAGTTCATGGCTCCTTTTTTGTTAGGTTTCGAGAGAAATGAGGCGCACTTTGCGCAGGTGAAACCGTGGATGTCCTACCGTGGATGTCCTAAGACGCAAGTAAGCGTGCCAGTCGGCCACTTTGTTGCCGCGAAAGTCGCCAAACTGGTCGCTCTCTCTGCCACGGTACCCCACTACCTCGGTAGGAGATAAAAGACCTTACCTTCGGGAACAAATCACTGATCCACCCGTTGGCGAGGATGTCGTTGATGTAAATGAGGAACCTCTCGTTCACGATTTGCCCGTCCGTCATGAGGAACAGCAATGGGGTTCCCTTTACTCCCGCCGTCTTGAACATCTCTTGCAGAGCTTCCTTCAAGTCATCCACCTGAAATGAAAGGTGCCAGGACAAACGACTGGTTTGGTGACGACTGCGTCTTTAACATCAAGTTTTTGGGGCGTTCGCAAACATATTTTGTGTTTCAAGGCCCAAAAATAATGTTCAATCGTGCTTCCTTGTCAAAGAACGGTTCGACCTATGATATATTGTGATGCCCCCCAAGTGGCAACGCCCAACATCCGGTCGGACGTCCAACTTGTCCCTGTCCTCTTGGAAGTGATCAAGCGGAGGCAGAGTTTTTCTCTCAACACAATAAAGGATGTCACTCACCTTGAACTTCGATGTCACCGAAAGCTGTCGGACCTCAAACCCGCAGATAAACGCCGCGAGTCTCGACAGAGACTGTTTTCCGGATCCTCCCACACCGATGAGCATGGCATTTCCGCTAGGTCTTTGAATGATACGGCATATCCTGGTCACATGTTCCTGCGGCGGCAACCCACAGGTGCGTGTAAACGAGCATTTAAAAATCAACATATTCCCCCTTTCTACTCCCCAGAGAACAATGACACACTTGCGTGTCACCTCATAAGGGATCAAACGTGGACTGCAATGTTCGTTGTCAATGGCAAAGGTTTCGTCGCACCATAGCCTGGTCGAACAGAACGAGGTCCATCATAGGGTTGCTCTCATTGTACTCCTGCAGCTTGCCATCCAGAGTGTTTTTCAAGGTCGGTGCATCAGGGACGCAGGTGTACGCGCTACTGGTGCCCTTCCCGCAGAAGGTTGTGAATATCACCGGCTGCTTGAACATCTCGGCCTGGTTTGCGAGAGGGCGGAGAAGAAAAGAGGAGCTATTACACTTGGAGCCAGAATGCAAAACCAAGACTCAGGAAACGACGGGGCCGGGACTCCCTCAGTGGGTAATGCCGTGTTCTCTTTTCGCTAAAGGGTTTTTTCTTTGCAGCCCGTTTTTATCTAGACCATACTTCTGCATCAACACATTAGGCAAGGTGTCGAATAAGGTCGTGTTTCGGGAACGGATGTCTGTACCTGGAACTCAGACAGGTGTTTCTTGGCTACCTCGCCCATCATGCCATCCAGCACTTCCATTTCTGGTGCACTGATGATACGGTCGCGAAACACTCGCTCACACTCGTGTACCCATAGCCGTGCAATTTCTATTGGCGCGCTGTAGGAATCCTGATCCGCCTGTTGCCGAAACACGAGGAACAAACACCATGTTTCAGGTTTGGATATTATTACTTGTTGGCGCCGACAGCATACCTTACGCGAGCTGGGAAGAAGGACATACAAGAGCGGCGCTGCCGTAGAACTCTTCACAAACAACATCCAACTGGCTCCACACAGCAAAAAGACAAGGTCAATCGAGCCATATTGCAGAAACGTCACACATGCAACAGCTAGAGCTCAATGTTCAAATGACCCCCCCATCATGCCTGACACAATCCTTGGAAAATGTTGGTGAGTTCCCGCATGTTCCAGTTGTAGGTGAACTTGACCGCCGACGGCAGGAACTTGGAAGACACCTGGATGAATCAACATACAGGTTATTTTTGTCATCTCTGTCTTGCGGGGCTATATTCAGGGAAAACGTAGGCAAAGTGGAGAAACAAGAAAAGGAAGAAGCGAGACGGAAAGCAAAGGATTGTATTTAGAGCGCAGAAGCCAACGGGAGAAGAGTGGGACTTGCCCCAGGAAACAATGAGGAGATGTCGGTGGGGAACGTCATCAGAAAGAACGGCGATCACAAACAAGGAAGGGGAAACACCTCGACCTGCGTTTGAGTGCTGAACGGAAGGCACCGAACGCTTTCTTCTCTTCCTCAGACCCCTCTTTGTTCTGACTCACCATGGAATGTATCAAGATGCTGGCGTCCACCACACGGGCGCACATCGTGTTGATAGAGTCTCCCCAACCGAGCATATGTCCGCTCAGGATCGATGAGTAGACAAGCTTCAGATCAGATACAGATGGCATTTGGCAGGCGAAAGTGGCGAAGTGGCGCTGCAGGCGCTCACAAATCTCGAACGAACCCGCCGTAGGGTTCATGGCGGACAGAAACTGTACGTCCACGATCTGTGAACAACAAAGCGAAGCAAAGAGATGTAGGTATGCACAGGGTTAGGACATTTTTGCTGTTTTGTCCCGCTTGTCGGATCTGCTCGCGTGAAGCCCGGTGACTCCTTTGTGTACCGCGAACAAAAACTCGGTACGTGTACGTATTCTGTACTCTTAGCATACAGGTAAGGCTACGTCGTCTTCGGCCGCACGACCGCCCCCCGCTCACGTCGAGCCCGCCGTTCCAACATGGCGAAACAGCGCGGAACGTAGACATTTGATTGAACGTCGTAAGCTGAACCTTTTTTCCGTTTCTCACCTCCTTCCGGAACCCGAGGTCGACTCGGTCGAAGAAGGTCCCGTATCCGACGATCTGCGTGAGGAGCGCGATAGCGTTCTGTGTTCCATACGTCTCGACGTAGGGCAGGTTCATGTCGTCCAGGAATGTAATCAGGCGCTTCGTCGTCGGCGGGCCAAACCTTCGGCCAGAGCGCTTGTCAATGTTCATCTCGAGCTCCTGGTGAACAGATCGAGGCCGCGAGAAATATAGAGCGTCATTGTAACATCCTCGTCAAGCAGCTTCTGTAGCAACGGAGTTGGAGACTCGCAAATTGTGTCGGGGTACTTCGTAGCCCGTTCCTGCTCACGGACAGTTTTCTTGCCATTCGTATGGGAAGAATCGAACCTGAAACACGTCATGTAGCATCTCAGGAACTACCAAGTTGATGATACGTAGTTCACCTGTTGGAGAGCTGCGGAGTCGGTGAAGTAATTCATGTTGATGTTGACGCTCAGCAGGCCATCGGCATCCTTGTCCAGACTGCCCAAGGGGGGACACACAAAACAACGACGGTCAATGGTTGTGGCAAGCTTCGCATTGGGTGGCCCGCCGTATCCTCGACCGTCATGCAATGAGGCTTCGCCATCATTCAGCCTAGTCAGCTATGACCTGCCCGACGATTGTCTATATCATCCTCATCTACCCGTGCTTTTGGTTGGTCGACAAAGTCGCACCTGCGCAGGTACTCCTTGATGATTGATGTCTTGCCGGTCCCCGCCGTACCCACGAGCATCAAAAACTTGCTCCTGCGTACGAGCTTGTTCATGATGTACGACATTCTCACAGTGTCATTCGTGCTCACGGCCAGCTGACTAAACGGCGTCTCACCGGGCCCCACGCCAATGGGAATAGGCTGATAGTCGGGCACCTGAGGTGTGCGAAGGGGCCGTGCACGCCATGGGAACGCACAGATCTCGGAGTCGAAATGCGTAACGAGAGTTGATCAATCATCGGCTTATTTAGCGTGTTTTCGCGAGAGTATGGCTATGCATACCACTAACTCAAAACACATACGCAAACAATACAGCCCCGAATATCCCACCTGGGTGGACCAGTCTTTGAAGCCGTCGCTCTGCCAGTCGTAAAAGTAGTCGAAACAGGTGCCTTCTTTCGGGATTTTTTGGCCAGCAAACGTCGAAAGGAATTCCTCTGAGAACTTCCTGGAGCACCAATAAAGTGATTGCAGAATTACCTTTTGGTGTCAGTATGGACTTTTGGTGTCAACGATTGTATGTTTGTTATCCCTTGGCATGCACCCGGCGTTGCCTCGAAATGATCGAACATACTGCTTTTGAGATGCTGGCACAGATTATCCAATCGGTTCGGCCCTTCTCTCGTTTAAGGCTAGCCGCGCAAGATCAGTGACCACGACATAAAATATCCACTACACTTCACCTGCGGTAGTCGTCTGACTTGTCTACGACCATTGGACCACCGAACGCCCACATCAGGGCGAACACGAAGAACTGCTCCATGAGATCGCTCGTTTTCTTCTCAGGAGGCACATCCTCGAGTAATCCTTCCAGCAGGTAGACGATGGTGCACACCTACGCAAAGCAGATTGTGTCACGTTGGAACGGCGGTGAATGCTGTTTGCCGCGGCGGTGAAAACAGCATAAACTGTTCGATACCGTAAGATTGTCTTGTCCGAATCTCCTTTCTTTGTCGTTCGACAGCCAATATATTATGCAAGCTCATGTACGGGTGGACCAGCCTACTTTGTGTACCTTGTTGAGGACGCGCAGAGGTGTGACCTCCTTGAACCCCTTGCGGACAATCGTCCTGGTAGCCTCCACGTATTTCTCGAAAAGGGATGGCAGAACCTGACGCTCGTTTGCATCCTCGCGAGTGGCTGCCCACGACTCCACGAAAGGCTTCCACCCAATGTCTTGAGAACAAGTTTAATAGACGGACAGCAGGATGCCGGCAACAAAACGAGATAATATCCAACAGGAAGTGAGGTCCTGGGGCGTCTATCATGTACAACTATTGTGCAGGCAAGTGCTACTCCAGGGGAGCGAACAAGAAAATCAATACGTCTACCTTGTCTGCTCACCGGTCTCGTTAATGAAGAGGATACCAGCCCTCGAAACTGTGGCCGGAGTTGCGTTTTTCAGCGAATTGATTTCGAAAACCATCCGCATGGCATCGCTGAGTGGTACACGTTCGTTGGAAACCAAAGTCAAAACCTGTGATTGAGAGCGGACAGAAGCAGTATTCAGGAGAGCCCGATTTTGTAGTGAGTGTGTCGCGATCTCCCCCGGTCCTTCTCTGCGTCCCCTCTACAGCCAATGTGTGCATATTCGAGTGATATTTTCGATGTGAGCTCGTCCCAAAAGGTACATACGCACCTTGTTGTCGTCCATCACCGTGTTCATGGACTCGATCCACACGGCATCAATGTCCCCGTCGAGAACCACCCACTTGTATGTCTGATACTCGTAGAAGCCCTGCAGGTGTCAAATGTCGCAAGCAATCCAGGACGATCGAGGTGTCATCAATAATGCCAGATACTACTGCGTGAAACTCGTGAGTATTACCAACACTGACCCTACTCTGAAACTCGCCCGTTATCTAGTTAACGGCGCCCTATCACTCTGACATTAAGTTTGTGGGTCTTCTTCGAATTCGCTGTCAGGGATGAAATTCAAATTCAGCTTGTCCAAGCAGCGTGTCCAAGCAATCCCCGCCCCTTGTGCACAGCGCATAGGAAGCCATTTGATACGTGGCAATCGGGGGCATTGAAACCGTGATCGAGACAACCATTGGATGTGGACTGGAAATTAAGAAGATGATTGCAGCATCGTCACTATTCCTTCAGTATTATTTTCAATCCATTTAAATCACCGACACTAGCTAGTGCCAAGAGTAGACCTGGTCAGAGAAGTTCTTCGACATTCCACGCATAATAATTGACAGGACGCCATCTTTCCAGTCCTTGGCGAGAGTCATGTACCCGTACAGCTCATCCCCTGGGCAGGGAGAGCACCACGTCAAAGGGTGGAGCAGAGCGAAGAACATCCGTCGCCCGGCAAAGTGTGTGGTGGTCAAAGGGAAATGTCCTTTTGCTCCAATACACGTGGGATTCCAAAGTGATGGGAGCAACAAAACAACCCGACACGTTGCGTTCCTGCTGCTTTTGACCCTTTCCAAATCGCTTCACACACCTGTAACGGCCTTGGGGTTTACTGTCTCCACCACGCACGTCTTCTTGGGTTTATTCATGTTGTGTGTCTGCGCAAGGGTCTGCAGCGTGGAAAGGGTGGGCGCGGCGGCGTCCGTGAAGGTTAAGAAAATTGTGTACTCGACGAGCCGATAAAATAGTCACGCGCTCAGTACCAACGTGGCGCGTGTGTGTGAGCGGCCTAGGCCCAACCACGAGTGAAGACAGCATGGAGAGTCATCGCAAAGAAATATCTTCCGTTCAACGTTCAAACCTTCCAAATGGTGCTCTTGCCGCAACCCGCTGGTCCTAGAAGCATCACAGAGTGGCGAACATCCAGCAACTCCTGGAACTGCACCGTCTTGAGCACAAACGTGTCATCGATTTGAAGCCCCCACTCCGTCGAGACGCTCACTACCTTTTGCTTCAAGGTCTCATCCATCTTCGTCGCCACCTCCAGCCCCATGAAAAGATCCGCAATGAGCCGTAGGAAAATTGGTGTGTCGTGCGCCGGAATCTTGGGCGTATTAAAGTCTCGAAGTGCGCGCATCAAAATGGCCGCCTCGTCCAGATTTGGCTCCCCACGCTTAAGCATACCCGCCATACGCAGAACCGACTTCACCGCGCGCAGGCCCCAATCATAGTGGAACTGTTTTGACAGGAGATCGGAGGACAGCTCGTACAGAGTGACAAACTTGATAGCAAGCGTCCGTGCTTTCTGGAACCCTTCGGACATGAGCATGTTCTCGCATATGGGCTTCAGGTCAGGTCGAATCATGGCGCAAGACCGGAAGAGAGCCTTCAAGTTTTCCGGGAGCTCTGTCCGTCCTGCGTACCCGGGGTTCATCGTGATGTAGAAGCCGCACGTGGGGATCAGGCTGATGATATCTCCCATAAAATCAAACACACCGACCTTGACCGGCGGAGTGCCGGCGGGGAGGTGTTGGTACTCGGGGTCCCTGTGTGCCGGTACGCTGTACTTGACAATCGCATCTTGCACCGTCTTCACCTGCGTGGCCACCACCGAAAGAACCTCAATAGGGATGCGATTAAACTCGTCGAAACAACCCCAGGCACCGGTCTGTGCCAAGCCTCTGAAAATATCGGCCATGGTCTGGTAGTTCATCTGGTCCGAGCAGTTGAAGACGTAGCAAGGCAAGGCCAGTGCCCTCGCTAAATCTTTCGTCGTTTCCGTCTTGCCTGTACCCGCCGGTCCAGCCGGAGCCCCGCCAAGGAAGAGACGGAGCCCCATTGTTAAGGTGATGTAGCAACGGTCAGTCAGCGGCGTGATAACCAAGCGGCCCGTATTGCCAATCCACTCGTAAAAGTATTTGCACCTGAAGTCACAAATGCGGATATCCACGTCCATGTTTGTCTGCGCCCAGTAGAAGCGAAGCTGTTGTTGCCATAAAAATGCTGCAGGACCTTCGGTCTTGTCGTTGATAAGCTTTTGCACGACATCCCTGGCGTGCACATCGAGAGTGATTAGCGATATAATCTTGGTACGATCCTCCCTCGTGAGCTCGCCTAGAACCAGGTCGATGAGGCAGGCCAGGCGAGCATTGCATACACCGAGATAGCGCTTGACGGCGTCTTCTTGGCCACCCTCGAACTCTTCTAACGCCGCCTCCGTTTCTTCTGTCCAGTAGATCTGCGTGCCGGTAAGCACCACTTGCGCCGGGTAGTCGAAAAGCCACTTGTGACGGGGCTTCTCTACCTCCCAATTGACAGCTGTGTCGATTCCGTCGTTGAGGCGCAGTTTGAGGGTCATGACCATCATTTCACTCAAGCGGTTCAGGTACCCCTCGACCTCGCCTTCCATGGTGAAATCTTCGAAAGTTTTGACGTGTTCGCGGTCTTTTGCAACCTGAGGATTGCCAATCGTGAAGTTTTGTTTGCAGCAGAAACATGACAATGCCAAATCAACATAAAAACGTTGTGTCGGTGTTCTGGCCACGTCCTACTGTTGGAACACACGATGGCATGTTCGTGCTGTCCTTTCAGTGTTAGCGTTTAAGCAAGCATGCTGGAAGAGTACGCGCGTGCTCGAGAATAAAGCACAACCTTGAACATGCGAATGTCGGGCGTGATGTGGAAACATTTCGGACGGCGTCTACTATAGACCGCCACCAGGTGCCTTCTCCTACATAGCGCCCAAATGCTCACCATCTCGTTAACAGTCTTTGAAGATGTTGTTCCGTCCTCGAGAGTAATGAAGGTAAGATTTGCCAGCGAATCATAACAATCACCGAGGTATGGCATGATCTTGGGCGGGTTGGTGCCGTTGGCAAGCATGTCCAACAGCGCGACGTTGGACACAAAGTAGAATCTCGGGAAAATCTGCGGAATTTACGCGACGTCAAACGAACGGATAGGATAAGAATGTGCTTTCGTTGTGATGTCCCCTTTTATCTCAGTGACCTCCCCTGTGTGAAACAAGATCTTCCGAATGTAACTAGACGGCAAACATGCTTCAAGGCTGGAATTCACGTCGGCATTTCCAGATTTTTTTAGCCAAACGCCTTGCATCACCTTCTTCTTCATGTCGAGATATTCGTTGAGGCTCTTCTGGCACATTTCTAGTCGTTGCATCATGGACTTCAGACCCTCGGCACGCCCATCAACCCCGCAAGCATCGACGGCCATGGGTACGTTGATTGCTTCTTTCATTAGCTCCTTGAATTCGCTGTCGATGCCCTCAAAGCGCTTTGTATCTGTTGCAACGTAAACAATACGTGATGACGAGGTTTGTGTGCGACCTGGCTGCATTTGGACAAAGCGCGCTGGCCCTTTCAATGTGAACTGATTAGTTATCGACCCTTGAGAACATCCGCGCGCAAGGTCTTCCTGCTTTCTCTGGGGTGCATGATCTAACTGCAGATCCCGCTGTTTTGTCGACACCACCGCACCAGGATGCGCGTTTCGCACCCCGAAAAGTAAAAGCTGTGCTCGGCGCCACGCTCGTTTACCTTCGGGCATGCGTTTGAGGAGGAACGGAGGCCCGAATAGGCAGCTATTGTCTTACCGTCCGGCAACTGAGAACGAATGTCCGCTGACGCCAGGAAGATGCTCTCTAGCGATGCCCAGTTCCGGCTAACGTTCGCCCACAGCTTGAGCACTTCTTCCACGCTCCCCAGTGTTTTCTGCCAATGCATGACTCGGTCTCGGAAAAAGTCAACGAACTTGCCCATTCCCACCATGGATTGTAGTTCCATCTGGTGAGCCTCCAGGCTCTCGACGAGCTCCTCGGAGGGCCGGACGACGAACATCTCCGTATCTTTGTGGGGCACGTAGTGCAGTTCCATGTCCCTCCATGCAGCCTCGATAACCTCCAGCTTGTTTTCGATCTTGAGTTCTTTCTGAGCCGTTTCTACGATCATGGAGACGTCTTCGACGTGGGCATGGAGGTTGAGCTGCATCATGTCGTCCATTGTGAACTTTGGATCGCTGGGGTTTACAGCCTTGACTTCGCACACCGCCGCCAAGCTTTTCCAGTGGCGTACCCGCATGGCCGGGCTGTGCAAATCGTTGATCAGCGGTAAGACCACACCCATGTTCTTGATGGAGTCTTCGATATCGCGGTATACCGCCCATCCTTTCACGACCGGGAAATCGTTCCCCTGCTTTCGGAGCTGCTTAAGGAGTACTTTGTTCTCGTCATCAAGTTCTTCCGTGTTGATCTGGCTCCACAGAGCTGTTCTCCAGTCTACGTATGTGCTATCCACCATGGCTTTAGAGTCCCACAGCCCCTTGAGAAGCCTGAGCTCCATCCGTGTGTCCTGAGTCTCGGGATACTTAGACACTTGCAGTTCGAACAGATCTTCCAGTTCGTTGTACTTTCGAACTTGGACCTCCTTCTCCAACAGGCTGGCTGCATGTTCCTCCATTTGCTTGTACGCGTCCTCCACAGGTCCTTTGAAAGCAAAAGGGGCTTCCGCACGGAATTTATTGCGGAAGGATCGCATGGCTAAGAAGAAGCCTTCCAGCTCTTCCTTCAAGGCATCCACCTGTCACCGCGCATCACAACCGCGCGATCAGCGGCTTCTTCAGCGTCTGGGGGTTGAAGGGGGCAGTAAACAATGCGGTGCTGTCCAAAGTTTTGAAAAACGCACTGTCGCAATGCGACTGGAAATTCATGCCCAAGGCTTGCTCTCGAGCATGGCAGTAACCTCGTCACCATTATCACAGACGCTAGCCGTTCATTGCTTGCTACCATTGCCCATTTCACCAACATTTCAACTTTCCAAGAAACGCGGAGAAACTATTCTACCTCTGCCATCTGCATCGGTAGGATCTCTTCCTTCTTGCGGAACGTCTTCTTCACCAAGGCGTCCCACGACATCGGAGCCTCTTCCAGGAAATCCTGCTCAAGCGAACGAACAGAGATACAAACATTTTTCCGGCAGAATTTTTCGAATGCTTGTTTGTTACTTTAGTCAAGACGGGGAGCAAGAAAAATCGAAAGTTTCGCCTACACACAGACCATACGTTGGAAACGATATCATCTGAGCATCACCGACCAAGCACCTAGACTAGTTAGTGCCCACCTGTACGTCTTTCTCGGCCACCTGTACCCCCGATACATCGACCCCGTGCTGTTTCAGCATGACGATCATTTGATGCAAGGGCTCGAACATCTCCTGGGTTGTATCCATGGCCTTGCGGACCTCGCTGATGTCCTTCATGACCTGGTAGGTTAGTGAGCGTTTTGACCACGGTATTGTGTTAAACGCGTGGAAGGGATTCGATCTGGGGGTGGTAGGCGTGAACCGTTTTATACTAGTTGCACACCATGCAAATTGTCAGCCACTGGGAACAAAATCAAACGAGGTTGTATCGAGTAATGTGCAACAGCAGAGCGGGTGCATATGCACTACTTCTGATTGCCTGAATGACGGCATGTGCCATACCTTCATTAGGTTGTCCTTGCCTTCTGGACCTTCCGGGACCTCTGCATCCAACCCTGTAGAAATTTCTCTCATGAAGGTATCCAGCGATGCCAATTTTTCCACCTAGTATTGCCGTTGTGAATCGGGCAGGAGGTAGAGGTTCAGAGTTCTCGTGAACCTTCACCTGGTTAGATGCAAGTGGAATGTGAAAAAAACAAAACACCAACACCACCCGGAGCCCTGGGCCATGCTTGTTGCGTGCTCACCAGGGTACTCTGGAGATGTGATGTAAACATGTTGACCCACTTCGACGACCATGTGACCAACGCTTGCTTCACTGGAGTAACTTTCACCCGAAGCCAGCCTACGTCCTGCGGGCTGCGGACAATAACGCCAGGGACAGCGCAGTGGGCAGGTGGGTCAACTCGGTCTTGAGCATCTCCCTCGCTGTGGTGGGCACGGACGATACCTGAGGTTTATTGAACTCTCTTTAACGACCCATTACCTGACCAGCTTCTTAGCCGACGTCTGGACCCCTTCATATTTTTTAATTGCATCCTCGAATTTCTTCAGATCCGTCAGGCGCTGTCCGAGCTCCGTAGTAACGATGGCATCTTCGGCAAATTCTTCGAAAAAGGCATCCCTTTGACGGGGGCAGGGCGGGGCAAGAAAATAATGTTACGCTCAACCTGCGCTCGTCGCTCATCCGTTGTGCTTTCAAGTCGTCGTGCCTTATCAAGAGTGTGATGAAGCCGGAAGGGTTTCCTAATATCAGGTGTGTAACTTTCGGGCTTGGGAAGTATAAGACAGAACCATTGGTGTGGGTTTTTGGAGTTGTCGCAGAACTCAACAGAAAAAATTGGGTATGCGACCATGTCGTACAGGAATCAAGAGAAAAAATGCGGAAAAGTTCACAAAAGTGTGTGTATCCGTATCCACACCGGGGTATTTGTTACCATGTGTATTATTGTATTCATCTCAGTATTTGCCCCTATTTCTGGGTCCTTCGCCCTATTTTGCCCCGGTTGTTATCCTACGTTGATGTACCGTACCGCGGGTATTCCCCCAATGGGTATAAAGAACTCACACAAGTTCTGGGTAGGGTTTCGGTAAAGACCTTCAGGCTTCGCAGAAGTATCCGGAACGGGTAACAACCTGGAAAAATACACCCGATACTATGATTCTGTACGAAATCTACCTTGCCGAGTATATCCTGTCTCACATGTCGGTCAACCATAGGTAGGAAAAGGCATCGTATTGTGCCTTCAACCTCATGCAAGCTTCATCATTGTCGGACAGGGCATCGTTCAGAATGGCGACCAGCATCTGGACCTCGGTGTCACTCTGGAAAATTGTCGAAGGAGGAGCACGGGTGAGTCGTCTGCTATCGTGACGGGGTGAACCTCCAAAATTAATGGACTAAGTACGAGCGCCCAACGTCAACAATAGTGCGACATGAAAATCCACACATCTATCACACTTGATGCGCGTATGGGAGACCGTACCCAAGGAATCAGCTCGCCACCGGCTCAACAAAGGGGAATCAGTCGGACCTACACAATAGAACCAAAACGAGACTGAGCGATAAGTACCTGCATCTCGCGAATGTATGTCCCTTCATTGTCGAGGCGCTTGAAGAGCGTAGCAATGCTGAAGAAGCTCCCCACCCAGTTGTGGACGAGATCTCGAATGCCTTTGCCATTCGACGCGAATCCGATCTAAGCCCATCCGCCACATCGAGAAACCGGAAAGAGAGGGATGGGTTCGTGATCAGTGCCATCTTTACCCAATCGGGACACGAGACCTCAAAGAAAGTCACAGAGCGACTCGTGAGAATATTTTTTGTTTTTTTACGGGGTTGTGGCGTATTGAAGCGCAACATCAGTTTGCGAGGCTGCGCTCACCTGGGGCTGGAAGCGAACCTCACTGTCCACGAGATCCAAGTTGATCTCAATCACTGGAAGCAGGCCCTTCTTGGCCATCACGTCCGGACTCACCTTTAAGAGTTGTGCAATGGCAGAGACAAGTGTGTTACCCACTCAGGAAAAAAAGTGATGTGAGGAAATATTCGAAGCACAGGCCGTGTATGCCATAGATACGCCATGGATGGGTCAGAGCTGATTTACCGGTCATGAGCACAAACCATCAAGATCTATCATCTTAGGATCATGTTGTCGATCGACGCTCCTCATGACTGCGCAATTAAGGATGAAAACGAGCGGATATTCAGTATTGTTCCGGAGCTGTGCATGTGCTATTTTACCTGATCTAGCAGATACTCTAGAGACGCGCATATCACGCGCGATAGGCCATCAACGACCACGTTGTTGACGAAGTCCACGTATCCACGCCAGTCCGGGGAGGCATTAGAGCATTTGAGGACCTTGTTGTTTTCCTTCAGCATGTTGTGGATCTCCTGCAGAGCCGTAAATACACCACGGTAGAAGTAGCACCAAGAGGAAGTGGGATTAGATTGTCAGCATGACCGCGTGATAGATGTGGACACGGTTTTACGTTATACATCACTTATCTTCAACGACGGTGCATATATAAAATACCTTTTACTTTTCAGGAGGAACCAAACCATCCGAAGCGGGCAAGACACGTCATTTGCAGTCTAGGTGAGGTACCGGCAACTGCGCACCACCCAAGACCAGCAACTGAAAAAACATTGACACCGCCATGTAGGTCCCTTTAAGCGAACGCAGCGAGGCGGTGCGAAGCGATCCCCATCGTATATACAATGCACTCTGCCTATGACTGATACTGTAGCGCAGAAGGGGCGAGGCCGCGCAGAAGTGATTCACAAACAAATGTTCACCTTCCCCCCTTCTTTGATTTCGGCGTATCGAGAGCTCTTGATGGCCTTGTGCGCACGCTCAAATTCATCTCGATCAACGGGTTTCGGCTTGCGTTCCATTAGTGGGCGATCCCACGCACCAAGGACCCTCTTGATGTTGGCCAAATTTGTCTTCATCGTGTGCATCACCTCGTGCACAGCGGTTACCTGGAGATCGGTGGTTGACAAAAACGAGTGGAACGATGGTATGGTCAGGTGGGGTGGAAGTTATCGCAAGAGCGATGCTTGCCTGCGTGTTCTCCTGCCCTGGACATCGAAGCCTGGCATCGCAGACACAGTACTTCGTATGTCCTTCCAATCATAGGGTTCTTCGCACCTGTTCCATGGACTCTTCAATGAACTCATTGATTCCAACACTGTTCCAGTTCATTTGGCTGAGTCCGGCGTTGATTACGCGGTCAAACTTGTCAAGGTAGGGCCGTACGAGGGGCTTCTCCACGGGCAGAAGTTGGAGCAGGACATCGTTGTTCATGTTGACAATGAGATCGAGGTTGCCCGTCCATCTCCTGAAAATTTCCACCTGCTTGTAGACCTCAAGTGCACTGTCGGGCACCGTAAGTCCCAGCAGCAAGAAGTACTTCACTTCTCGGAGAAGCTTAACCAAGGCCGGATCGAAGTTGACGTTCAACAGGCTCTTATCTAGATCTCGGATAAGGAGTGGTAGTTTGAGCTTGGCCTGACTGGACGCTTCGACATCGCGTCCCCATTCCTCAATCTTCTGATTTTCGTACTCTTGAAGACTCGCAATTATCGTAGCATACACCTGCAGTGAATCAATGGATGGTACTTGCGAGGTTGTGCAACGGTTGTGAAAGAAAGGCTATCGCGCGCCATGGACGAAAATGGAGCACGAACATGGAGGAGCCGGGTGAAACCTGGAAGGAAGTCATCCAGTTGTGGGAAGAACGTGAGAATTATAAACGAATTTTGTTCCGGTGGGATCGGGTGACTACGTGTAAGAAAAGCAGGCGAAGTTTTCGGATGAACTGGCTGCATAGCCTCGTTAGGAAAGCTCACCTTTGCTACTTCTTTGGCCTCTTCCCTGTCCAAGATAGTTCGGTCAAGCTGTTGAAGTTTCGCCATGGGAATCTGAATCCTGTCAACCAATCCTCTGCACCATGTTAGGGCTCCGGCAATGGGCGGGAGGTTCCACGATATCGGTGGGCCGTCTCTGTTTTGCAGGAACAGCTCCTGCACGTTTTTTAAGTCAGCACCGTAGCTCTGTACTAGGCCGACGTACTTCTTCTCTAGCTCATCCTGTAACGTGTTTCAATCGAAGATATGAACACGGATGTGAGCATGGTTCACAAACACCTTTGAAGTGATGCTGCGTCGAAGTAGGACCTCCATTTGGTTAAGTTTGGCACAACCGTGCAGGCATCTCGTATTCCCGAGGTTCACCTGGATGATAGGTCGCTCTAGTAGTCCCTCAAAGCTATCGAGCAGCTTGAACCTTCCATACACAGTTGCGCAGTCGTCGAACGCCAAGCTGACAACCGCGCCGAGCCGGCGCTCTAGCTCCTTGATGCTGCATCTGAACTCGTAGAAGTCGTCATCAAACTGCAGACAGAGGGGGAACGGGATGAGAGCATAGGCAAACACCGGAAAGGCAGATGTTATTGGACTCCTTCTCCTCGTGAAAAGGCTCGTGCGAGAAGAGCACTGCAGGTTCTGTTGAGAGCGAACTTCAAGGTGTAATCATGGATGGAGAACATACCTGCTTTGCGGCGACGTCCAGAATGTCATAGGGGACACCCTTAAACTTTTCCACGGCAACCTCGAAGTCCAGGTGGATCTGATTGCAGAAGTCGCGCGCAGGAGCTCAGGATTAGCAACTGCTGAACGTCGCTGGTCAAGTCTTCAATGGATGTGTACTGACTGTTGAAACTTGTACCTTCTTCAATGGCGAAGACATTCTAGACCAGTGCCGTTGTTGAGTCATGCATCCAGATGTTGATCGTACCTGCTTTACAGATGCTGTCAATGTGTTTCCCTTTGTTCCCCCGACCTCTATCTTGGCCAGCTTGCCGAATTGAACGATGGTTTGAGTGAGATCCAAGATGTCGTGGCAGCGTTCAAGGAAGCTGTCAAGGCGCATAAACAGCGCGTTGTTCTGGAGGAGGCACGACGTGGACCGCGGGTAGAGATGGTATAAGCGCAAGCATTATCCTCCCGACATGAAGGTGAAAGTTAGATATCCGGAGCATGGGCGGCAAAAGCTAGACTGCAATTAGTATGCCTTTTGTTCAACACACACCGCACAAGATGACATGCACGGCGGTGGAAAACAAGCACGGCACACTCGTGCCAGCCGTAAATCACCTGTATTCGCCACGGGTTTGCAGGGCACTCAGCGTTTGCTGTGGCCTTGTAGTCAAAGTACGTGCTCTTGAATGTGCCGCACACCAAAAGCGTCGTTTTGAGCTGGTCCACAGCCTTGGCTGCGTCTTCCTGCTCAATGAGCGTGAAAATCTGTTGTCCGCTGCTATACTTACACGCCTGGATGATAAGGCTGTTGCATATTTCCCGCATAAGGACCACTAGCCGGGCTGGAGTGTTGTAGTGCTTGCTGTTTTTCCATATCAGCAGAATGATGTGAAGCATCGGTTTGAAGAGCTGCGGGAAGAACAGGCAACACAAGAAACAAGCCGAGAGGTACCGATGGTGAAACAACGACCACATAATCATCCTGGGAACTTCAACCAAGCCACGGCATAGTTCCCTTTAAAGCAAGGATTGGGGTCGACACCGTGGCCTTGAATGGATGGCCAAGACTGTTGGGTCAAATCCCGGTATGACATTGCTTGGAAAGCGATTGTTCGCACGTACATCCGCAGATGTTGAGCTGATTGTTGTTGAGCTGATTGTTGACGGGCGAAGTATCACTTCTACACCCTTCTTCGGATGAAAAAGAAGGTGCAAGCCATTTGGAGAGGGAGTAATGAATCACATGGCATTCCTCGTGGTCCCACATCGTTGTTCCAAGGTATAGAAAGCACGACCATATGGATGGCAGAATCGGTGATCGAACAAGTGATGTCGAAAACGGGGAGGGCTGATGGGTGTATGAATCGAATAGCGCACGTCACGTACCTCCAGCAGTTTGGGAAAGTCCCCATCGTCATTAAGCTTGTCAAACCAGTCTTCCAACGTCCGGAGGTACTTCATGTTGTCGTTTGCCTCCAAACGCGCTGTGAATACCTGCATGAGTCGGTAGGAGGTACGATTTTCATGAGGTGACATCCACACTGAGTCAACCTCAGCAACGGTGAACCAGCTGAGGATAGGCAGAAGGCGCGAAGCACAGGCGAAAGGGCGATATTTTTCGAATACAAGTACGTTCTTGTGTTGATCATCATAACAAGAACAGACTAAGCTCAAACCAGTTCAGTTGACTTGCCAATCACATACTGTTAGGATAAACGACGTTGTCAAGCACCCTGATTGCCAGGAGTTCGCATTTTGCAGCGTTGCAAAGGTGGAGGGGCAGAACGAGTGTACCATGCGAGTTTCAACCTATGGTACAGAACAGATGGGCATACCTCTTTGCACAATCGGGCGAAGGTAGTGCAATAGGTGCTCTTCGATTGGTCCAGAGCTCGTAACACACGGCGAATGCTCGGGCCTTGCAGCTGCTCGAAGATGGAGTTCAAATTGCTGGCCTGAAAATTGCACGACAGCAGTGCCCGGGGCAACAGTTAGGGGCCTTCTAGGAAGACCACGCATGTCTTGCGGGGCATCCAAAGCAAAATATGATAGTCGACGGATACGCGTAAAGAAGACGCTGCTGCCGTAAGCCAACCTGGTCCGTTCGTGGTACATATCTCTATGTAAGCAGGGGATGGTCAAAAACGAACGCTATCATTGCATGTGAGGCGGTCTCCAAGCATGTACTGCTCTCAAATATTGGGAGAAAAGCCAACGACAGGCGGGTACTGTACAGCAAGACGTGGGTACTCGAGTCACTAGTCGTTCGAGGTCCACACAACAAGAAAGTCCTCACCTTGTTTTTCCAAAAATCGATCTCAACATCGGGAGTAGGGTGCATTCCTTGCTTAAGCTGGCTCTCGGGGTCCTGCTTCAGCACCGACTTGATCTGCTTTGTCCACGTGATGATTGCACCCTCCAGGAGTGATATCCGATTCTTTCCACTAGATGCTCCTCCAATGTCCATCGGCGGCATTGGGAGTCTTGTTTCCCCCTTTATTTGGCCACATAGTATTGTTGTGCTAGACAAAAACCCGTAAAACCTGTCCATGATTTCGCGTGTCGGCACCTCCCCCCACTTAGCCTGGTTCTGCGCATTTGAGAGGATAGGCAAAAAAATCTCGTGCGCTAAGAGCTCCAGGTGCTCGAAGGGCGTACTACCGCCCATCTCCATAACCATGACTTCGCGAGCGATCCCATCAGCCGTGACCGCTCCTCGGAGAACCTTCATGAACACGAGCGTTTTGCCTTTCGGCACCTTCTTGGGCATTACCGATTCGCATTTTAATGACTCTGGACAGAAGATGAACGCCCTTTCCTCGACGTTCAGGAAGTCAGAAAGCTTTTGTTCGTTGTCCTCTGTCTGGAAAGCTTTGGTAAACTTGGGGCCCTACAACGCCGTCGTACAATGCGTGGGTGTGGACGGGGAAAAAACGTGGGCACAAACAGCGGCGTGTGTTCTTTTTTTTCTCGTACAACATGCAATCATGTCTATTCATAGACAAAAGTTCACGATACATGAGCAAGGGATGTGATTTCACACGCTTGTCTGGTGCAACGCACCTACGAACACTGATACAGCTCGCTCAAAAAGTCTGCAGCAGCAGCAGTAGCAGCAGTAGCAGCAGCAGCAGCAGCAGCAGCGAGTTTACTACATAAAACGTGTAGCGGGCCTGCACCTGTTTACTTAAGTACATAAAACTATAATACAACAATGTCATGTAGATTGTCGATGTAGACTCGGAAAAGAGTCTCAAATCTCTGCGCATCGTTTTTGGCGGGGATGAAAAGCTTGCATAGTAGACTATTATGCTACAGTAGTTTCTCTCGAGTAGGATGCACGATAGCAATGTTGCCCATTGCCGGGGCTTCATCACGTAAGCGCTGCCTCGTTCACTTCAGAGATGGCTTCATGTACCGAAGTCCAACTACCACGACGTTGTCTTACCACCATCTTTGGGAATGTCGCTTGCACACGGGCGGAAATGTACTCGACCCGAGGGTCAGTGCGTGACATGCTTTCTTCATCCCCCATTTTTGTTGCTTGCGTACACCTCTGAAGATGACGCCAGCACCTCGCCGCTCGGTGCTGCAATCAACTGCTGCCTCGAGTCTCTCGAGCTTGCCCAGAAATGTTGCGGCGGTTTCAGTCGGTAGGATTTTCACATTTTCACGTCCAGAATAAATGGGCACGACACATACATCAGATGCGCTAAGACTGACGACGCTAATTAAGGCACATGAACCTATGCTCACCAGCTCACAGCAAACACGGCAGACCGTTTGCTCCCCCCCTGTGGAAGTATTTGATATGGAGAAGTTGGGAGGGAGCAAAAGGCGCGGACTCAGCCCTAGCACGAGTAGGGAGAATAGCAAGGAGCAAGACAAGAAGGTCGGTCAAAATGAGTTGGCAGCAAATTGTAATTGTGTCCCCAACCTGCCCCGAACAGCGTTGAATTCGGGATTTCGAGGGTTTGCTGGAATCGCATGTCAACAGGTTTCGAAGAGGTTGCCACGGACCAGAGCAGACCCGCGCAGATTGCATGCGCCTACCTATTGAATCCGGGTGGAATTCTAACGCGCTCACGTTGGGAATTGTCTCCGGTTTGTAGACTGGGCGGACACAGCAGTGACGCTGCTTTCACCACGAAACACTGGTACGAATTACTGTCGGTCGTGTGTGCCAACCTGTTTGAACCTCCGTCCCGTAACATAGTGATGTGCGTATGTAAAGAAGTAGTAAATAGCCTACCGCATGCATAGGGCTCCGCCCGTTGTAAGCAATGATACCTGATGTGCTTCGTTAGCCTGTTCGTTAGGTGTTGAACGTTTAAGGGGGTGCAATATAGGGGTTTTGACGCTGGCTCTTTTCTCTTACTTCAATAAATAATCCAACAACTGTGAAAGCTACCTCAGACGACTGTAGTAGATTGTGACGTCAGATGACCTGTCGGAGATCTACCTTCGGGGGGTTGCCACAGATAGAGTCAGTGTCGGATGGATGCTGAACCTTGCTTCAACACAAGGTTGCTCCCCCCCTTGACTCACAACACATCTACTGTACATCCGTACTCGTCAGCCTCTCCACCAGAGGTTGAACCGGTGTGTATCCACACCACACATCCCAAAGGGAACTTGCTCACACGCGAACCTGGAGACAACCGTCTCATAGTGGCGTCAGCGGCAGGAAACACCTTTGGTTTATTTTCTTCCAGAACTACGTACATATGCATACGAGTCTATACTCTATACTGCTGGATGCCGATCTGTCTCCGTTGATATGAAGTATTCAGCAGAGTAACGTCCAAGCAACATGTGTCGTAGCTTCTAAAACCTACAGGTCTCTATGTAGTCGTCTCACATGCATCGGCCACCGGACCGCGGAAAATCGGTTTGGACTTTTAGGTCATTCGGACAACAAATCGAAAACGATCTTGCGCCTTACAAATGTATTACTGCTGCAGTCCTACCCTTAACTACTTGCCATTCGGAGCAAGGAAGGTGAGTTGCGCGTTGGCACGCTCAGATCTGCTTCTGTATCTACAGCTACGTAGCTTATGGTAGCATCGAAGGCGCTGGGTCCAAAAACTCCGCAATCTCTGGATCCAATTAACCATTACAGCAGTAGTATTTTCTGCAGTTTTTCGCCCCTCGCCGCCACCAGCCCCAATCTCCTGACTTGCGGGTCGTCGAAGGCAGCTAGTGATACGAGCTACTGCTACAGACCTGCAGTTTGAGAAGTTGGGTCTACAGTATCTAACAGCAACAATAACAATGCATGCACACGACAGCAGTGTCGTTTGTGCCCAAGAGTTTTTTTTTTGCAAAATTGACCTTTTCTCCACGCCGTCGCCGCTACAATAGAGCCTAAGCCCACCACCGTGACGTAAGCATCTTCCAGAAACGAGGGGAAATGAGAAATGAGGGTGTGCGATGTTCGGGGTGGGGAAACGACGCTGGGAAAGTATGCTTTCCTTGTAATCAGGCTTTTTCCGAGATGGGAATTTTGCCAACATCGTCCGCCGGCGAGCGGTGGGCGCACTCCCACCTGCGAGGCGCCACTAGCTACGTGGGCTGCTGTAACAAGACCACACAACAGTATTTTACATACTACAGAGACGCTTTGTCAGTTTTCCGTCATTGTTTCGCTGTCTGTCAGTGACTCTTCCTATCTGTAAGCCCTCTGATTGGTCGAGCTCTCTTTTTCTCTCCAGCGCCCTCTCTCGCCCCGCGTTCTGTTCCGCCGCGTTCTCGCCCAATGATCGGTTTTCGGCCAGCAGGCCCTCCGTTGGCCGTGGGTGAGGGTGAGGGTTAGGGTTAGTTAAGGTTGGGTGCGTTGGGTCGGCCACAGGTGTGCGATATCCCTTACGGGGAGCTACGTATCAACATCCGGTCAGACCTAAAGAGTCACTAACAGAGCGCTGTAACTATTTAGTCCTCTTACGATCGTCACACGACATGATGACATGATGACTTGGGGCAGTCTCAGCTTGAACAAACGGATTGGAGGGTGTAAACCTACTGGCGGAAGGCTGTGCGACTTGAACGAAACGGTGGACACAAACGCTGGTGTCATTGTCTTTCTTCAGCGCCAATACGATCTCGAGTGTACGATCTCCAGTTTCACGCCTGCCGGATGGAGAAATTGGCAAACATGATAAGTGACCCTGAGCCCTCTTCGCAGTTTGGGGCCTGGTAAACGCGCCCCCGTAGTATGTATCAATCAACTGACGAGACAGGCCCTGCTACCATGACAATGGACGATCCTCTTGTCTAGCCCCCATGGTGGGCATCCTCGAAGGTGGTACCTGGTGCTTCAACTCTACGGGCTGACATTTCTACTATAATAGCAACGGATGCCTTTCGAGGCGTGTGCGTGGCTCTTTTGTTTGGTGATGGTTTGCAAGGCGTTCTCGATTGTGTTAACACTGTTCCCGGAAAGCACTTAAACAAGGAAGCAGGAGAACGCTACTGACGTGGTGCTCCCTAGAAAAAGTCGCCATTTTCTACAGCGAAAATTGCCATTTTCTGTAGGGATACGAACCAAAGTAAAGCTGCAACAGCTCCACATGTAGGACGGGTACAAAAACCTAGCCACTTGATATATGGTCCTTGGGTACCACGCTGTGTTCTCGCTAAGTGCTCGCTGACTCGGGACACTCCACGATTGTGTAACCGTTGCACGGGTGCATGCGACAGGCGAACATACTGCGTGCTACTGTGGACCGAGGATGTCGCGGACACATCAACGTTATCACAAGGCAGAGACGGGGCCAGATGTGTCTGCGATACATACAACAGTGAATATCTGCTTAGCGCTGCCACCTACCTCAGTACTCCGCCTCTTTATGCCTTGCCGATGCTCCGGGTTGTGTGATGTTGATTTTCATGTGGTGACAGGGCACACGAATCCATTCCAAACGAAATTGGCGAACAACGTGCAGGAGTACACTCACTCGTTCATTGCGCAAACATGATCCCCCGTCGAAGAAGCTGCGTAGAATTTATCGGAGTAGCATAAACAGCAGATACCGGAGGACTCCGAAGATGCAGGGAGGAGAAAGAGGCCCAATAACGAAGCATCCTTGCCTATTCCTAGACGCCCCAACTCGCTTTTCCCTTACTGAAACGTCATGCCATCGCCACCCGCTTTTGTGGGGCTAGGGTGTCTAGAACCGTAACTCAACAGCCATGAGTCAAGTGTCAATACCTGCGTGGGACGTGCGAAATAGTTCTCATCTCGTCACAGACGAAAATACCGTGCAGAGCCCGCGCGTTTGTTGTCATCGAGGTCCTCAACGCCAAGCACACCGCATGTACGGTAGAGGCGTCTCTGGGTATGTTTGGAATCTTTGGGTATAATTTGACCTCGCTCCGAAGGGAGGCGAAAAACATTACAGAGGCTCCCAAGCCACAGTCCCCACTCCGAAGGCTGGCCTCGTGTAGTGCGGCATATTGTGTGGTGCCAAAGCGATTTCATCTGCACCATTGTACTGTAACGATCCCCGTTGCGGTGCTATAGGGTGTCCCTTTTAGTTTGCATCGACTACGCTACTAGACGGTTGACAAAAATAACAGAAAGGAGGGCGTGAATGAGAGGATCGAACACTAATATTTGTACGCGTCCTAGCCTGTGGGAGCTCGGAATACGAGCATACGAACACAGAACACCAGAAGCATGTGTTTACCGATGCTGGTAGCCTTCCAATTATGCCAAAAAACGCATAATATTCTCAAAAGACCAGTGTTCCCCAAATGTTTGATCCATTGCGCAGGCGTTCAAGACTGTGACCCCGTCGTGGATTCCGCATGCAACAGTCAACCAGCCTGCCCACCAGCGAGCAAATGAGTCAGCCAGTAAGGCATTGGAATATGAAGAAAGGGTGCGATCCATCTCGAACAGCCAAAGGGAGTTTGCAGCCCAATTCAGCAGTTCTGCCAAAAGTGGAGTGGAGAGACAAAAGGATGCACGGGTAGCAGGAAACAGCCGATGGTTATCAAAGCCGGGGGGAACGGCTTCGACTACGCCGTTGAAATCCCCCGGCGGAATTCATGGGCCCGACACAGAAAGACACGAAAGGGCTGGAGTGAACATTCCAGTCACGCAAAGAGCCGGAGAATCTAGGGAGAAAGATGGACTGCGAAGCGAACCCCATGACAGGCGAGGGGCAAGCTCCATGGAAGGAAGCAGGAACATTGATGGGGTTCGACAAAGAGGGGGGGGCAGGAGGCAAAGCGATGAAAACAAAGAAAAGCCGACAGCGCGTTGCCAAGCGGAGGTACGTCGGGGCAAGGAAGAGGGTGGAAAGTCGACGCTAATGCGGCGTTGGCAAGCCGGATGTTATGGTATGCATTTCGGTGAAGAAGTGAGGGTGCTGCGGAAACCGGGGTACACACGTGCAGAAAATACAATAAGACGAAGCAAGCCTCACTTCTCCTACTTTATCCGTCAGCGTGCACATTTCCTACGTAGAGCTAGCTGGTGGTACTTTTTTGCAGTGTAGCTCGTCGCTTCTACTTTGACGACATCATGCACACATCCCCAGCAATAACGTTCACCGTCATTTTACCTTCCTCGTGGCGCTCTTCCGTCTATGTAAGGGTGCACTCGTGAAAGGTCCCTGGACAACGGAGGAGGATCAGATCATTATCGACTGTATCAATGAGAAAATGACTCGGTGGTCGGAGATCGCGGAACGCGTCGAGGGTCGCGTCGGGAAGCAGTGTCGCGAGCGTTGGTTTAACCACCTCGACCCCACCCTCAAGAAGTCAAGCTGGACGCCGGAAGAGGACGAAATCCTCGTCCAGGGCCAGGCTCGCTTCGGAAACAGGTCAGTGTCTTCCCATACGATGTACGTTTTGCCCTTAGTATCGCTCGGGCTCTACTTGTTCTTTGCGAATGATGCCCGCGCGGGTTCGGCGTTCGTCATTACGCTCTGCTCGTGGTCAATGGTGTCACGTGCTGAGCTCATGCGTCGGAGCCTCGGCTGTGTACATACCCCACCCATGTTGCGCAGCTGGACCAAGATTGCGAAATTGCTACCAGGGAGATCGGAGAATTCCGTCAAGAACCGATGGAATTCTGCTGCAAGGAAGAAGAGCACAACAATTTCACAGCTTGGAGTGTCGGAATGGAGGAATGTAAGTCCTCCATGTTTTATTGCCGACGTACGGTTGAAATCATAACGATGTTGCATTCGCGGACATTTCCCTGCAATAGCACGTTGCTGCGCCAATGTGCAACTGGTACCTGTTCAGCACCGCGGGGGACAGTTCCACGAAACCCCCTTTCAATTCAAATACGAGCTTGTCGAGTTGACCGTTATCCTCTATATGCACTATACTTGTAATGAACGTGGTGTGAGCTGCAACAGCGTTCTGCATGTGTCGTGACACAAACCGCACGACTAAGTTGGCTGGCACATGAGAGATCCCATACGGACACCGCGAGGTATTATGGGCTGTTCAATTAAAAACCCGCTGTGCCAGGAAGAACTACGACTGGCCTCGCGTTCAGAGAAATCCACCTCGTATCCACGTGCGCTTTTGGTCCGTCATAATCTCGTTTGCTTGTTTGCATATTGTCGCTACCTCGGGCTGTTCAGGCTGACGAGCGGCACGTTTCTCGCTTTAAATATATGTCGAAACGTGTGACGCTCCCATCCTCTTGTCGTCAGTGACAGCCGAGGTTTTATGTGGCTGGGGCAGGGAAGTAGTTGAACATGTCTTCAGCTGCGAAATCTCCCGTGCAAGTACTCTGCTTATCATGTTGTGATATATTCTCCTTTCTCCGTTGATTTTCCCTGGGCAGGTAGCGATGCCGTCTGAGGGACGGACAGGGGGGCAGATGCAGTACTACACGATGCCCTCGGCTCATCACATGAACCCGCAGCTTACCCCGTCTGCGGCGTCCATGATGGGGTCAACAATACCTATCATGGACATGCCAAGAAGTCCTACTTGTTTGTTACGATATTTTCCTGGCAGCATGCCCATCAATCCATTGCATGGGTTGCCTATGCAGCAACACTGGCCCAGTCAACAAGTTCCATTGCTGGGACCCTCGCGATTCCCTGGCTCAGACGGTCTACAAGAATTACATGCACGTGTTTACGGGCAGATGGCACTTGCCCAGCAGATGTATGGACAGCCTTTTTTGCCTCAGCCTGCGTTGTCGATGCCGCCACTGGTACCCCTTGCAGCGGAGGGCCTCCGCCAGCAGCCGTTTGCGGTGTCTATGGCTGCGCCAAGCATTGTTGCGGCAACAGGGCCTGAGTATAGCGTTCGTGGATGTCCAAGCGGCACGAGCGGCGCGAATGGTGTGAGCATTGCACCAGGTGCGGTGACAGAGACAGCTTCTGCTGAGGCCTCCGCTGGGTCGCTCCAATCACCCGCACAAAACGGTCAGCCGCAACCGTTAACGGAAACCGAGATGGCCTTCAACGCTGACGATGAACTCGCGCTCGCAAACACATTGCTGAGTATGTCTCTAGAGGAGCAAGCCAATGTGGGGGCGGGATTTTCCGGTGGCCGTCAAGTATGGGGGAGCAGGGGGCAACTAAACGAGTTTGATGGGCTGCGCGGGCTCGGCACATATGATGTAGGTTTGGGGTCAGAGCACATGACGCACAACGGAAAGCTTGATGGTAGGGTTTTGAGCAATGGGGTATTGCCGGAAGGATATCACCGAAAAGAAGCGACGGATTCTTCTCAGCTACTACAGGCACCAGTACGACCGCAACAGGCATTGGAACGCGAGGTAGGCGACACTTCGCGCGAGGGGTGTCCATGAAGGGAAAAGTGTTTACGACTGTCACGTGTCATGTGGACAACTACAGGCGGGAGGTACTCTCCTAGTCTAGTTAAGCAGCGCTGCACCTAGTTCTAGGTGGCTGTTGACTTCATACGCCAACTCACTGTTTCTCCTTGTCAGGTACTTGTTGGTGGAATGCAGTTATGTAATATGTGGCTTCTGAGCCAAGGGGCGAGGAACCTGGTGGGACAGTACTGGGCTAGCGTCGCGATACATGTTCGAAGGCACGTATTTTTTAAGTGTGACCGCCTGGAGTCATCAGAATTTGTTTTAGAACACACCCATCACCTAGAACTTAGCCTCCCATCGAATGTCCGCCCTTTTCTGTATTTAATTGTGATGGCATTTGTTGTGTGTCTTGTACACCATAATTTAAAACCTTTGATACATCAGAACTAGCGTAGTACAAGTAAATTTGTTAATATTGTTTTTTGCAGCAATCATGAGTCCTAAATGTGTTGTCTAGAAATATTTCGTCTTGGGGCTCGTGTCCCGTCCTCCCGTGTCTTGTAGACTAGAAGTATATCTTTCTTTGCGTTTGTTCGCGTTTCATGTTTCTGTTGAGAAGTGAGAAGTCTGTTATTTTCCATCCGCGGGACCCACGGGTAGGAAGTGTTGTTGGCGCGTATGGTGATCTTTGAACAACTGGTGCAGGCAACCGGGCCGGTGGAGGACCACGGTGACTCACTATGCCGGTATTGTCCGTTCTCTCTGTGGCTAAATTTTTGATCCAAACTGTCGATTTAAGAATGGTATTCCGTGTTGAATAGTTAGAAAACTGCAGCAAGTTGGCCTCTCGAAGACGTTTCGTAGTGACAACTTCAACACAGAGATGGCGGTCGAAGGTGCTGTAATTCTTGCTCATGCCACAAACGCGTGTGAGCGTTGGCCCCTGAAGCCGCCTCGCGTAACAAAGCAAATACCATGTACTACTTCGTAATACATACACGCCATGCGATCACTCGAGTTGAGGTGCGTCGATTTTCATTCACAGGGAGAACATGGAACCCTACCCACTCTAAAAACGGTACATTGGTCCCCCCATTGATCAAACATCATGAGCGAGGGTTCTAGCTAGCGCCCATAGTCAGTGGTGGCACTTTCATATGTACATTTCGTCGACTTACGAAACGCCTCCTTTTCGTCTGTTTTCAACTTTCTCTCAGGTGCTGAGCGCTCCATGAACAAATCCTCTCGAGCACGGACGGGCGAGCAGTTTTGTTCACTAGAAACTCGTGTACGAAAGTAGTACGTTTGTACCATGTGGCCATTCGGCCACGACAAGACTCGTGCACAGTCCCCAAGTTGGTTTCGTGTGCTACCCGCCGGACCTACAATATCGCACCGGGAAATGGGTCCATCCCGTTCTCGAAACAGAATTCTAGAACGGCCAGGCACACACACTCTTGCAATGGGTTTCGAGCGCCCTGCGTTGTGAGCGACCATACAGCCCAAATCGTACAGTCCACGGATACACATAGAATTTGCATTTGCACCGTGTGTTTCTGCGCGACACTTGCAGTCATGCTTCACCCTCAGTTCGGTGCACAATTGCCTACGTAGCTCCGCCGGCCCTCTGCAATAGAAGAGGAGCTTGTTCGGTATTGCTTGCAATTCAGAAAATGTCAGGATTTCTTCGTTTCGAGTTTCTGGTAGCCCCCACGTTAGGGTTTGAGACTACAATGATACCGGCGGGTTGGCATTGCGCGCCATGACTGAAGAGATTGAGCACCTGGGCTTCAATTCAATCGGCTGCTTGACATTTGAGACATGTGTCCGAGGGATTGCCGAACGAGACTGACGAAGATGGCAAAGCATGACGGTACGATGTAATCTGTCCTGGCGGGCTTGCCCAACAAGGATCGTCGTGGGTTCCGAGCACACACGCTTTCACGGGCTACGCCGCGGCGACCAAACATGGGCGGAGAGGGCGTTGCGTCCTGTGCCTAGGACTTTAATAAAAATCCGTTGCCATGCCACAAGCTCTGAAACATATTGGCTCGACTGTTTTTATTACCTACTTTTTTTCGACGAATGCGAACCTAGCTGTGGAAGTTATAGGCCTTGCAAAGGTTCTCTGCCGCCAAACCACCGTTCAAGTTCTTGCTGATACATAAAGCCCACTCAATCTTTGACACCGGTCGTCTACAATCGGCGAATAAACTGCATGGGCCATCCAGGTCTATGACCAGCAGCAGCCACTGGCGTGAAGCGTTCTTCATGAACCCAACCAACAAGAGGCGATGGTGAAGAGTGCATGCATTCAAGAGGGCAAAAAAACACCCGAGCTTTTGACGTCCCGAGGCTTAGTTTTTAACATTCCAAAACGGCGAAAAATCAAACACGAGGGGGCACAGCAGATACAGCGATGCCCGCCAAGTCCTTGAAGTCAAGCGCGTCCAGCAGGTCCTTCGTGTCAGGGTCGATGTCGATGGACTCCTGCTCGATGGCCGAGACCTGGCAATCGAGTCATGGCGGAGAGAAGGGAAACCGGCGGCAAAAACCCGTTAGTCCTGGAACTCTTTCCGAATTTGAACCTGTTTCATCTATATTTAGAAACTACTACTGCCGGCCCAGAATGCACGCAAGAGATTTCCAACAAAGAGCTGTTGCCCCGTCAACCACAGTACATACTACTTGTACATAGCAATATTCATGGGGGACTTCCCCTCCTCTCCCGCTCGGCTGTACTGAGTGGACGGACCATTCGGTCAGATTGATGTGTAGCGAAGGGCCGTGATCAGCTGCCGGAAGAAGGAGAATCAAGCACACCGGAGCTTCACGTGCACTGCCAAACAAATATAACCCGAGCCACCTGGCAACAACCCATAACCAGCATACAGAACTGAAATCGTCACGAATTTGCATTCGCGGACATTTCCCTGCAATGGCACCTTGCTGCGCCAATGTGCAACCCGGGTTTAGCAACCCGGGGGGCAGTTACGAAACCCCCCTCAATTCAAAATTAAGCTCTTTAGGTTCACCGTTATGCTCTATATGCGCTATACATGTCCCCAGTTGTCTGCAGCCTGCTTCCACATCCAGTATCATCGTCAAAGGTCAAGGTCAACAGAGGAATACTGTGCATCTAGAAACCGAAACCGAAACGTTTCGACCGCATTTCGTGCCAATTACGAGAGACGCGAAAGGCCTTGCTTGATCAAATCGTGGTTGGCCCGAAAGGTATCAAGCATAGAATGAGCACTCGATTCTTGCCACACGTTGCATGCTTCCCGCAAACGAGGTGGTCCGAAGAGCTTTGTGAGTCCGGTTCGGTGAAGATAACAGGCCATTGACGGCAGGCAAAACACCATGAACTTGGTTTGCGTAGTGAAATTGACTACGGTAGTTGGACGCAACAAGCGCAGCTCCACCGTTCTCCGAAGTGACAGAAAACAGTTGTTCTTACGCTTGGTCCCATTCACATGAACAACGGGTTCACCAGAACGCTTTTCATGTCTGCCATAACTGGTAAGGAGGCGGCGGAATTTTCGGCTACTCGGTAGTCTTGTGGAGTCCACGTGCCGGTGCATCGTGGGCCACATGTTGCAAAATGAACCTCACGGAGTATGCGGTCGACTTGAGGCACCCAAAACTAACGGGCTATCACAAGCGTTGTGGGACGCGCGGCTGACCTTCCGACACGACGTCGTCATTATGTAACAACGACGTCCTTCCAAAACCTAACTTGGTGGCGGCATTTCCAACGTCATCTTCGCCGCAATTTAGAAGCGGCACGTGTTAATACAATAACAAAAGTCTGCAGCTTGCCGCTTTCAACGCCAGGCATGAGAGTGAGTGGTAATGTGCAACTCATGTATATGGCAATCCTTACTCTGTTGGATGAGCGGTTGGCTTGTAGCAAGCAAACTCTGGCATCTAATGTGTGTACTCTGGCTGAGATGGACTACAACTGTAAGATTGTGGATGTGCTGTTGGAGTTGCCGCGGCTCCTACTCCTGGGATGCCCGACAAACTCCCGTCGACGTTTTTGTTGTTCCAACACGAAAGAAATGGAGAACCAGCGGAAGCGCCGAGTAGGACAGCACGCTGTTTCGGCTCTTGGCCTAAACGCAACCAGGTGTGCCAGGTATGGTACCAGGTACAGCGAGTGTACCGCAATATTTAGTTTTGGTTGTATTTTTGTAACAATCGAGTTGGCCTGGTCCCCAACGAATAGCAATAGAAGGGGAACACATGGCGGTTGGCCCCGGGGAGAAACTGATACTGCCCCTACGTACCGTATATGACACAAGATAACACACCTCCTGGACCGATTTTCAAAGCTCGATTACTCCACGACGAAGGATGCATAAATGAAACAATACGTTTTCGAACAGCTCTCGACGAGACGGTTCCAACGCCGCCGTTTTCGGCGCTGTGACTCTTCCTGCTGTTGAGAAATCGAGCTTTGAAAATCGGTCAAGGGGGTGTGTTATCTTGTGTCATATACGGTATATATGTTTGCATCCCTTTCAACGTGGGTAGCACACTTTTGTATGGACACGGGTCTTAGTCGATGGACCGGGGACAGCATTTGCAACACTTTTTCTGGTATTTTACGTTGCCGTGTCATACCTCGGGCACGAAGTCCATACGCCTCTCACGCTCCTCCTCCTGCAGCTTCAGCGAAATACCTCTCACAGGCCCCCTCTGGATACGCTTCATGAGGTGGGTCACGAAGCCGGCGATCTTGTTCCGCATCCGCTTGGACGGGATGATCGCCACCTCGTCGCAAACGCGCTTGTTTGTGTGGAAGTCCATCGTCAGACGAGAGTAGTACTTCTCGATGATGGCTCGCGCCGACTTCTTGACGGTTTTCGTGCGGACACCCTGCGCGAGCGCCGTACAAACACATCGTTCAGACAGAATGCCAACATATCGAGTTTGGCATGAGCATCACGGAACCGCGAAGAGCGGCACAGCCTCGACTGGTTTGTGGCCGACGCGTAGTGGTGGAGGTGAGCGTTCGAGACGCAACTTGAGGCACGGGTTTAGCCTCCAAACACCGGCGACAAGGAATTCTTCAACTCACATTGTCTGAACGTGAATACAGCAACACGAAGGACTCACCATGATGCTCCACCAGTGTTGGTAGTTGCTAACCAGGCCTCTGCCAAGCGTAGGCAGCGCGCCCTGCGGCAAGCCCCCCAAAAAAAGGTATTTTGAGAAAAGCCTCCAACGGGAACTGGACCCCGATGGAAACCCCTCCAAAAGAGGCGGCGCAACTCCGGACAGAACAAAATTTAAATTTGGCCAAGTCCGTGTACCCTCCCTTAGTCCTCTATATGTGCTCCCTTCGAGGGCGGGACTCCCCCGATTACTGCCTATGCCCCTTTTTGCTGCTGAAAGCCCGTGCGCAATCGCGATGGCTCATCTACCGAACGCGCGCGCCGAACACGCGAGTCCGGCCACTGGGCCGCCGTGAGAACTGCCGAGACGTGTGTGTCCAGAACCGCTAGGAGCAATATGTAGGCATGGCCAATATGTTCGCTGCTGACTGCGCTCCTTTCGTGATTTGGTGATGGTAACAGAGCACAGAGCAAGCGTGTGTGAGCCAGAGTCTGGCGATATTTGAAGTGCCAATCTCTTCGCGTCGGTTTAAGTTTTGACGCTTTTCACAAAAATTTCGCCGTCAGAGTTTGCCTCCAAAAACGCGGCGTAACCTCGTTACGTCAAAACTCCCTGAAATGTCAATCTTTCACGTCATTTCAACAACACGTGGATTCCCTCTATTATATCCAAGCAAACTGCGTTTTTCAAGGCTTCCTTCCACGCAATGCAAACAGACCCCGGACCTAAGCAAGACGTGCAATCCTCGTAGAAGGTAAGGCCTACATAGTCACGAAATATTATTCAGAAAAGGTGTGGGATCTTCAGCATTTTGGAGCAGAAAGTGCGTTCGGAAATATAGCACAGCAGTTGTGTCCTATGCATACCGTGTACCATGTAGACTCCGAATCCATGACCCCGCGGTGTTGTAGCACCGAAAGTGAGTAGTACATGCATTTTCACCATGTATGAAGTCAATAAATGTGGGTCGACGGTTAACCAGAGAGTTCACTGCGCCTCACACCTCATGTATAGGACGTCTTGGTGCTCGGTCTCATCAGCTAGCGATAGCCACCACCTACTTTCACCTCGTCGTCTGCGTGCAATCGTATCTGTGCTTTGATGGTGGAAACATGGACCGCGGACCAAGACGTCAGGCGCAACCAAGCGGCAGGGTGAAGACGGTTCGTTCGCTGTGGCTACGTCGAACCGAGAGGACGGCTGCATGTGGAAGATTATTGGTATTCAGGTTTCGATTTTGCTTCAGCGGTACACCCTCGCGAGCGATGCAGTACAGGAGTGGGCTATTTAGATGGCGCCTAGGCCGCTGTAGAGCTTTGCGATTACGGTGTCTGTTCCCGCATCTAAGATTCGTCCGCGTGCGACACGCAGTACTTAACGACGGCGTGCGAGACAGCGAGGGCGGAGGACGTTTCGATGTAACGTCCTGACCTCGGCGACGTTACACCCAATATTCGGCCAGCAACAATCAGCGACAACTGATGTTGATCGATAGGAAAATAATCCTCTTCTCCCCGTGAAGTCGCGTTTGCTCTCTTGGTATGCCTTTCGCTTGCTGGCAAATAAATTGGGGAGGAGTGTCTGTTTCCATCATACTTCCACAAGATTACATCGAAACCACTCGTCTTCATCGTACAAGATCCTGCCTACCGTGCCGCCGCAAAATCCGGCAAAGCGCGATGAGCCCAATATATACAACAAAGTCATGCGTGCCAACTCTACTTTCGCACCCTAGTGCAACCGCTGCATTTCTTCGACCCTGACGACTACATCCTCCACGGCCCACTGCTTATCTCCCACTGGCGTGTCGACGTGCCTCAACACCTCTTCTTGGTTGTGACGAGGCATATCGAGGTAAGATTCAACCAGATCTCCATCGATGAAATTCGAAGATGGGGACGTCCGGCGCCCGTTGGTGAATGATCGCCATTCATCGTGACTGAAGCCTCCGACCCCCTTCACGACCTTGGTCATCGCAGTTTGTAATTGGGCCAAAAACCGGTGGTTGTCCTCCGTCAAAGTGAGGATTGTTCCCACCATGCCATTGACAGTTCCAAAAAGTAGCGGTTGCCCCTTTACGAGTGGACTGTCCATCCCACCTGGACTGTTTACCTCGGAAGACTGTGGGAAGTAGTGGTCGCGGAGAGGTCAAAACACAACGCAGGAAAACACCGTTAGAGACAAGGGCGATCGACGAGTGGTATGAAAAAAAACGAACGCCGATGTCCGACTTTTTTTTGCTACCTCTAATACTCTAGAGGTCCCACATTGAAAGAACGGCAGAGGTGTGCACTATACGGAACATAGTGTTTACCTGCATGAGAAGAGATCCCCGGCAAAACTTGTTCACGAACTCGCCGAGATGGAACTCGCCCTGGATCTCCAGCCGAGCCCTTTCTTCTTCGGTTGCAGCGTCTGGGAAGACATGACGCGTGAGGGAGGCGGTCAACTTCTTGCTTCTATTCAAGGGTTCACATTAACAGATTCCCAGGAGTGCCAGTTTCTTCAAGCAAAGATAAACTACTCTACCTAACTCTTGGTGCTTGCCTGCGTTTCGTCGCAAAGTGAAGATGTTGCAGTCGGCTTCTCCGCCGATGTACACGTCGTCGTTCAGCATCTCGACCGCCGTCATCCAGTTTGCATGGTAGTCCCTAGCAACCTCCTGTGAGGCAGTGTACCCCAGAGCGTGGGCGTTGTTGTGTGTGACGTATCGCAGGCGATGGTGCTACACTTCGAGAAGAAAAGTGTTCGACTACACATCTTCGACTGCACCATTCTGGCATGAAGGCAAGAAGAAGTCACACGCGGCACCCACCTCGATAGCACCATCGACTGCCTTGTAGACGAGTAGACTCACGGAACGCATGAGGTCTCCAACGATGATGAAGTCACCCCGACTCTGCCCATACGAGTGGTAGCGGCAGAGATGTGTTGGAAGCGCACAAGCAGGATTTACAAGTAACGGCCACCGAACTTTACCGTGTTGCATGATAATCTACGATTTGGCATAGTACAGTAGTTGGGAAAATACTGCAACCATTTAAACGGGCAGTCGACTGGCTAAAAACAAATAGTAAGAGTTTGCGCGAGTGTCATAGAACAAATGCGACAGTGGCGACAGTTTCAGCCGGTCACCGAAAACACATATGATAACGAATAACACTGACAACGCGAACGAATGTTCTAGTGATGTGTTGAGCCCTACATACTGTACGTCAAAGATGTGCAGATATAGTAAATGCAGTGGGGTTAGAAAAAACGTCAGGATTGGGATCGTACTGCAGAGCGTTGGTTCCTCCACTTCCATGTTCACAGTGGCAACACGGCAAGTGCGAACACACCCGCTTGTGTATGCGCAAAAATAAAACGAGGGCCGCACTGAAAACGCTTGCCGAACCCCCTTGCGCCAAACGATACCGGCTATCCGTCAGTGTGCTCCCAAGCAGGACATTTCAACGGGCCGAAAAACGGCGGACAAGGACCAAGAAAGGTGCAACATACTATTAAGTGGTGCTACGTGGTCAGGGCCGAATGCCGAAGACAGAAAAAAAGAGCTTTCACCTGCATGTGCAGCGCCAGGATGTGCCCGTGATACCCGCACTCGGTCTGGAGCTCCTGGATCCCATCATCCTTTTCAATCCATCGGAAAAGTTGCACCTGAATGAACGAAAGGGGAGTACATGTGCGCATTTTGAAGAGTCACGAGTCACAAGCCTGACGGAATATCGTCGGCAACAAGAGCGCACGGGTGTGTTGCGCCTGACCTACCTCGACATGGGTTGTGTGGGCTGCCAACATAAATGACATGAATCGATGAATAGACTGCCTTGGAAATGCCTACTCAGGGTAGAGCGTCGCACAAAACAATAGCAAGATAAAAGCAACGCATCACCTTACTGTTGATGCATGCGAGGAGTTTGCCGTTGAAACCGTTGAGCACGTACACAGCCCCCCGCGTTTCCACTTCTGCCGCAAGATCCACCTTACGTTCCGCACCTTGGCCTTCCACGCTAAAGACTAGCAAGCGCCCAACTGCAGGCTCACATTCCTGATCCGCAGCAAGGTGTCGGTGAGCAGCAACTATCATCATGCCGGGTACGGAGGAGCGGCTCAGCATGGCAACTTGGAAAAAAGGGCACGGTCGCAAAATGACAACAGTACCTCTTTAATGAACTACCGTGCGGTACGTTGGACAATGAGACGAGTACATTCGACAGAGTGACCAACCACCCGAAGAACGGCACTATGCTGTGCTACCTTCACAATACCAATCGGTCTGATCTCCATCTAGTGTTCGTCTTGCTTACTATTGAAAGCAAAAAACGCATTGCCGTTGCCACAAGCTACTCAGAATGATGCACACAGAGAGGAAACTCCCTCATGTAATTTTTGCTCACATCCTCCCGGACATACCCAGTGCCCACCACCAAGTATTCCTTCTTGTCATTCGCGAATACGCAGGACACCATTGAGGATCCATTCTGGCGAAAGAGCAGCGCGCACCAACGTCAAAACGAGCGCGATGTCGCCAGTGTCATAGATAAAGAGGAAGAAAACTATGCAGTGTAGCATCAACCTGCTCCTGCACCACAACACAGTAAATACGAATATGCCAGTTTTTATCATATACTGCAAAAGCAATGCCGACGGCGGTGTGCGGTTGTTCCAAGCCGTCTCACGGATGTACTAGCGTTACTGGTGCATTCCTTTAGCACGATCGGTTCACCAAACCATGCCAGGTTCGACCACGTTTGCAATACAGCAACGGATCTTCAGCATGGCCGGTGAACAGCAACTGTGTGCCCTACCTCGAATGCGTCGAGGGGATGGCAGTACAGCTCTTCGAAGTTCGTGTCGTCCAAAAACTTGACGAAGTTGTGCTCTTCCTCCTCGTCGCTAAAGCAAGGCAAAGAGGCGGGAAACGCGGCACATTTAAATTACTATCATCGAACAGCAGCACGTTGACATTACCATGCAATGCGGCAGCCTGTACAAATCGACGACAGGCCTTCAAAAGACAAGAAGCGGTTTCCTTCACCCAACACAAGTGACGGAATGATTTGGCTCCAGGGTAACAAGTGGGCTACAAGACATTGGTGGCGCGTGTGCGTACCTATTCTCCACCGCACGATAGCTGGTGGTGATGATACCAAACATCCGGCCCGAATCGTGGTGGGTGATACGCTGCGGTGCTTCTCCAAGGCTGACTTTCTGTACAAAGAGGGGCCCGTGAGCAGACGAAAACAGTCCTGACCACCTTTCGGAGCTGATTAGTTGCGCGCAAGTCTGGAACAGCAGTTTAACAAGAATCCTCTCCCTTTGAACAGCATGGACGACGATTTTGTAAACATCGGTGCTCGAAACGCAAACCACGTCCCCCCACACTTTTTTTGTAATCCACGTCAAGAGATGCTCAGGCCGAGCTGAGCAACACTTCGCTGGGTGTTTAACGGTCTGATGGGGTTCTCACCTGGATATGAAGCTTCTGGATGTCATCGATGGTGCCAATGGTCAAGCTGTTTTCACTCGCCAATGCCAAACAGTGGGGGAGCTCACTGGAGTCGAAAGAGCACACGGAGTTGACCTGCCAGAAAAAAAGCAGTCAACAAACGGGCATGGTTTGGACTACAACGGGAAATTGCATCCTGATCAGCATACACGAATTTTCGCGGCGGAAGAACGGGCAAGAGCAACGGCTTCTTATCCTCACCTCCCCCATATTGACGTTGGCGTAGAGGAGCTTGCCTCCGCTGCAGTAGATGACCGCAGGGCGGTCGCTGGCGACGAAGACACACACCATTCCGTTGTTGCGGAAACAGGCAAGTCCTACTGGCTGAGTTCCAAGGGCCACCTTCTTTGGCGTCCCCAATGCCAGCGTTGACTCGGCAGTCACCTCGAGGGGAAACGAAACTACATGGCCATCACCCAAGCCGACGAAAAGGTAGTGTACATCAGCAATGGTAGCCAGAATCACAGAGCGGGCCTGTGGGTGCAAAACATGTGGCGCAAGGCAAGTTTCGCAAGTCAAGAGATGGGCAAACTTCCATCTGGCAATAAGCGTTGGTAGCCGCGCTCTGGGCAGCCAGCCTGGTTGTTGTGAAACGCTGGACTGCATCAACCTTGCCGGCCATGAAAGCGCCGCAAAACACGCCTCGATCGTCGTGCACATCGAATAGGTGCGTTCTTAACAAAGGGGGAAAGGCGAACGTGCTACATACGACAGGTTATACATAAAAAATAACTAACGAGGATATGATCGGCTACAATGTACGCTTGTCCAGCTAGGGCCCACGTCGACACATGCATGCCCACCTGAGTATCACCTCCAAGAGGCTGAGATGACACTCCCTGGAGGTCCGGTAGGGACAACAGTCGCACCTGCAAGACAGGAGCGTCAGCAACAAAAAACTGGGTCGGAGATATGATCGACCACCATATGTGTTTCAAAAGTCTCAAAAGGTACGAAAATGCTGAATGCTTCAGAACAAGTGACGATCGCGCTGCGCGTAACAAGTTATCGAGTTTGGCCATCGCGACATTGCTTTTGAGTCCAACTTAAAAAATACTCATGTATTGAAAATCTTACCGTCATGTCTGTCCACATCCCCACAGCAACAAGCGAATCCAACTTGCTCTCCTCGTCACACTCCATTGCCGTTGTCGCTGGCTCAGCGTTCGAGACCGGTTGATTGCTTGGGGGATTGAGGCTGATGCACGCGATTTCGTTGTCAAGCTGAACGCGCGCCTTTTGCACTAGCTGTGAGATGGCGCAGTCGTGGGAGGGGGTGGGAGTGGAGGAGGTGGCAACAGCGGCAGCGGCTTCAGTCGGGGACGCAACGCAAACGTGCTGATGTCAAGAGGTGCACGTATCTTGCGGGCCACATAAAGCAGACGGAGTAACAGTAGGGCTGCCTTGAGCTTGCTTCGAACAAAATAAACCTCCACCCTATCAGAGCTGTGGTAAGTTAAACTGACCTTCTTGGCTGTCGCATCTACCTCCAGATGCACCAGGTTGCCACCACCGAGCGCAAGCACGACTCTTGTTGCGTTACCAGAAGCCACTGTAATGTTGAGATCGGTTGGCGGGTCCCACCGGTCGATTTCTTGGAGACCATCACAACAGATGAGGACGACCCCCCTCTTGGTTACCTGAACAGCCATGTTCCCACCCACGCAACCGCAGAACAGCGTGCAGCCTTCTTGAAACCCCGCGATTTCTCCTTCTGCGAGCTGGTGGTCACCATCTTCATCTTCCTCGAAGGCCAACACACGAGTCTCGCTGATAAATGCTTGCACCAGGTACTTGTCGTGATTCGTGTTCGACGGGCGAAGAGACCACATCCCCTTAATACCGGCAAGTTCTATGGCAGCGTGCTCGTTGATCCCGATGCCATTGCGAATAATTCGTAACGACCCGTCCTTGCTGCAGCCGCTGCACGTAACAGCCTGTCCTTGTCCCTGCCGGTCCAGGTCGGCGACACACATGTCCAGTATGGGCCCAAGGTTGTCGTAAGTTTCCAGCACTTGGATGTAGGTGCCTTGCGCATCCTTTTCTGGGTTAAGCTTGATAAGCTGGCTGTCTCCGGAAGCACTTCCGATGAACACCACACCGTTGTCCAGGTAGGAAATGCTGGAGGCACAACTCGTCTCCCCAAGCGCCTCGATGTGAGCTGTCTCCACGGCAGTATTCGTCGCATCGGGCGTGAGAATGACGACGTGCAGGCCTCCAGAGTGATCACTGACAAGTAGGCGCGATCCATCCGCGTCAACCCACCCGTACGCGCACATCCTTGTGTTCTGAATCGGAATGGTTATGAAAGCCTTCCCGCTGTGGTAACAGATTGTCTGGTGTCCAAGAATAAGAACCCCGCCAAAGGGCGCGGGGACAGGGATAAGTTCGCTGGCGTTGTGTTCTACGTTCAACTGCGCCCAAGGTCCGGTGTCAAATTCCTTGTCACGCGTGCTGATCGTGTACGTTTTGATGTGGCGGGCATTGCGCTGATCCTGGTACAGCACTGCGATCGTAGCCTTGGGACACCCGGAGAGAAATTGGATGTCTAGCACCTCCAGTTCTTCCAGCCGGATGTTGAAAGCATCCTTCAGCTGCCCCTTGGCATCCATTGGAATGACCTTGAAGTAACCTTCGTACAGGTGAAGACCAATCATGCGGCTCTGCGGATCCATGACTCCAATCTTGCTGTTGTCAATGGCGCGACCGATGCGATCCTTCACCGAGCCGCTGCTTCTCGTGCGGATTTCCTGTGGAGAGTTCACCGAGGCGGAAACATCGAAAACACAACATGGTTCAGTGCGAAGGTCCTCAACCCAAGGTTGCCCTGCAGAAAACAATCCAAACGTCCTAGAGGACTGCGACTGTATGGGTGCCTTGGAGCGGGGGGCGTGGGCATCGACACCCGGAGCTAGCAGTGTGCGCAACATTACACTCCGCAACGCACTCCCGGCACTAACGAGCCCGCACGAGACCACCCGGAACATCCTGGGACCATCTACGCTAGATACACATGCTGGGTTGGTCATCTCCTTTTGTGCGCCCCAATGACCGTTTGGTCTTTTGTCATGATATAAACTAACCATCAACGAGGGCTTGTCAGCTTACTTATAAAACACAAGACAACGGTCAAACGCGTAAAAGTTGCTGAAACACAAAGTTATACCGTGGGCACGATAGCGAGATATGTAGGAAAGGAAGACAAGCCTCAGCGGGATGTCACGCGCTTTTGCTGGTCGCAGCCGTCAATGCGAGGCTTCGTTCGACTGGTATAGACATGTACGATGCATAGTAGGCCTGGTTTCACAGCAGCAACTTTGGCTTGGTGTTGGTACGTTTCTAAATTCGCCTCAGCCTGCAACGTACTGGCTTGCACGTGACCACGGCCACGGGCATGGTGTGTGAGATGAAAACTATGCTGAATGAAATAGGTGGTCATCGACAGGCAGAATATAAGGTTATCATCCCGCTTGCTGTGCACAAGGTGTCGTAATCTGACAATCTGACGAAAAAAATCCTACGCAGCGGCGCACGGACCCTTTCTATTATATGTAGTCATTCCCACTACTATACTTCGCGCGAACAAAGCCCCATTTCAACAGCTGCATGCGGCCAAAGTGTCTCGATCAAGCATGTACCCCAGTAGACAGACACTACGACCTTGCGCGGGGTGGCTGCGGCAATATATGGGTGCTGATACCATACTCGTGCAGAAGGGGTGAAGTTCGAGTGCCGGACACACAAGACACGCCAAACATCGAGGGCATTCCCTGATTCTCAAAAGAGCTCACAAAACTCGACTTCTCGTCCTTCACAAGTTCAAATACTACGGTTTTATGGTCTTCAAGTACTGCTGTAGGTCCAGCAATGATTGGGCGCCACATCCGACATTTTAAATTTGAATGAGCACATATGCACAGAATAAAATACACATTCATTGGCACCATGCAACCTACACTCGTGTTGTTCACCAGCTCCCTTCCACACGTGTTGCCCCCTATAGGAAATTGAAAAAAGGTACGGACAAAAAATCACGCCGCAGGTTTCAGCGGGGTCAATTTTGTTTCATCCCCTCCCCAGATTGGACAAGGCTGAGCCCAGTTCTTTCACCACCTCGTGCTCCTCACACAGACCTCGGCCTGCCACCAAAGTACACGGGCACCTCAAGCAGGTCATACCCTCCACCGGAAAGCTGTTTTCACCCTTTGATTTTGCTTTGGACGCGAGAAATGCCTCACGATCACATCTGAGTTGAACCAGCTTTCTGCTGCTGCGCGCAACCTTTTCAGCTCTTGGGAGCCAACTTTCACCGAGGTTTGCTGAAACACTACGGTCCCCCGATTCGGCCGATGCTTTGCCTATCGTAGAGATAAAGTACCATAGAACTAATCCATGATGTGCATGATTAGGGATCTCCACTACAGCGTCCGCGGTTGGCCTGCGAAAGTCGGCCCAAATTCAAGTCTTAACTCCAGTAGTCAGCAGAAGTGGCTTCCAGAACGATCATGTGTCTACCTCCGAAAACATATAGAAATCCAAGCCATGGAAGCACGCACCTGACTTTCAACGCCGTTTGCTGAAGACCTAACCCCAACCAAACCTGACAGAAATTGGGGTGTGTGCATCTCTATGTGTGGGCAAGGCATATCGGATGTGCACGATTAGGGATCAGCACTACAGCGAGAGGTATAGCAGAATAACTCAAAACTCTATGCGGAGGGACCGCCAGGGGGTGTGATTCCAGGATTTGTACTGTCCGCATAAAAAAAAAATATGGTAATTTTTCCATAGGGGGCAACACGTGTGCTTCTGACCCCAGCGGGGCACAAAATATATATTGTATGGGGGGGTGTTTGATTTAATTAATTGTTTTTGCGTTTGGGGAGTACATTAATTGTTTTTGGGTTTGGGGAGTAGTACATATATGGGGGAGTTTGATTTAATTAATTGTTTTTGGGTTTGGGGAACATAATTGTTTTTGGGTTTGGGGAGTACAAACCCAAAAACAATTAATTAAATCAAACACCCCCATATATTCTATATTATCGTCATTTGCCCTCTTATTACCCGGAACCGAATTGGAATTGATCCAAGAGAGATAATTCCCCGAAGGTATCTTTGCCGAGTATCGAGTAAAGAACAATCCTCTATACCAATCGCAAAATACACAACAACAGCAGCTGCTGTACCCATGCAGCACTACCACACAACATGCAACCTCGTTTTCATCTATCTCACCTGCCGTGATACATCGTACTGGAGAACACAAAACTGATAGCGCTCCGTGAGGACGAAAATACGCTCGCAGTTCTCGTCCGCTAGGCGATACGCTTCCATGGTTGCGATCGCGCCATAAAGCGGAACGTCGAGCCTGTGCTGAAGGCCCTCCGCGGTGATCGCTCGGATCTCGAGGTGTGCACCTTTCGCGATAACCAAGTTCAAATCATCCGGCCCAGTGAAATGGCACACCAGAGACTTACTGACAGCTGTCGCTTTTTTAGCTGTGGCAACATACTGCTGTGACATGGTGTTCCTGCTGTGCTGCGGAAGGTCGAGCAGCGAGGAGCAGCAGAAGCAGGAGCGCCAGGGGGCAACTGGCAAATGCCAGGGGGAAACGGCGGGGTGAACAACAGACAACACACACAGCACAAAGAAGCAACAACGAGGCTGGGGGCACAAGAGCTGGGTATTGGAAATCGTGGTACTGCTCTGTGTTGCTTCACATTCTACGGCGTCGCTGCGTTGCCCAGCACAGCGCAGCAGAGGAGCCTTGCGGGACCCACGGTGCGAGCCACTCCACACACTACTGCTCTGCTTGTCACTTCTGTATCTCTGTCGTTCTACCTTCCTTTGGTTCCCGTCTTTGTACCGATTTCTGCAACAAGTCCAGCAACACAACAATGACGGTGGAGGTAAGCCGCGATCCACAGATTTTTTTTTGAGATTTCATATGCATACAGCACCAGAAAAGTGTGCTCCAGCAGTGGCGGGTGAGGTCGCTGCCAAAATTTATATATATAATATATATATGGGGTGTTTGATTTAATTAATTAATTGTTTTTGGGTTTGGGGAGTACATATTGTAGCGCGGAGTAATCGGATATAAATCGGGGAGTATCCAGCCGGTAGGGCTTGCGCGGGTATTATACGTAAGTTTGGTAGAACAGAAGCACAGTAGTAGAGCAGTACTACCCACCCTCAACCCGATAAATGTGTGTGTTGGGAGTGCAGTGAGGTATCTACAAACCTGTACATGGCGTGTCCCGAGTGTGTGCTCTCCTCGAAGTTTGCGGCGCATCGCCGCCCCTGCTGTTACATAGACGGTAGACAACGTGGAGTATTGAGTATTGTGTGTAAACGCGAAAACAATAATACTCTCTTTGACTTGCGGGTTTGCCCTCTCCGCGCCCGAGATTCGGAAAAATGTGGGTAGACGTGGAAGAGTGTTGTGTTGGCCAAGCCGGCGGGGGTGATGAACGTACGGCGGGGGTGATGAACGTACCTCGCACGTTGTTTGCGTACCCTGTCGCCCTGTCGCAGCCGGTGTATCTCTGGTCTACGACGATGGTTGTTCGCTGACTTTGGTTTTGGGCATCTTGTTCCAAGGCTTGTACGGAAGATATGTCCTCCCTGGCACAAATATTCAGCGCTATCCCGTTTGACAACACTCCAAACGAACCGCTCCAAACCTTAGGCTCGGAGTTTGCGCCATCACGATGGTCTGTCTGTTGTTGTGCGATCACGATTTCGGGGGCAATGTATACCGCACGTGTACCGTCCGAGACCGCTTGATATATATATGGCACGTTGGCTGCCCACCGGTCTTGAAACGAAGCACCCAAGTACGGATACGTGAGACTGCGTCTTAATATGGAACTAAGCCAATCCTGCTTCAGGCTTGAACAAATATTTTGGAGACCGATGGCCTGTTGTTGTGGCTTGTCGAGGGCGAGTGAAATGGGTAAGAGAACCACGCAAGTCCGCGCCGCCCCAAGCCGGGTGAACTGATAAAAGTATTGGGCAGTTGCCAATTCTGCTTTGTTGATTATGTCAATATCACATGGAAGTGACCCACTCAAGGCAAACGCGCACATGCGCGCATGCTGTACTCACGTTATCCAACGGCGTGGGGTTCACCAGTAACCTGCGGTGGCTGACTACCGCGTGCTGGTGATATTTACAACACGCGGGAGATCACCATGCATACCATACGACAAACTCGCACCGCCAGTAAAAGTGTGCGATAACGATCCGCGATCACCCACTACTGCCCCCCCCCCCCCCCCCCCTCTTCTCTGTCGTGCTCTCGCAGTTTGTGACGACGGATAGTGTAGGGAGTACGGGCACATGGGGCTCCCTGTGCGTGCAAGTAGACCGCGCTCGGCTAGAGTTGAGTTTTTCGGGAGAAAAATGTCTCTAATTAGCTTCGCGCGCCGCCTTTCCACGCCTACCCCACCTTCGATGTTTTTGTCCAGGTTCCGTATTCGAGTCCAATCCCACCGCAGTATTACGGACCCCTGGCGGCAGTATTCGTGATGGCGGGGTTGGCCTTCATGTCGGTGTCATTCATGCAGCAAATGAGCGCTAGGAAGGAGCAAAGCGCCGCAAAGGATTTGCCACTAGCGTTGACGTCGTCTGCGTTTTTAGGATTTGGGGCGTTGTTTGTGTTGCTTTGGTCCGGAGTGTTCGTATAGACTTGAAGGCAAGTATGGTTATTATGGTTGTATTTTTTCACGTGATCTGTTGTGGGCGAACAAGTTTGAGAGCATGTTTGTCGAAGTGCCTTCTGGCGAGGAATTGCGGGTACCCGGCGTCGCAATCAATGTAGACTACCAGTGGGAGTAAAACATATTCGGGTGCAATTCTCTACGAAGTTTCCCAGGCATGACAACCTAGTTGTGATACATCGTAGCTGGTGAGTCTTGTGGACGCATGTCTCGGTACTGTTGTAGCATGGGTTGCGACGACCAAGCACAATAAATATATTTCCAAGTATGAACAACTGTGTACGAGTATGCATATATGTGTACTGTGAAGTATACAACTTCCACATGGGTTTGGAGGCCGCATTTATGTGGAAACACACACGCAGGCGTGCCGAGAAAAGCTGTCCCGGCTGTGCCGCTGGCTGTGTCCGACGGCGGCCAAATCACTCTCCTGCTGCAAATAAATGGTGTGGCCGAAGTTGTCCAAAATGCCGACGGACACGCGGCCCAAAATGTTTGGGGCAAATGCCTTTTGCATTAAACCTTGGGTAGGTGGCAATAAAAGTGACTGGGAAACACCGGGAGAGCTGTATTACGAAGAAGATCCAGACAATCGGTTTCAGAGCCCCACAACTACAGCAGCAGTAGACACAAATGGTTTAAACCTTTTCGGCGGGTTGTCGAAAAATGCCGTACGCTATCCATCACCACGGAACAGGGTACGATGTTTCCAAACGATATTACTACCTACAGTGGAGCAACAGAGGAGAGACGGGCGAGGTGGATAGTACGGAAGAAAACACGGAGGGCAATACACACTTCCGGAGCGAATGCAATCTCTATCAGTGACAAGCCTGGAGACAGAGAGCGTCTCGGAGTAGCTCTAAATTTATCTACCGACCTCAGATTGGCCGACTTTCGGAGTTGACCGGCTCGTCTGCACTACAACTGTGGCGGGCATGGAGGAAAAAGTACAGGGGTCAAAAGGGTTTCGTTGGGGTCGGAGAGGTGCATGGTGTTTTGTTGTGTGACACAAAACCAAGAAGCGAATTCATGCACTCTTGCGCCGCGAAAGACTCCCCCCGTCTTCACCACCAAGTAGTCGAAACCGAGAGGCCACTTCGTGCTCTTCCTCCTGCTCTTTGCTGATGGCGGGCTGCCACCACCTCTATACCAACCGCACACGTTGTTTCCGCGGTTCGGGCGATCTTCTCCCGCCCCGTTGCCTCAACGTGACGGGCATGTTGCTGTGACCAAAGCCGCAAACCTAACTTCGCTTCCTGGCCGTGGAGGCCGCTTCCCTCTCTTCATGTTTGTCGCGCCACCACCAGGGCCTTTTTCGCTGGGCGCCGAGTTTCTCTTTGACCACGTGGACAATTGTACAACTGTTCTTCGAGCACACTGTGTGTGTGTGGGTGGTGCCTGGTGAATCGAAGAATTTGCGAAACCGACAAAAAAATTATGTACCAGGTACAATTTTCTTCCACACAACGAGGCTCCCTCCGCCTTGGTGCGAAAATAATTGTCCTTGTTGTTGTGGGTTCTGGCGAGCTACTGGCGAGACAGTCAGGAACGTTCCTCAGAACGATGTGGCTTTCATTCAAGACCTGTACCGAGTTGTCGTTGATTGTAGACTACATAGACTAGTCTACAAATGCATTGGCCGCGCGAAATCTTACGCGGACTTTATACTTGTTGCACCGCCGTCATGGAACTATGAGAGAGAGTCAAGATCACCTTCTCCTGGTCCAAGCTCGGGACCCCCATCACTAGTTTATGTCTGTGCAGACTACATAAATAGGAAGTAAGGAGTCGAACCGGGTGTGGGAACCGCAGCGCCCGGGCGTGTACGCGATGGTCGCGAGTATCCGGAGGGCGTAGGCTGACATAATCGGGAATCAGACACACCAACCAATACGTCTCTCGATCATGTCAGCATACGCCCTCCGGATTCCCGCCGACCA